AGCCTTGTGAGTCTTTTGCAACATTGTCTTTTCTTTTCTTTTCATCATCATTATCATCATTCAATGATAAAGATAATAATATATTATGATGATTACGAACGATGATAAGAATCATCATCATCTTATGTATGTGTCACATTGTGTCCACTCCCTAGAAACTGACCAATCCCCTTGTGAGAAAACAAAATGATGATGATAAGAAAGTTTGGTCTACAATTAGGTTATTATTTAATTCTAACTGTTGATGATAAACTTATCTTCTCTCTCTCTCTTTCTTTATCTATCATCATCATCATCATCAACCTTCAATAATAATAATGATAAAAAGTATTCAATCGATATACAATTGCGATTGCATCTTCTTTATCATCTTCATCTTCTCAAGTCTTTACTTGTTACTCACTTTGAAAGAGCAACTGACCATTGGTTCCATATTCTTGACCATCTTTACTACTAAGATGATATCTTTTTCGATACATTTGAAATGGAATCCGAATAATCAAGGGATTTGATGTTGATTGCATTCGAGGTTCGAACATTTTATCGAATTAACTTGAATCTAATGGTAAAGGAATTCTGATGATGATGATCAACTTTTTTCTCTTCTTTTCTTCACTGACTTAAAGATGAAGGTGAAGACTCTTGAGATGGCGATGATGATGATGATCTACTTGGTGGAGGAAAAAAAGCCAAGATGAAGGAAAGAAATGAAAACTTTTTTTTCACTTACAATCTCTCACAAAATGACCAATGGTCAATGTCTTCTTGTTTTGCTCTCAAAAAAAGCATCTTCATCTCGAGGAATTATGACTTTTCCTCCAAAGAGCATTAAGTTTTATCGTGAACATTTCACTCGTAAACCAAATTGATTAAGCTAATTGCAATCTCAATCATAATCTAAAAGCTACAACTGTTAATAGTGTTTGGATTTAATTTAATAATAAATTGCCAATTATCAGTTAATTGCTTTGATTATCGGTCAGTCATCTCGTTTTATTGTTTTAACTTAAAGTTTGATTGTTAATCAATTACTTTTGTTTTCATCATTAACTTTAAACTAATATTTTTATCTTTGGCTTTTCCTCCTTTGATTGTTTGAGGTTATGATTATAACTGAATCAATATTAATTGTTGTATTTATCAAATAGTTGATTAAATTGATTGTCAGTGAGATAACAATACAATCAATTGTGATAAAGTCTCGACAGGAGATGAAAGTTGTGTCCATTGTAAAGTCCATTGAATGGTCATTTGATAAGCAATTCGGTTCTGTAATAAGATTGATATCTTTTCATGTCCCCGTTTGATATGGAGACTGGAAATGACTTTGAAATGAAGGGAGGATAAAGTTTGAGGGTGGAAATGATAAAGATGACAGTGTGAGGTTAGTGGGAGGTAATGGTCAGTTTGAATGATAACCAAGAGTGAATTAGTGATTTAGACCAGGAAGGAGGATAAAAGATACAGAAAAGGATTAAAGCGAAATCGCTGTTGGATATTTAACATTATCTCAGTTATTATCATTTGGCTTAAGGCTTTTGATTAATTTTCTGACATTTCCCTTGTATTTATCTTCACAATTACAATCGAAATGCATTTCGGTCATTTGGTCACTTCTAAGGTCACTAAATTACCAGAATTTTCAATGTCCAAGTTTCCAACTCTCAATTTTGATCAACTTAATTGTTTCCTCTGATTTTCATTGTGTCAAACATAAGTGATTCAAGTTAATTGTTGATGATATTTAATATCTGATTCTGATTGAAAATTGATTGCAATTAGATTAACCTTTTTTTTTATGTCTTCTTATTGATAACTTGATTGTCATTGATCATTTTGTTTGGTTGATAACTTGTAACAATCAACTGATTGTAATACTTACATTTTTGTTATTTATTGAATCAAGTAGAAATTGTTGTTTAATTTAATTAACTTTTGTTTGTTAACAGTTTAAATGATTACATGTATTATTTGCTATCTAAAGTTAATATAATTAACACATTTGAAAATGTATTAATTTGATTTTCAATGTTTACATTAAACTGTGAATTCTAGTGAAACAATTAAGTTTTTTACTTCAAGATTGATTCAATTTAATCTGAGGTCTGGTAAATTGTTTCTTATAATTTAAATTGCAGAAATTAACAGAAATTAATTGATTTGCAATTGACATCAATGAGAAATAAATTGAAATGATCAATCAAATTGATTGATTTTTTTACAACAATCAACTGATTTTTACCTTTTCGATTGAAAAATTATTGTTGCTAAATAATAATGTTGATACTTGATTCAGTTTGGTGATTATAATGATTCTCATTGTGTTTGTTGATAGGAAAAAATTTATTGATTGTTAAGTTTTACAGCAATTTACTGATTGTTCAGATGAAATTCATTGAAATAACCATGGAGATGGTTGAAAGCAACAGGATTACATTTGCTACTTTATCTTTTTTTCATGGAAACTTTTAAAATCTCAGTGAAATAATTACTTCTCAAGGGTTTCATTGAATTATCTGCCACCCTGCTTTCATCTTTCCACTGCTCTCACCTTGATGATGATAAAGTGATATTAGTTTCATCATGATGCTCACAATAAAAATGTAACACTCCCATGAGATGAAGTTGATATCATTTAGAGAGAGAGAGCGAGGCAAAGATTTACATGAGTTCTGGTGAATATCCGATTCATTTTCCATCATGAAAGTTTGCTCAACTTTTTCTTTTGTCTTTTGTATCCTTCAAGTCTCATATTCAATTTCAAGTCTATTATCACCTAAACAGAATTTCATACCTTACCTCTTGATAATTCTTATAAAAGAAGATGAAAATTTCCTCTCTATAACCATGAACTTTACTCTAAATTTCAAGAACTCTTTATGAACTTTCAATCTGTAAGTAGCAAATGATAGCGATTGGAAACTTTCACATTAGAATATTTCATGAAAATCATCATCTTTCTCTCCTTATGATGAACATTGTATTATCATTTTCTTATTTATATATTTCTTTAGTTCTCTCTCTCTCTCTCTCTCTCTCTTTGAGTTTTCCACCATTCTTTCAAACTTTTATTCAGAGTTGATCATGAAAATACATCATTTGATATTGATCTTTATTGTTGTTACCTTAATAATGTTATTACATTTTTGGCAACGAGTTGAAATAGTTGATTCAATATCTTTCATTTCAATCAAGTTGTCAGTTTGAAAGATGTATAAATAAGTTCAGGTGAGAAAAAAAACTTGGGTGGAGTAGGAAAAGGAAATGATGAACAAGAAGTAGAAAAGAAAAAAAAAATTCCATCGAAATGGATTTCTCTTCATTTTCAGTTTCTTTTATATAACGAGAGTATTTTTCCCACCTTCTTTACTCCTCGAGTTTGTTGTTGTTTAGGAAAAAAACTTTCACCTCGATTTTACAAAATTTTGAAGTTAAAACTCGAGTTATTGTCCAAAAAATTTTCGAACACAGAAAGAAAGAGAGAAAGAGATAATTCTGATTCGTTTTCAGTGGAATAAAAATTGGAATCTTATCAAAAAATTTTCTCCTTATTCTTAAACTCATTCGAATGTTATTAATTCGACTTTTCATCTTTTCACTTTCTCTACTCCTCTCATGATAACCCCGCAAATATTTTATCATCAGATGACTTAGAATTTAAGTCTACAGGGTGAGAGTGAAAATCATGACTGTACTTTTGCAGAACCATTATCATCACCATCATGAAAGATGATATCAAAATTGATAGTCTATCAGATTCTGTCTTGATTACTGATACAAAGTGGGAAGATGAGGATGAAGAGGAGGTGAGTGAAAAATGGGAGAAAGTGATAAAATAATAATAGCGAGTAAGTTTCATGATAATAATGATGAGCTTGAGAGGAGAGAGGAAAAATGATTACAATTGATGTGGTTTAAGTTTATTATGAAGGATGAAGATACAGTTACTATTATCATTATCATGAGCTGAGAAGATGATGTGAAAAAATAATCATTAATTGATTATTCATCATTATCATCACAATCAAAATGGTCCACAATAATTGTAACCTAACCATCAATATATATAAAATATATTGTCAATCCCTCCCTTCATCCACTCCTCATGGTAACACATTCACCATGTTGAAATCATTTTGTAAGTTAATAAAAAATGAGCTTAATCACATTTAGCTTTTAACACTCAATTATCCTGATTCCTAATGATTCACCAATCAAGAGCATTATCATTAATAACAATTAATTGATATTCAGAGTGGAAAATATATAAAAATTTCCTCTGCCATTAAAATGATAATAAGTATAAGTTGTTAGCTGATATTTTTCCTGGTTTAAGCTCAGTCTCTTGGTTAGAATCATGATATTATTATGAATATAAATATAAATAGATTATTATTATTATGAGTTTCATGATAATTTTCATTGAAATTTATTCCTAATCTGTTTCCAAATATATTTGTTAACCTTAGACTCTAAGGTTATCATGATATATAATTTACCTGAGCACCTTTAATATTGGTTGATTTTAATGTTTATCAAATCGTTTTGATTGTTATCATAATCGTCAAGTTGATTGTTATGATAATCAATTGTTAGGCCAGTGAACTATTATTATCATTTACATTTAAATAACTTTATCTCATTTGATTGTTATGGTTTTAGGTTTTTATTGGAAACAATTTACTGATCATACATATAAAGAGGTAACAATGAAATTAGTTTATTGTGTTTTTATCATGATTAAACTTTGATTGTAATGATTTGGTTCATTTTCACCATGAAATCAACAGAGTTTTATTTTTGTTTCTCCCTGTTAATATTTAGATATATATGAATTCTGGTTCTGTTCAGAATTTTGATCTGATTATAACTCAACCATATCGATATGAATTATCATCATCATGAAGTTTGATTGAATTATCTTATCTTAATTATCCACTTCATGTATATATGGATTAGAATCTGAACTTTTTTTCCTTCTTCTCTAATTCTTGATTCAGTTTGGACTCATGATCATGTCTCAATGACACTTCCAGATAAAGGTAATGACATCGAAAGACCGAGTGAGGAAGATGAGGAGACTGAAGATAATGCTGATAATGAAGATGATCAAACTCTAACCCTGACTGGAGGTGGAAATGATGATGACAATAAAGACACCAACATACTGGAACAAGAATATGATCCAATTGAATCTAATAACATTGGTTCTGGTTCATCATCAAGAATCAACAGCAATAATAATGAGTAAGTTGAAAAAACTTTCACTTTTTCCTAATCTTGATTCACTTTTAATCATAAGTATTAATATCAAGGTGAAATTTATCATTTCAGATCTTAAAGTTATCAATTTCTTTCTTATTTCTTGTGTCATTTGATATTTTTCCCTCTTCTCAACTTTCACCTGTAAGTCTCATGAGTCTTGAGTAATCTTGAGATTGAACTTTGATACTTTTCTGAGGTTACAAGTGACAGAACCGGAAGGAAACAGTTACACTTTACTTTGTTTTTCCTTCTTAAATGAGCCTGAGATAAGAGACTTTGTTTTCGAGGGATTTGTCAGTAAAATTCTGACAGAATTTCAGTTAGAACTTTATTTTCTTTTTTTTTGCTATCGAATTTTTTCCAAAATTTCGATTGATATCCTAATTATGAGTATTTGTAAATGTGACTTTTTGATAACTATAATCGGTTTTATATTAGATTTGAATCATGTTCCAACTGAATTGATTGTTTCTCTCTCTCAATAGTATCATGATGGTGATGATGATGATCATCATGTAACACAACCTTTGATTGCCTGAGGCTAAATATGAACCATAAATAATTTCTTATTCATTGGTAACACTCGAAGCATCATGATGATTCTAATAAAGTTCATCTGAATGAATATTAATCTGAACTCAATGAGTTTCATGTAATATATTTTTCCATCAGATTTTCTGATCATGAAAGGGTTACATGAGATCTCAAGAATAGAAATTGATTATCTAACAATTTATTGATTATTTAGATAATAATTACATGAATAAATCTTTTCAACATGTAAAAGATTAACATGATTAATCCATTTTTTTAATATTCTGGAGAAATCATGAATTTGAATGATGAAGAAAAATCAATCAATCAATTTCAAACTCTCAATTTAGGATCACCTTTGTTAAAGTGTTTACCTTTTGTTAACAATTTTCCTTCGTAATAGTGATTTAAACTTTAAGGTCCCCATGAATTTGAACAGTTATCATGTTGAAAGTATTGATTTGTTAAAAGAGCGGAAAAATTATCGATATTTGTTTTTCTTTTGAAATCGAATGAAACAAAAAAAAAGTTCATTCATCTTCATATCAAAATACTCAGAACACTATTATTATCATGGTAACGTGTTTACCTGAATTTGTTTCAATCTAATTCACAAACAGAGACTATAAAATCAATCAAAATTTACCCTGACAGTTTCAAAGTTTACCCTGTTTACTTGAATTCTGTCATCATTATCTACCTCCTCTGAATCCCTCCTTCCTCATCTTTTCATCATCTCTCTCTCTCTCTCTCTCTCTCTCTCTCTATTTCGCTTTCTGATCCTTCCTCACTCAATAAGATTCACGAAGAAAAAAAGTTCAGAAGAAAACATTTCAAGATTATATTCTGATAACAGTTTTTTCCTCTTACATGAAAAAAAAGTTCAGTTAATTGTCAATCACGAAATTCAATTATCAAAGAAATTTTTCTTCTCTCACTTTTTCAAGTAGAAAAAAATTTTCACTATGAAATAATAATTAGGGGATAAGATTTTCATGATAATGATGATGATCTTCATGATGATGTTCAGTCTGAGTTTCTTATATACATGGCTGTATATAAGATAAACATATGATGCTGATTATCATCATTCAAGTTTATCATCAAGAAAGATTGAAATTTAATCTCAATATTCAGGAATTTTAATTTAACCATGATAATGATGAAGCAGATAATTAGATAATCAATTTGATTGTTTTGATAATTTGTTAATCATTAACATATAATAATCAATTTTCATGATAATTGGATAATTTTTTCAGTTCAATACTTATCCTATTAAATACGTTGATTTGTTATTAATTATGAAAAAGCTTGATTATCGTTGATTAACTATCGCTGGTTATTGTTAATTATTACAATTAATTTAATGATCAGTTAATCAAGATTAAGGAACAAGAAAATTGAATTAACTAATGAATATTTTTTTTTTACTTCCTCTACATATACTTTGAACCCTCAACTTAAATTATTGTTATTATCAACATAACAATTAATCAAGAGCACAAGGTTAATGTTGATTTACAATGCATTAGATTGTCACAATTAATTAAATCCCTAATAGTTGATTACTTTAAGTCAACAAATCACAATTAACTTTGACTAAATATAAAATTATTAGGCACACGCTTTGATTAATTAAATTAAAAGCAATCAATTAATCAACGTTTGCTCAACTTGATTATGATTATCATATCTTACAAAGTGAATTAATGATTAACCAATTAATATTATTTTTTTTTCCTTCTTTTTCCTTTTACTAATTGTAATTAACTTTTCATTATCTAATAGACAATCAACAATTAAGAGTGAAACTAATCCAGTTGATAATCATGGTGGGAAAAAGTTAACTACTCAAATTAATCATAATAAAAATCAACAATCAAACAAAGGTAAGTTAAGAAAGTGATTCAAATCAATCACAATTAAATGACTCATTTTAATTGATCTCAAGTTTGAAAAAAAAGTGATTAGTTAACTAGATTAGATTATAATTAATTCTGGTTTTTCAGATTAATCAATAATTTGAATATATATCTCGATATATTTTCCATGAATATAATGATTTACTTTGATTAGAACTTTTTTTCTGAGAGTTTGCTCTCGATTGTTGATCGATAATTTTAAATCGATATTGGTCATATTTCTTGTAATAAGAATGTGTCACCATTATGATTAGTTGATTGTTGTCTCCAAGGGGAAATGATTAACGATAAATTGTTTCGTTTTCTTATTGGAATAATTATTTGGTCAACCATATTTCTACTTTCGAACTGTTCAAATTTTCGTCTTTCAAGTTTAATTTGTCCCAATAATCCGAACGATATTCCTATCTGGTCAAATTCCGACCGTGAGACACCACTTTCAGAGGTGTGTCCTTTTGTAGTGGTCACTAGTGGCCTACGAAATGATGAAAGTGTTGCTAATGGTTCGTCCAGTGTCCAATTGGACAGTTATCGATTACGATTGTTACTATCACCTTCACCCAAGTATCTTGGTCAAGATAATATTGATGTTTATCCACTGACCGATTTACATTTTCCCGATTCACCAAATATCACAATCGATGGTGACCTAATGATTGACCTTTCTCCAATGGTTACTCTTCAACCAGTTGACCTTTGTGGTTTTATCTATCTAATTGTTGTCCTAATCAAGGTAGACCTTCCAATAGCTTTGACTTTTGGTTCACTCAGTAAAGAGATTGAGTTGACTTGTCCAAAAGAAACGGGAGTTGACCTCATCCTTCAAGTGACCTATGAAAATGGTTCTTTAGTCGATTCATCGATTCAAAATCGTCTTATTATTCAAACAAACGGAAACTCATTAGAAACTCTCAATGGAGTCAAGTTTATCATCGTCAATCAGGGTAAGTCAAGTTTACTCGGCGATGTGGACTCAAAGCGCTTCAAACAATGGCCTTTCTTTTACCCATCAATCGAAATGTCAAAAGTGATTTCGTCAGGATAGATAATCGAAAATTTTTCAACATCGCCAATGGTTATCATCTAAAAAATGGTGACAAACTTATTCGCGATCGATCTGGTTGGTGTTCACCTTTTATCCAGGTAAACTCGAGTGTCCCTGTAAACATTACGTGGCTTCATCTGGTTGAGTTAACAGTTTTACCTTCAACCTTTGACCTGCTAATTGTTATCGACCCGTTTGGATCAACCAGTGAGACTAAAATGTTTACCTTTTCAATGAGTTTACCTTCAGGAAATGATTCATTTAATGTCACCAAATGTTCAGCTTATCCTGCCAATGATTCAATTCTTATAATAAATTCAAATGACCAGTTACCTCAGAAAGTGACCTTTTACGGTTATCAGCTGATGGATAAACGTTTATTCACCCTGGATTCAACTCAGGAGACCATAAAAACCTCACTGACCACTGTCCTTGTGAATAAATATTTCTACCAAAATTGGTTCATTGATCAGACAATTAACTTATATGATCTACATGGTCAAGGTTGTTCAATCAATGACCAGCAAACATCAATTTGTGATTCTATTAGATTATTATTGACCGATACAGCTTCATCTTTTTATCAGATTCAGACTGTAGCCTCATCTTGGGAACAAGAACAGGTCAATAAACTTTCACTCACTCTCAAAGTGACCTCAACTTTAATCGATGAGGTTTTAAACGGTGATCTAAGGTCACTTTTACCTCCTTGTATTAAAATGTTTCGCTCTCTTATCGTCCGTTCATTTTCCGGTGCCGATCGATTGGACAAATATGACCAGTCTTATTTTGGAACTATTCAAAGGGTCATTGAGAATATCGTTGAATCTGAACCTCCGATCAGTGAAGCCGCTCTTTTAGTCCCTCTTAGGATAAGACGTTTTCTTGGTCGGTTGATTCGAGAAGGTTCATCAGCGGTTTTGGACACTTTGCCTGATCTTAGTAAGAAATTGTTCTGGTTGATTAACTTTCGTCGGGTATTATTATGGATTCTTGAGGATGTTCTTTGGGATTTTGAACTGCCCACCGAGATGGTCAGTATGTTACATGAGACAATCTCCTCTCCTAATGCCAATACTTTTCTGTCCAACGTGAACAAATTGACGGACATGAGTAACAAATGGTCAACTATTGAGACCAATGAGGAAGTAATCAAATCTTCAACGATACTTTTTAATCAGCTAATGTTGGTTACTGGTGAAGACGAGATTTGGTCAAGATATGTGTCCATATGGAATCTGTGGTCAACTCGTTTTCTCAGTGATTCTCAACGATGGATTTTTCTTGAAGGGCTTCCCGATGACCAGCGAAAATTGACCGTTAAAGGTGACAATTTTTTCGATGTCAATATTGATGAATCATGTTATCGAAATGCAATCCAAATGTTGACCACTCGAAAAGTATTACCAACTTGGTGGAAAGAAGATAATTTGGAATCACTTCGAGAGAAAGAAAATTCTCTGACCAGTTCCGTTCTTTTAGGAGTGATGGTCATTCAATACTTCGGGGAGATTGGGAAATGTTGACCGGTAAAATATTCTGGACTCCGGTGATTCTTTGTAATTGTAATAAAACCTTCACCAACCAATGTAGTCTCTGAACTCGATCAACTCACAACCATAGTGAATCCATCATGAAATCAGAGGGAGATGATTTTCCAAGCAATTTAATCCTCCATCTTGATCCAAATCATTATCATCATTATATTCATTTTGTATCACAATCTTAATCATCATAATCCCAGTAATCTTTTCACTGATTACTGATCATTATCTGGCAAATTTTCATCTCATTAACTTGATCTCAATTCAGATTCCAAAATGAAGCATATTAACATTCACTTGCAAATCTAATTTGTACTGTACTTTTTTTTTATTCACAAACCATCATGTTAATCATCATGAAGACTATTTAAATTAACTCAATGAATCTGATACTTAGTAAACAACTAAAAAAGCTTTAATTCAAAAGTTGATTGTAAACCTTTTTTTCATTTGAATTTGAATATTCATTCAAATCCCATGTGATGATTTCCATGCAAAGAAAGGTTATTGATGTAATTGAGCAATAAAATGTTACCTGGCGATCGCTTGATTTATTTGGAACTGAATTAGTTGATCATGATGATGATGAAAAAATATCGTGATGATGAGTATGATTAATATAAGTTAAGGAAAAATACTTGGATCGGAATTAAATGTATTATAAATCATTGAATGTTATCCAATTGGATTGGTTGAATTTCATTGCAATGTTCATGTTCCCACCTTGAAATAAAAGGGTAATCATGAAACTTTCAGGGTGATCAATTTAATCATCATGGAAATTGTGATGAAAAGTATTTCCAATCTAATATGATTAATAGCCTTAAATAAGTGGGGTTAATGATTATCATCAGATTAAAGGGAATCTCATAAGTTATCATGATGATTTCATGAGATGAGGATGATGAGGAAAAATCAATCTATTATCATGAATGAAATGATTTTCATCAATTGGTGAATTGTTTTTGATTACCATTATGATGATCATTTCAATTGATTATTGATCAACCATTTTAGGCGATTAGGTTCAGACAATTTCATTTATCATCAACAATATATTAGCCGGAAAGGTTCATTTTCATATTCATGCTGATTGTCATTTCCTATTCATGTAATTTCATCGTTATCCATTCAATGAGCCACAATTAATTGATCTAAACATATATAAATTCAATAGAAAATCAATATCAATATCAATGATAATTCATGGGACTTTCTATTCAATCAGAACCTTTCAAACTTGCGACAATTAATATCAAGTTAAAAGGTGAATTTACTAATTGTTCATCTGTTTCAATTCTAGAACCAGAGCCTTATTTAAGATTAACGGGTCGTCTCAGTAATTTAACTCGAACCATTGGTTCTAAGGTTCGATTGAAATGTTCTTTTCGAGGTCACCCAATACCTACGATTCGATGGCTTAAAAATGAGGCTCCAATCGAGTCGATTCGCGGTAAAGTGACCATTCGCTTGATACCTTCGACCAAAGGTCGATTGACATCTCGCCTTTTAATCAACAATCTCGATGTCCACGACACTGGCTACTATAAATGCGAAGCAACTAACAAATTCTTGACCAAAGAGACTTTTGGTATTCTCGTAGTTACAACAGGTAAGAATCAATTTAATCTAATTGGAACAATTAACTTTCTCTCCCCATAATTTGATACTGAAAGTTAAACATTAATTAATTTGGTAATCTAATTGGTTATTACCTTTTCGATTAACTCTCCATGTTGATTAATTCAACATCATTTGTGTACTTTAACTGCAACAATTAACATTACCAATGTAAATATTATCATTTAAGTGTAATCGTTTATGAAAATAACTTTTACCATCATAATCATCAGTTAATTGCCCTCAGGGTTATTTAGATTAAATTGTAATTTCCTTTTCCTTGTTGATATATTATAAATATTATCTTATTGCTAAATATATATAATATTATGTACGATGAATGAAAAAAAACTGAGTAGTTGAGATTAATTAACAATTTAATCAATGAAAAATTAAAACCATTTCTATTATGTGATAATATTTAATTTAGAGAGGTAATTTTTTTTTACTCTTCTTCTTAATTGTAATCAACTTTTAGGAACTGGATCAATATCATCAACTGGATCAATTAGCAGTTCAATAATTTCTGATTACTCTTCATCTCATTTCAATGGGTTTCATCAAACATCACAATCAAAATCAAGGTAATTCAATGTTAATCAATTCAATCGAAGCCATCAAATTGTAATCAATTGAAATCATTTTCCCTTTTGGGTGGAAAACTTTTAATGTTATTTATTATTAAGGTGTGGCTCTTGCTATCGATTCCTTATTGTTATCATAATGATGATGATGATGATGATGATGAAAAGAGACTAAAGAAAGAGATTCATCTATTATCATCATCATCTTTTCACTCCCAGCCTCCTCCAACTCTCTCGATTATCAAAATAGTTGGAACTTTTTCTTTGTATTCTTTTCAAAGGAAAACTGTCACTCACAAATCATCATCTTCTTCATCATCATTAACATCAACATTATCATTTCTCTACCAAAGTTTGCTTTCGATCAAACTTCCGGTTCCTTGATACACTTCGAGCAAAGAATAACGTCCAGAGTCCATGTAAAAGTAATTCGACTTTTTTAAGGCGATCGCCTTGAGATGTTTTTCTCATCCTTATCATCTTTATCTTCCTCATTCTATTATTTCTCTCTCTCTCTCTCTTTAAATGTTTCAGCTATTAGGCCAGTTTTGTTCCTGTTTCCTTTTCCTCTTTGCGTCAGAATTCATGTTAGAACTTTTTTTTACGATTTCTCTTTTTCGACTTTTGTTTATTGTTCAATTTTCTGATCCTTGGTAACAAATAATTGACAAGAATATAAATTGTTGTTGATTACCAAACAACAGCAGCAACGATAATCAACTAATATCAAGAGAGAGAGAAAAGATTTAAACTCATTTCAATCAATGTCAATCTTTTAATACACTTTAATTAATCACTTGAGAGCATTTAATCATAACATTGATTTTCAATCTAACAAATTAAACAGTTTGATTAACAAGAAACCACCAGAACATAATTTACTACCAATACAAGAACAACAATTAAATATGAAAATAAATTGTTTTCTTGTTTCAGCTTCTTCCAGTCAATCAATTTTAATTGTAACCATATCACTAGAAAATGATTAATCAAATTGTTCAACCTTCGGTAATTAATTTCCATCGTAATCTTTATCCTCTTGTTAATTAACACACAATCTCACTGATTGTTAGTAACAGGGATTGATGTAGTTAATTGTAAATCTATTTTGATTACAATTTAAGCTTTGATTGAAGTTAACAGTTAGTTTATTTTGAAAATTAATAAACTAATTTAAATTAGCTTACAAGATTAATGAGATTCAATCAAATCAATTTGATTAAACAAAATTTCCTCTCAACTTTTAATACAACAATTCAACTGGTTTCATAACAATATCAATAGTTAATTAATTGATTACCTGTACAATTAAATGAAATTGAAAATTTGTTTAGATTAAAAGTTACGCTAATGATTAACTAAATTGAAAGTTTTACTTTTTCTTAAATGATTAAGTTAATTGATTAGACTTTCTTGTAAGAATAAGTCTCGATTTAAGTTAATCATGAAAAGTGAATCAACTCAATTGAGATGAATTAATGACAAATTGACTGAACGATTTGAAAGAAGACAAAATGTTCCAAGTTAAATGTTAACTGTAAAGACGATAATCAATAACCATTGATTAACAATTAGATTAGATGAAGATGTAAGTGAATTTGAAGATAAATTCACCATAGGAAAACATGAATTTCTATGAAAAAAATATATATATTTCTTACTCGAATGGAGCCAATATTTCACAGAGAAATGCGATTTTTTCCTCTTTTATAAGTTCCATGTTTGAATCATCATGAATTCTGAACTTTTTTCATGTTATTATTGTTGAAACTGTTTCCGCTCAATCAATTTGATGCTTTATCCATTTCTCAGTATCAATAGTGGTACGAAAATTGTAATGTTTTCATATTTCGCCTTCTTGATTTTTGTCTATTGTTATAGCTCATCAAAAGCCATCATTTTGCCTGCATCACCATCATCATCATTATCATCATCAACCTCATCGCCATCAACTTTTGTCTCTTCGTCATCAGCCTTAGATGTACATCGTTCACCAGAATCTAAATGTAGGATTTATTCTGGTAAATTGTGTTCACAGTTTATTGGTAATCGAAGTATCTACTTGGAACCGGAAATAAGCCAAGAAATTTTGGAAGATAATTTAGCAGTTCTTTTCGAAATGATCGCAACATCTCATCAGATTTCACATCAGTGTCATAGATTCGCAATATCATCTGTTTGTTTCTTCAATTTTCCAGTCTGTCGGACAGAACCTTCAGGTCAACTGGTCATTCGAAAGGTAAGTCCATCATCATTCTGTATAAAAAGAAACATTAACGGCAATCAAAAGATTCACATGTAAATCATTAGCGTCTTACCTTTTTTACTCAATCATTTCAATGGAAACTCAGAAAGAGATGATGTTTAATGTCCATTGAAAGTAAAATAATCAAGTTAATCCAGTTAACCATTAGTTGGAAGCTTTTAAACAATCAGATAACATGAAGATGATCAGATGAAAATACATCGACACAATAGTGACAAGCTTAATCTAAGGTTACTAAGGTAAAATAATGACATTGAAATGAAAATAAATCAGCAAAACTTTCAGAAAGATTGTTATTGTTACTTTTAAAACAAAAATATCGAACCAATATTATCAAGTTTTCCTTATTGTTGTAGCTATTAAATTAGATCCAATTGTTACTGTTCAAGTTTATCATTGGGATTGAGTCAAGTTAATCCACAGGAATAGAAAGACCAAGAAAAAAAAATTCACAGAGAGAAAGTGAAACTTATTGTAAATACAAAATAACCTGAGAAGAGATGAAAAAACATATTATTAGATAATGATGTTGATAATAAAAGGATGAGGATGATAAAGTAAAAGTAAAAAAGATAAAGAGATATAAAGAGAGAGAGAGAAGATAAATTCTCTCCACCTTTGTATATCTTTTGTATCTCTATTTTTACCTGAGTAACAATGGCCACAGAATATGAGTTAGAATGAATTAAATGAATACCAAAGGATTTCACCAGAGAAATTGATGCTGATGTTTCATTCGGAACATTTTCTTTGGGTTTTCATGGGCATTTTACCTTCTAAACCTGTGGATTTAATGTGAATATATTACACAGAGAAAGTTATATTAGTTACCTGGAATAAGAAATAATATATGTTAGAGAGAGAGAGAGAGAGAGAGAGAGAGAGAGAGAGAGAGAGAGAGAGAGAGAATGAGAAAAGAATAAAATTTTCGCCGATAAATCAACTTACCTGTAAGATATATTATCATGATGATGGCTGAAAGTAATCATATTAATATACACCTTTGAATGAAATGAACGGCAAGTTCAGAGTTGTTGTTGAGAGTGAAAATGGTTTCTTCAGAATTCAGTGGAAATATTATATCATGGTAATAATATATAATTCCCTGGTTTTACCGGATATTAGATGAATCTTGTAAATTCCCTGGAGCAAGAATGATAAAAATATGATTGATCAACACACCTAGAAATAGAATCAGATTTATCTATGTGTTTATTTACTGTTATCAATATTTTTTTCTCGCTCGTTTTTTTTTGGCCAAACCAATTTCATTTTCAAGTCTAATCGTGACTTTGATTGTATCGATAAATCATTAATCATCATCATCAAAGATATTGATTTGATTATATTGTAGTTTATGTTTTCTCTTTGCCCTTGTTATCATCATTAATTTTAATTCGTATGATTGATATACGATTTGTATCTCGTCTTTTCTCAGGTTTGTCGAGATGAATGCGAAATATTGGAAAGTTCAATATGTCGAAAAGAGTATTCGATGGCTCGAAGTATACCGATAATCAACAGCAATTTGTTGCCCAAATGTACAAATTTACCGATTCTTGGAACTCCCGATGATTCTGATTGTGTACAACTTGGTGTTCCCTCTTCAGTACGACCTTTGAAAGGTAAAACTCGTAAACATTTAAATGGAAAAACAAAGTTTTTTCTAGTTCGATTAGAACTTTTTTCTCTCTCCTCCTTTTCCATTTTCGAAAAACGTTTTTCTTTTCTTCCAAAAATGATAATACACATAAAAAGTTGTTCTCTTTTATTTTGTCTTCTCCAAAGTGATTCAATTTCCACCAAAATAATTGTATCTTCTTCTTCCTTCCATGTTGAGAGCATGATGATGATGATGATGATAGAAAATTGTTCATCTGAAGAGGGAAATAAACAAATAATAAAATATTTAGAAAATATTTACACCCATGATTATTACATGGAAATGAGTAACATGAGATTTTTTTTTCTTCTTCTCTTCTAATATTACCCATGGAGATTATTTGGTTCACTTTAATACTCACGATTCTGAGTGTAGTTAAATTTCATTTCATTTGGAAAAGAAAGACAAAAAAAAATGATTCCATGGCTTTGAATGAGATTTGAAAGTTGAACCATTGGAACTTTTTCCTCCATTCTCACTCCATCTGATAGAGAAAGTGATATAACTCCCTGGCCGATTTTCCTTGAATATATAATATTGAACAAGAGGTTTTTTTATCATCATTATTATGTAACCAAAGAAAATGCATCAATCTTGAATTCATCTGATTCCAATGTAATTTCATGTTATCAGGATTTTATATGTTACGTTTTCTGTTTTTTTTTGTTTCTTCCATGTTCAGGTTTAGGAGATTGAGTCAAATCATTTGGTTCACATCTCAAGAGTATAGTTGATGAAATTGATGACATTTCACCCTTAGGGTAGTTTCATATATTCATGTATTTACTTAACTCTTATAATGTTAGATGAAAATTCAATCTCTCAAAGAATTGAAATTCAAATCTTTTTCTTTACTTTTTTTTTCTGATCAAACTATTGGAAACTTTACTTTCTTTTTACATGTCCCATGAAAAACAAACTCTTGCCATTATATATTGAACTTTCCCTGTTCTCAGGCTGAGTAGATTATTATGAAAATGTAATAAACTTTCAATGTGAAAATCTACATTGATTGATCGTGAAGTGTATTTGTTATAATAATAAACTAGAACTTTTTTTTTGTTGACTTCATCATGATCTTAGGGCCATCATTATTAAAGTAAAAGTGAATGGTCACTTTTGTAACATTCTAATAGGTCAATAGTAAGGGTCAAAATCTCATTAAATTGGTCAAATTCATGATCCATCAGAAAGTAAATGAAAAATATTTCATTTCAAATTGTTGAGTGATATGGGTTATATGAAATTATATTGATCTCAAGTGTTGGCTATTTGATGGATTAAATTAAACAAAAAAATCTAAATTGATTGCTGGTCTAAATTTTTGGTGTATTTTGTGTCTCTATCATTTAGATGGGCAAATTTGTTTCAGTGGAAATGGTCAAGAGTATCGAGGTATGATTGACCATTCAATTTCTGGGCGTAAATGTCTTCCCTGGTCAGTCAGTTATGGTACAACCCATTATGAGGAGTTAATTGGTGGTCATAATTATTGCCGAAATCCTGGTGGAATTGAGGCTCAACCTTGGTGCCTGGTTGATGAGAATTCACGGAAACGTGAACTATGTGATATACCTCGTTGTGGTTAGTATTTAGTTCCGTAAGCACCAATGTGACCTGAGTGAGAGAAAAAAAAATCCAAATTGTTGTTTAAATTTTTCTTTTCTTTTTTTGTTCATATTACAGAGGATACTTATCGTTTATATTTTCTATTAACACCAATCTTGGCAGCGATTTGTGTTGTCTTAATCATCTTTATTGTGATCACTTATCGACAAGTTTTATATCGAAAATCATCCGTTGCTAGTTACATGACGACAACTTTGCGATCTGCTCAATATGCTTCGCCCATTTCCCCTGTTCTATGTAAACGAAGTCCAGCTCCTTTATGGGTAGAATATGATCCTAATCGTTATTCAGAAACGGTAACCAATACATCGAGTCCAACACCTTCGTCTAATCAACACAATCAACAAATAGTTCATTCATCTGAAGGTGGAAACTCTGGTGATTCCATTAAACCGGCAAAACTTATTCACTATCCAATGAGCTCAATCAAATTTGAGGGTAAATTGTGTGAAAGTGATTTAGGTGATATTCTTATGGGTGAATTATTAATTCCTCAGGGTGTTGTTGTTCCAGTGGCAATAAGGACTCTTCGTGAAGATTCATCGGTAACTATGATTGATAATTTTAAATCGGAAGCGTTAACTTTGGCTTCTCTTCAACATACCAACATTGTTTGTCTACTTGGTGTTTGTTTCACTGATCGTCCACTTTGTATGATGTTTGAACTTATGGCCGAAGGTAATTTACTTGGTATACTTCAGGCCTACAATCCGCATAAATCAAATTCTCTTGATCGTTCCTCGTCTAATCAATCGGTGGTCTCTCTCGAGATACAAGATTTACTTCACATATCAATACAAATCTCCGCCGGGATGGAGTATTTATCATCGAAACATTTTACCCATCGAGATTTGGCCGCTCGAAACTGCCTTGTCTCCGATTATTTAACCATCAAGATTAGCAATTTTCGCCTCAATCGAGAAGATTATTCAAGTGATTACTATTGTATTCCTAATAATATGTCGGTTCCAATTAGATGGCTTCCACCTGAGTCCATTTTCTATGAGAAATTTACTTCCGCTTCGGATGTTTGGTCTTTTGGAATTGTTCTTTGGGAAATTTTCTCTTTCGGTAATCAACCTTATGCAGGTTTTACCAATGAACAGGTAATCGAGTTGATTCGTGATGGTCATCATTTACCTTGTCCAGAAGACTGTCCACCTCATTTCTATTCCATTATGTTAGAATGCTGGAAACGGGAACCGGGAGGTAGACCAACATTCAGTGAGCTCCACAATAAATTGAAAGCGCTCCAGGCAGTTGAAAATATCCGCTCTGCTCGTAATGGTTATCCAAGGTTTGGACCACTTCGTTCGGGATCGGGTAACATTAGCACCTATTCAAGATCTTGTTCACCGGCTCATTTAACTCGAAATCCAATTCCAAATGGTCCAATGTCCAGTCCAAGAAAAATGAAGCGACAAATGATTACCGCTTGTAAGGAATCTTCATTTGAAGCTTCGTACTCTAAATTGTCTTTCCCACTTGAGAAATCATCGTCATTTGGTTTCGTGTAAATTGTAATTCCAATCACAATCAACTAATTGTAATCTTTTGTTAAAATCTGAAAAACAAAACGCACAAAAAAAAGACAGAAAAAACTTTGTTAAATTGACTTTGTATCGGTAAACCAAATTAAGTCTCTGATCTTTTTTTTTTATATTAACCATTGTAATATATTGATTTGTACAAAGGTAATTTAACAGTAATTAACTGTTGTTGTCCTATTGAATTAAATAAATTTTGGAGGAATTTATATATAATCATTATCAAGAAATACAAATGATGAGGATAAAATTACTCAAAGTGAATTGTTTTTGGAGCAAACTGAAAGTTTTGATTGATTGTTGTTGATGACGATCAAGATGATTATCTGATATGATCATGAGAAGCAATTAAAATCTTAATAATATCGATTTAATAAGGTTGTTTTGGTGATGAAGAAAACGCCATTGATTGCCTGAAGAGATGATTACTCATTTTCTGTAATAAATCATGATTTATACAATAGAATTGACTAAATTCATATTGAACAAATGTAATGACAGCTGAATAATTGACAATGGTGGTAGACAAATGATCATTATGATTGTGATGATCATCAGGATAACCTATTGTTTTCATCGGAACAGGTTAAATCATTGATGATTAATCATTAAACAGCAACGATGGATCCAAATCACCATTCCAATTCAATGGGAATACAATTCAATCGTAATTAACTTTCCTCATAAAATACAAAAGTGTAAATAAAATTATCCCTATGGATCCAAAAGGAAAACAAATGACAATTTAAACAAAATAAATTGTAATCACCAAGATGATATTGATTAAGTTTCACTGATCCACCAGAATTTAAGTTAATCACCAAGCAAATAAGAAATTGAAAATTGATTAACCAAAAAGATGTAAGTTTTAATGATTAGTGATTAAAGAAAAAATCACAATCACAATCAGTTGATAATCTCTGTAGATATAAGTAATGATGGAGAAAAGAAAACAAATTAATACAATTAGTTAATTGCAACGGAAGGAAAATTCAAACAAAACATTACTAACCTTGGACGAATGATAATTGTAGACAATCAATTAAAGGGAAATGTGTTAATCAAATTGATCAAATTAATTAAAGAAAAACAAAATTGGAAAAGAAAACAAATAAAAAGAAAACAAAATGGCGATTCAATAAGATGAACTTTTGATTAATCATATTAATGGCGGAAAATCAATTCCAATGGAGGAAAGAAACACTTAACAAGCCAGTAACCTTTGATCATTATTACGATATCACAATTAAAGATTAACAACAATTAAGAGGAAAAAAAAAATACAAATGGAAAAACAATAAAACTGATTAACCGTTGGAATTAAAAATTCAATTTGATCTCTCATATAGACTCACATGGTTTCAATTGGTTGTTTATTTAAGATTGAAGATTAACTGTTAAGATGATTTATAAATTGTTGTTAACAACCATTGTAATTAACTTTTGGGTGTTGGCTAAAAGATGAAGACAACTGTTAATAAGAGAATCAACCAACTGATCAAATCAAATTAGATTAATTGTTTGTTAACAATCATCAAGTTCACCTTACTAACCAATCAGTGTTCCCGTTGGTAACGAGCCGTTTTTTTTTTCAACTGTTGATTAAACATTTAAATTGTTTCGTTTCCAATTAAATATTGATTTCTCTTCACAATCATCATCATCTTCATTTCCACCTCAACACCTTAACCATCATCATCATCTTCATCTTCATCATTTTCCATTTGTATTTAGTTAAATCAAATTTAACCTTTTTATATTTTTCTCTTTCTCTCTTTCCATTGTTACCCTAGAGACTTTTGTTTTTATTTATTTACCTTTTGGTGTTTTAAACTGAATTTTAGTTTCCATTATTTTTGTTAATTGTTTTAATTGTTGGTTGAATCAAAATGCGTGAAATTATTCAAATTCAAACTGGACAATGTGGTAATCAAATTGGTTCCAAATTTTGGCAAACCATCGCCGATGAACATGGTATTGATGGTCAGGGAAGATGTACCAACGCTAATGATTCAAATCGAGCCTCTAAATTGGATAAGATTAACGTTTATTTCAATGAAGCTGGAGGTGAGTTAATTAGTGATTAATTAAAGAGTCGAGTTTGGTTGTGTGGTTGTTAATTGTTGTTTGTTGTGTGTCTTTTTTTTTTGATAGCCGGTGTTTATGTTCCCCGATCTATTTTGGTTGATTTGGAGCCTGGAACTATGGAAGCGGTTCGATCTGGACCTTTAGGTGGTATATTTAGACCGGATAATTTTATCAATGGTCAATCGGGAGCGGGTAACAATTGGGCTAAAGGTTATTATACCGAAGGAGCTGAATTGGTTGATTCGGTTTTGGATGTGCTCCGTCGTGAGGCTGAAAGATGTGATTGTCTTCAAGGTTTCCAATTGTGCCACTCATTGGGAGGTGGTACTGGTTCCGGTATGGGTACTCTGATTATCTCAAAAATTCGTGAAGAATATCCTGATCGTATAATGACCACTTTTTCCGTTTTCCCATCACCCAAAGTATCTAATACCGTTGTTGAACCTTACAATGCGACCTTATCAGTCCATCAACTGTTAGAATCAACCGATATGACCTTTGTCATTGACAATGAAGCTCTTTATGATATTTGTTATCGTTCATTGAAACTCTCAGAACCAACATACGGTGATCTTAATCAATTGGTTTCTTACACCATGTCCGGTGTGACAACTTGCCTTCGTTTCCCTGGACAATTAAACGCTGACCTAAGGAAATTAGCGGTTAACATGGTTCCATTTCCAAGGTTACATTTCTTTGTCTCTAGTTTTTCCCCGATCATGTCAAGAGCTTCAAGAAATTTTTCTTCCCTTTCCGTTCATGAATTGTCTCAACAAATGATCGATTCAAAGAACATGATGGCCGCATGTGATGCACGTCATGGTCGATATTTGGCTGTTGCAGCCATTTTCCGTGGTAAAATGTCCACCAAAGAGGTTGAAGATGAAATGACTGCCATGCAGAGTAAAAACTCGGCTCAATTTGTCGAATGGATTCCGAATAATGTGAAAACTGCTGTTTGTGATATTCCACCCAAAGATCTTCCGATGTCGGCAACGTTCATTGGTAACACCACCGCCACTCAAGAGGTTTTCAAACGGCTTCAGGAACAATTTTTCTCCATGTTCCGTCGTAAGGCTTTTCTTCATTGGTACACTGGCGAGGGTATGGATGAGATGGAATTTTCTGAAGCTCAGTCCAACATGTCAGATCTTATCGCTGAATATCAACAATACCAAGAGGTTGGAACTAATGATGAAGATGAGGATGGTCGAGAAGAAGATGCTGATTATAATTAAATTTAAAAGGGAAAATTTGCTGAAAGAAAAAATTCTCTGGACTCTGAAAGAAAAGAAAAAAAGACCAACCTTTGATTGTTATCATTTTAATTTCCATTTCCATTTTCCTTTGAATGTTTTATTTTCTCATTTACATTATCGTAAAACTTATTTTTTTATCCAAAAGAAAATATCTAATTCTCCCATCGATGATTGTTTTTATTTCCACATTTTAATACATTTTAAACAATTAAAATGAATACAATGTCTCCAATTGAGTTTAATTTCCGTTCTACTCAAAATTTGTAATATTAGAAATTTGAGATTTTGAAGAAACACTCATAATAAAATAAGATGATTGTCCATTCAAACAGATGAACTATCGCTATTATTCAGTTGATTAAGATTACTACCTTGAGAGAGAATTAACAACGATTATCAAAAGGAATTTGTCTTCTATTGGTGTGAATCAAGAAACGCATTTACTGAGGCCAATGCTTTCTCGTAACACTCTTCGAATCCTTTGTCATCTGAATCGTACCATGGATCATGAATAATTGTTTTACCGTCTGGATGATAATCGCCTAGAAGACCAATTTCCGCTGTACCATCGGCTGGAGCTTTTCTTTTAATGTCTTGTAAATTTGATTTATCCATACCAAAGATGAAATGGAATTTTTTATAATCATCTTTACACAATTGACGGCATTTATGCTTATACTCAATTCCATGGCGTTTAATACATGCAGTTGCTCGGCGGTCGGGTGGTGATCCAGTGTGTTCATTAGAAGTTGCCGCTGAATCAACAAACCATTTATCCTCTAATCCTCGTTCCTTAACAACATGTTGAAAAACAGCTTCAGAAATTGGTGATCGGCAAATGTTACCAAGACAAACCATTAGAACGCCTCGTTTACCCATTTCTCTTCAATGACACTACAAAACAATCACTTCTCTAATTAACCAATGACAATTGGGATGAAAATTAGAATTTAAATTTTAAATACAATCAATCGTTTAATCGTAAAGTAAACAATTAATTGTAGCAACGAAAAGTTAACGTTAAGATTTGATCAACTTGTCAACTTGTAAACAAAAAATTCTTCCGATTGTGATTGGTTGTTTTCTATTGGCGCTTTAATTGAATTTTCGTTGCATTCGAAAATTTGAAAAAAAGAAAATTGAAATTCTTTTTTGGTCAAATGTCACCGTTAATCTATGATTTCATTCAAACGAGTAAAAAAATATTCGAAACAAATTCCGTCTACTTCAATTTTTCGATGGACAAATTTAGGACTAGAAAAGATCGACTGAACTCTCATTTTAGACCGAACAGAAAATTGGAAACAACAATTAATATGGAATTAATTTTTATTTTCAATTGTATTAGTTTTAAATTAAATGGATTTACTGATCCCATCTTCAAGGCTTAGGTTAGTGGGGAAAATAAAACAAATCTAGTTATCCTTATAAATCGATTTGTTGAAAATGAATATCGCTTGGTCCAAGATTCGGTCCAAATTGGTCATTCATTAATTGGTTAATTTAAGCTTTGAAATGGAATTTCCAACTTTAAATAATCCATCTTGCCTGCAATCATCATCTATTGGAACACTAGAAGATTGAGAAGAAGAAGATTTAAAATAGTAACTATTAATAGAACAATTAAAACTTGGATATGAGTTCATGATGGTCATCAGATTGATTTGATTTTCATTGAAAACGAAACTTGGAGTAAGTCATTTGAAAACTTATTCTTGATACTACTTGTTGATAAGGAATCAGCAATTGATTAAACATTGAGTATCACAGGTATTAACCTTAATCACTATTCAAACAGCTCAGTTAATTCTTCTATATGAATTTGTGATAAATTCACAAACCGTTTCACAGAAATGTGACTTTTCCCGTTCGTTCAGTGAAATGTTATATTCAAGAAGCGAACTGACAACAAAAATTTAACTTTTGAACATTTACCAGATAATTAAACGAGCTTCAAGCACTTAGAGTGCTTTTTACAAGCAAATAGCAACTTACTAATACTGTTAATAGCGTTTCTATTTCTCATCTCGTTGAACACTAATAATCTGGAACTGGAGCTGCAAGAACACCAATTAAATCCTGATACTTGACATAAGTTCCCATAGTGTTCGCTTCTCGTAAGATATGGTCAACTTCACGATTTCCAAGTTTCTCACCCCATTGACAAAGAATATGCTTTAAATCGCGAACATGAATTTGTCCAGTTTTCTCTCGATCCCAAGCCTGAAAAGCTTCCATAATTTCCTCTGGAACTTTTTCCTTCTTTGAATGAGTATGCATGACATCAAGAAAATCAGCAAAAGACAATTTACCTCCTAAACAAAAACAACAATACAAAGATAATTAAACACTAATTAAGAATAGAATATCTAATTTAACAAGAGAATTTACCTTTTTCCTTAAGATAGACTTGCATCTCCGGAATCGTTGGGCTCATTCCAAGTGATCTCATGATCAATGAAAGCTCATCAAGATTCACAATCATCCCATTGTTGTGAGTATTCAAATAGAAACAATCTCTAAACTCATCGATATCTTGTTCCTTAAAGTATCGAGCCTAATAAAAAAAAATTAGAAGAAACAATTAAACGAAAACAATTAAAAAATTAAAGAGAAAAACAAACTTACCATGATTACGTTTTCTTTTCAACAACAACAATAGAATCAGGTGATTGGAGAAAGAGAAAAAGAAAGAGAATAGAAAATAGTTACTTGTCAGTTTCTCTTTTCTTTCTTATTCTTTTTCTTTCTTTCTCTCTCTTTTTTCCAATTCTAATTAATTAGTTTGAATTTTTTTTTCTATCAAACCGAATACATTTGATCGATTAGTTTATTTTTCTATTAGTAATCCAATTAATCAACAATTAACTGAACGTTTTAAAAGGAAAATGAATTTCGTGTCTCCGTAATCTTTTTTTTCTTGTTACTTACCTGACTTTTTATACCTTTTGCTTTGTGTCCTTTGTCTTGGTCTTGTCATCTAAATACAATTGATTTGAGAAATTGTTACAATTTAACCAAAGATGAAGTTAATTATTTCTATAATTAGTCTGGCAATACCTTTGATTGGTATTTCTATTGTTTATATTTATCCAAGTTTTAAGGAGCAAAGTGTTGAGTTGATTTTTTTCCTTGGTAAGACAATTTATTATGGGATCAGAAGAGGTGAGTTACTATTTAATTAGTTTTTCTATTCTTAATTGTTACTTAATTTGAGTGTTTTTCTTTCTAAATTTATTGTAGTTGATCCAGATAATTCGGATGGAGTTAGTGGTAAACGTTGCCTACCTTCGGGTGAATTATTGTTCACTCAAGAAGATCTGGCTAAATATAATGGCGATAAAAGTGGTTCTAAAATTTATCTCGCCTTTCTTGGTATAGTTTATGATGTTTCCGGTGGTTCTAAACACTATGGACCCGGTGGGGCTTATGCCTTCTTCTCGGGGAAAGATGCCACCCGTGCCTTTGTGACCGGACAATTTGACAACGATGGACTTGTGGATGATGTCAACGGCTTATCAGTTGACTCTTTTTCCAGTGTTCGTCAATGGGAAGACTTTTATGAGAAAGATTATAAAAGAGTTGGTCGGGTTATTGGTGCTTATTACGATAAATTAGGTTGTCCGACAAGTTCCATTGATTATGTAAAGACAATGTATAAAAAACTTGAAGAGGAAGAAGCTAAAGCTCTGGAAGATACTGATCAGTTTCCTCATTGTAATAGTGAATTCCATGCGGAAACTAATTACCATAGAGTTTGGTGTTCTGACATGAGTGGGGGAACAAAAAGAAACTGGATCGGTGTACCAAGGCAATTGTACCTTCCCCGTGAAAAGGTTCACCGATGTGCTTGTGTTAAAGATAAAGGTTCACCTACAGTTCCAGCAATCGATTATGCCGATGATGACGATGAAATGATTCCAGATCAAGAAACAGTTGAACAAGAAGCAATCATAACCTCTACCAAATTAGAGGAAACAGAACAAGATGTCGGAGATTTGAAACATCCAAGAATCAAAGAGTATCCTAATTGTGATCCCAATTCACACGAATGTGTCCTCTCTTCTCCCCTTTAATCAACTTTAATTACTCTCGAGAAGATTGTTCTCTTTCTCTCTAATCAACTCTAATCTGTCATTTTCATCAATAGTTTTCAAAAATTTCGTGGCCTGTGCATTGAAATTTTCAATATTCTTGCAATATCATGAAAAATAATTTTCTTCTTTCAAGCTTGAAGGAGAAATATATTCTCATTGGAAAAGAAAATGGAAAGAATTGTATCTTTTAATCAAAGTAATTAGTGGAATGGTAAAATACATGATGTTGTTTTTTTTGGTTTTTACACAAGTGAAATGCTATCATATTCATTGATTACCTATGAATTCCTGGTTTACTTGCACAACCAGGACAAAGATGCATATTCTCATGAATGAAAAGATCACATTCTATGCAGAATTTATTGTGACAATGTCCACATTGGGAAGTTTTGGTCATTTCTATTTGACAAGCGAAACATTTTTCCCCATTGGTACAATCGGTCTCATTGAAAAGATCAACGGGAAATAGATGATGATAGGATCGAGAAAGATGAGTTGCTGAGACTAATGTTAGTCCACAGGTTTGACATTCAACGGGAAGGTCACAGTATTTAGATTCACATTGAGGACAAAAGTAGCCGGAGGTTGAAAAATTAACGGTCGATGATAAATGACAGACACACATTGAAGATTTACCTTCACCGTCATTCATGTAAGGTGGAAAACCCATTTTAATTAGAGATGATTCTGAATTAGCAGTAGCCGGTGGTGGATTAAGATGATTAAAGATTAAATCTTTACAATTAGTTTCATCCATGATAACATCATAGGTTCCCTTGGTTAATTTGGCAATTGTTGAGCATATTTTAACTTCAGCGGCCAAACCAATTACCGAAACTCTGATATTATATTTAACCAGTGATTCAATTGTTTCATTAATATCGGAAGGGTCACAGGTTGTTAGAGAACCAAAAATGACCAGAACCTCTTTACTTGTATGAGCTGGAAGATGTTTCAATGAGTGTAAACAAATTTCCAGTGAATTTTGTAAAGATGGTTCACCGACACAATTAACGTCCATTAATTTTTTAATTGTGTCCATTAAAGCTGTATGATTACCAGTTGATTCGATCATTTTTTCACCACGTTTATTTCGTGTAACAATTATACCAACTTGTGAGATTGGATTTTGATCAAAAAAATCATTAAGAAAAAGTTGTACTATTTTAAGTGTACAATAGATTCTTGTTGGTTTAAGATCAACTTCAACCATTGCTTGTGACATGTCAATTACTATGTAAAGATGCCTCATCATACCAAGACGAACATTTTTACGGTCAGTTAATCGTTTTCTTTTAGCTCGGTGGATCATATCATTAACGGAAGGCTGTAATAATCCATCCTCATTCTCACGAATGGCTTCCCATGTTTTCTCATATTCGGTTTCCCAACGATAACCTTTTTGCTCGTCATCCAAATCTATTCTATCCATGGTGATGTGTACACTTTCTCTTCACCTTTAACTAGTTAAAACTAAAGAAAAAGAGAGAGAAAAACAATTATCACAAATCAACAATCAACAATAATTTAATCAACAAATTGGAAAACAAAATGTAAACAAATGAATAAAAAAAAAATTTTTTTTCTTCCAAAACATATGATCATCTAGGTGGCGCTTCCATCGAGTCTCTATCATATGTTGGTGATTTAAAGATTAGTGTTGAATTAATTAATTACCTTTTCTGTGATTTAGTTATTAACACATCATTAGTTTTATTGTTTTTCCTACAATTTCCAATTCTCCTGAATCTGAAACGTGTCCTTTGGTGATTTATTGTCTTGGAGAAATTTCAATTTTCTTCTATTCTTTTTTCCATGTTTATGGTCTTCATCTTCTGGTATCTTCTTTGAGTCACTTTATCGTTTTCTTTTGGTATTTTTTTGCTTTGAGAAACAATTATGATCATTGTTGGTGGTTTAATTGTTGTTTTTATATTACTAGGTATTCTTGTGACATTTGTTAAATTATTGTCAACTGGTAGACCAAAGGTTTTTGTCCATGAGAATGAAAGATTTTTCTATGATCCAGTGTTGAAGGATCGGTTTCCATTTCCTCAGTTACTAAGTGATGGAGATGATGATGATGATGATGGTGCCAAATGTGAGAAATATTTATCTGTGATCATTCCTGCTTATAATGAGGAATCTCGTTTACCTGTTATGTTGGATGAAACTCTTGATTATCTGGAAAAAAGATGCCATGAATCAAGTGAATCGAAAAATGTTGACCAATCAAATCTGGATAAAACTAGTTCATCATCTTTGGAACCACCAAGAGGTGAACAGTTTACCTATGAGATAATTATTGTTGATGATGGTTCTCTTGATAAAACTACAAATGTTGCTCTTAAATATTCACTAAAATATGGAACTGATAAGGTTCGAGTTCTCAAGGCGTGTAAAAATCGTGGTAAGGGTGGAGCTGTTCGTTTGGGTGTTCTATCTGCCAGAGGGAAGTTAATTCTATTCGCTGATGCTGATGGAGCAACTAAATTTGCGGATATCGAAAAGTTGGAAAATTATCTGTACCAGTCAACTGACAATGAGAAAGATTTAATGAATTCCATTGCAATTGGATCAAGAGCTCATTTGGAGAAGGAATCAATGGCCACCAGATCCATTTTTAGAACAATTTTGATGCTTGGTTTCCATTTTGTTGTCTGGTTTTTTACTGTTCGATCCATCGAAGATACTCAATGTGGCTTTAAAATGTTCGGACGAAATGTGGCCCGTGTTCTTTTCAACCATATGCACGTTGAGAAATGGGCCTTTGATGTTGAGCTTTTATTTCTCGCCGAAAGAATCAAGTGTAACATCGGTGAATCAGCAGTTAATTGGACGGAAATCGATGGATCCAAAATTGTTCCCGTTTTTAGTTGGATTCAAATGGGAATCGATGTAATTAGTATTTCTTTGATGTACACAATCGGCGCTTGGACATTCCCGTTGAGAAAAGACAAAAATATTTAGACGAAAACAAAGAAACTTTTTTTTTAGAAAAGAAAAGAAATTTACTTTTTTACTAAGTGACAATCGGGACAATTAAGAAACAATTATTCAACTTTAATAATATATTTAAGTGTTGATTTTCTTGTTAAAATTTACCCTAATCAGTTGTACGATTTATGGGTATCGATCATCAATATTGAGAGTCAAACAATCAATCGCCTTGGATAATTTCTTACTTGCTGTTCACATGTTCCTTAATTGTCTAAATTAACTATTCTTCAAAAAGAAGAAGGAAAAAATTTCAATTTTGTTAATTATATTCAATAATTTCACCTAATGTCTCTCAGAATATTTCTCTCTCTACAATCTACCAAAGTTTTTTTTCTATTCTGTAAAACAATTAAGTGTAACAAATGATTAAATCATGATTTCAATTGAAAATTAGAGATTTCTTTTAGTCACAATTAATAATCTTTTTGAACAGACTTTGAATTCTCATTGATGAATTGTTAAAATAATCAAATTACAATAATGATTCTCAAGTGAATCTTGTTGATCAACAAGACAAATGATCAAGTTTTGCATAGTAAATTAAGAAAATATCACAATACTGATCATGTATTTCCAATTTTGTTTATCCTTCAAATTAATTTCCATGAGAAATTGATCATCTTCATTTAATCTGCTGGTTTCTCCAAGTCTTTTCTTTCTCATAATTGAATTGATTAATCATTTTAATTGTTCCAAGAATAATGAGTTGAACACTTGAACCTCCTCTACCACTAATTGTTGGAACCACGATTTTGATTGTAATTGATTAAATGGATACATCTGTTTGTCAGAATCATTTCTTCTCGATTTCTTGGTTGTTCCTCATTGGGAATAATTTCTGGAAAACTGATGATAATCATATGATGAATGATTGGTGTTTGTGCGCTTAAAGTGACAGATCAAATTGTCATAATGGTTATGAGATCAACAGGTAACAATAGACAGAGAAAAAAAAACAGGAAGAGAAAAATGGAAAACTGAGATTCATCATTCACTTTCCATTTCATTTACTACCTTCAAAAGTAGTTGGTAAACCTTTTGTTCAGTAGAAAAGTTTGCAAAAAGAATAGAAAAAAACTGGAAAGGTAAAGATTGTTTTCAGGTAAATATTTCTCTCTCTCTCTCTCTCTCATTCTCTCTAATTATGTTATAGTTTGTCTTTTTCAAAGGTTGTATCAAGCATTCAAGGTGTAATTGTTGTAGCGGTGGTGGTTGATTTTGTAAGCGATAGCAGATAAATATACAATATTTCATAAGATGTTGTTGTGTTTCAACAATTAGGAAAAACACTTTAGCAATTAAGGTAACATTGGACACATTTCACTGACACAAACACTATTAGGTATGGTTATTGGTTTGTGGGTGATTATAAAATAACATATAAAAAAGCGAAAAGTATATCAAGCTGATTATCGGTGAACCATTTCTTTGTATTCATTCATCGTCTTCGGGTGATATTGATTCTGAACTGTTGATCTCTGTAAGTTTTTGATATAATTCTTCAAGAGGTTTACATTTGGTCAGAATTTCTGGATTTTCTTTTAGAACACATTTAACTTGGTCTAGAAATTGGTCTAATCGTTTTATCTCATCCTCTGCACGTCTTTCGTTCTCCTCCCAGATCGCTCGATGTTTAATGTACCTTTTATCCAATTTATCGAGTTCATCGTTACTATTTTTAACCTCTTTCCCGAGGCTCTCAATTTCATTCCTAAAGAAATAAAAATCAAAGTGGGATGAAGATGGAGAGAAGAAAAAAAAACAATTATAAGTGAGAAATTATTAGTTTTTGAAGTTTACCCGGGCAAAGAAAACTGGTTCAGAAAACGTTAGTTTAAGGTAAGGTTTTCGTAATAAGATATAAGGTAAGGTTAACACAACAAGAATGACTCTTGGTGTATGATTTGGATTTTTTTTTTGCTTTTCGTTTCTTCATAAATAGCCCAAGAAAGAGCATAAATTATTAATGAAAACTTACTGTAATGATTGATTAGTGGTTGTCATTTGTTGTAATTTGACCTCAATCTCGGTCCGTGTTTTAATCTCTTTTGATAATTGGTCCTCGATTTCTTTCTTCTCTTCTTCGATAATTTGTTTCTCATCATTAAGGTAAAGAATTGTCTCTCGAAATTCTTTATTTTCAAATTCAAGGTCTTCATTTTTCTTCTGTAATCTTTGAATTTCTTCAGATAAAGTCTCGTAATCTAGGAAAAAAATTTAAGTAGAATATAAATAACCAAGAGTAAAAGAAAAGAGAAAATAATAAAACAAAATAAATTATGAATCCATAAAAAAGAAAATGGAGAAGAGAACAAAAAATATTCGCTAGAAAAAAAAACCAGAAAAGAACAAGAAGTAAACCTGAGAAATTTATCTTCTCCAAAATAGTTCAGCTAACAGTTAACAGAATAGAATTTAATTATTTAACTAACCTTTAGTTATTTTTGATCGAAGAAAATTTTCTTTCAAAACGTTCATAGAGCTTTTCAATTGCATGTCTTTCAATTGATTACAATATGAAGAAGGTGAAGGTGGAGTAGCGATGGGAGATGAAGATTTGGACGGTGAAGGTGAAGACATCATATCGACACTCAATCTGTAGATGAGAACAATGAACCAATCAAAAAGCGTTAGAATAAAAAAACAAATCAAATAGAATCACAATTAAAATAGTAAATTAGTAAAAAGTCACCATAAGAGACACTTTAAAAAAATAATCTCTTTCTAATGTAAACATAAACAAGATCTAAAACCGAATGACCCGGGAAAAGATTAAATCGATCACCAGGTTTCGCTTTGATCGAAAATTTTACCCGCGCAATTCGAAAATTGTAAAAGATAAAAAATCTCAAAAGTAAACAATTAATTTCCAATTGGAATCAACAATTAACTCTAATCATTCCTAGTCTCATGTTTCAATTAATTTGGAATCAATTTCGTAATCAGAGTAACTGGTTTGATTGTATTTCTTGTGATTCTTTGGTTGGATTAATTGTTTTCTCTTCAATTCTCTCAACAATTATATTTGTTTATCTTAATTGATTTTAAGTGAAAAGTTAAATTTGATTTTGGTTTTGATTTTGATCAACAATTTTGATTTTGTTTTCCTTTAATTGGGTTGAAAGGTGATTTGTTATTTACTTTTATTATTTAAGATTAACAAGTTTCAGTGTTAATCTGTTGATTAGCTGTAATAAGATATTGTTGGTTATTATAATTTCTTGTACATTTATGGTCAATCTAAAAAAAACATCATTGATGATGAAGGTTGTAAATCATATGTACTAGTGATGGGTAATGAAAGTAATTAAATTGTGAGTATTTCCTCAATTAATTGTTGAATGAAACTTTGAGTAATTTGTTTACTTTCCTCATGCAAAACTAATTGTGATTTAATCGTCAAAAAGGAAGAGATAATCAATGGAAAGTCACCATTTGTACGTATATACCATTGGTTGATGGGCTATTCTTTTGTTCATCCAAAATTTGGGTGTTAATTTTATAGCGATGAATTTACTAATTAATCTTAATTTTCTAATAATTATATCATCTTACACTTTTCTAGTTAATTGTTCAACACTATCAAGACCTGAAGTAACCACAGAATGGGGAAAAATCACCGGATTCACCGAGCGAATCGGTGATAAATTGGTTGACACCTATCTAAGTATTCCCTATGCCGAACCACCGGTGGGCCCTAATCGTTTCAAGCCCACTGTCCCTCTTCAAACTCCATGGGATGATCCCCTTGATGCAACTGAATATTCACCGGCTTGTCCCGAACCCTATGTTGGTAATGATATGAAAAGAGCCGGTAAACTGATTGTTCGAAGTGAAGATTGTCTCTATCTAAATGTTTGGATTCCCCAAAGATCATCAACCAATTCAAGTTGGCTTGATTTAACTCGATCATCGGCCAATAAAATGGTTGATTCTAAACAAGGACTTCCGGTAATGGTTTATGCTCATGGAGGTGGTTTGGTTATGTTATCTGCTGGTGATTCTAAATTCATGGATGGAGCTCAATTAGCTTCCACCGGTGAGTTTATCGTGGTAACGTTCAACTTTCGCCTTGGGGCTTTAGGTTGGCTTTATTGTGACGACTCATCGATTTCGGGTAACATGGGTCTTTATGATTCCCTGATGGCCATTGATTGGGTTTACAATAATATCCACGCCTTTGGTGGTGATCCTAAACGGTTAACTGTAAATGGCCTTAGTTCCGGTGGTAATATGGTTACTTCACTTTTCCTTAACGGTCTCTTGAATCCCTACATTTCGAGCTTAATTGTTCACTCTGGAGTGATTAGTGATATTTATACTGAGCCAACTGACCTGGCAAAACGGCGATGTGACCTTATCTCATTGAATCTTTCATGTCGATTACCTGATCAACCTGTTGATTCAAAAGTAATCAACTGTCTTCAAAACACACCAACGGTACGACTTTTAATGGCTCAATCAGCTTTGGCCATGGAAAAGGATAAATTGAACACTAAAAGGCCCGAAATATTTTTCGTTACCACCGGCGATTCTTTAATTCCTCATAATATAACAACTCTTTATAAACTTCGTAAATGGTCAAAATCAGTTCCGATTTTCGTCTCTCTGGTTACCGATGAAGCTTCGGTGATTGAACATCATTTACCACGAAAGGGAGTTGCGACCTTTGGCTCGTATGAGAATTATCTTCTCTCCGTAGCACCAACTTTACTCCCAGAACGATTTTCCGTTTCACCCAAAACCGTGGCCTCTGATCTGTCCAAGGTTTACCTTTCTGGTTTCAAGGAATCCTCTCTAGCTTTTATGGACTTGTCAATGAGACGAATGGTCGGTGATTGGTATATTACTTGTCCCACTCTTCATTTTGCCGACGAAATGTCCTCAACTAATCCCGTTTGGTTATCACTTTTTAGTTATACAATTAATCCTGCAAGGAAAAATTTACCTCCATTGGTCGCAGGTCGTAAATACGGAACCCGACATGGAATTGATATCTTCTTCTACTTCGGTGTTCCTCATTACGAAGGCCATGGCTATGATGATAAAGATCGTTCAGTATCAACGAATGCAATGTTAATTTGGTCGAGATTTGTTCGTGAAGGTTACGCTAATTGGACTCCTTATCAAGTGACCTCCAAAGGTCGAGTAATACCTTACATTAAGGAATTGAATTCCAACAGAGCTATAATTACACGAATTAATCCCGATCGTTATCGTTGTTACGTTTGGGACGATCTCTTCTATAATTCTGATAACGATCAAGAAATTTAGTTAATAACCTTTTAAATTTTCATTCTCTAACATTCAAACCTCTCTTTCCTTTGATTTAATTGTCAAATGATGGAAACTGATTTAATCAAAAGCAATTAACTTTCAAGGTTTATTAACAATCTTGCATCAAATCCTAATAACAATCACTTATTACTTTTTACTGAATGGTAAAAGTTTCCAATTAAATTGTAATCACTCTCAAATTGATACATTTAATTGCTATTTAAATTATAAGAATTGACAATCACAATTGACTAAATCTTTTGATTACTGTAACTATTTAAACTGGATTAGTTTCACAGGATTTAATCACTATTCATCTATCCCTTTAACTAATATTAATATTGTAAAAAATATTGAATCTTATGGTAAACAATTAAGAGAAATCACCTTAATTGTTTGGCCATTCAATAATGAAAATAGACCATTTTCATTAAATGTTAATTGTTGTGAACTTTGAAAATTGATCAAATCAGTTCACTTGAAATCTGATAATTAACTATGCTCATCTTTTTGATTGAATAATAATCAATAATAAATAAAATTGTGTAATAAGGAAACAATTAAAATTTTATAACAAAAAGTAATTAACTATCAATGGTAAACATTTTTGATTAGTTTAATCAAAAAGTGATCAAAGTGGACCGTTAATTGTAATTAGAGTAACCAATCAAATTGTAATCAAACACTTGAATCAAATATCACTAATCAACAATTAATTTAAATTCAATGAGAATTAACTTTCTCTACTCAATATGATTATGAATTATGAATTATTAATCTATTATAATTAACCGATTCTCTAAACTAATTAACAATCAGTGTCAATCATTGTCAAAGTAAATGTGAAAAATGATTAGATTTACAATTAAATCAATAATTGGATTGAAATTTATGAATAAAACTTGATTGTTTGATTGTCTATCTTGAGGTTAATTTGAAATGATTTCAAGTTCATCAAACTAATTGAAATTAACTGAATTAAATTTGGACAAATGTCAATTTATTAATAGTTCAATGAAATTTACCCTGAAACAATAAATTAAAAGTTAATCGTACAAATTGTTGTTTTAAGTTGATAACAATTAGTGATATTAAATTGTCTATGAGTAAACCTCATCAGATAAATAAGTTGATCATAATTAATTGATTGTTGTTGTATTTCAATTCACTTGATAATTGTATCTGGAAGAAAATGAAATCTGTAAACAAAAGGAACCATTGAATTGATGAAACTTTAATGAATTACAATTAACTTAATTGGCAAGCAACTTTTATCGTAAATGTAATGATAAATGAGCAAATATTACAATTGTTTTCTAACAGTAAATTGTATTGACTCATTGAACCATTTAAATTGTCAATGAAAAACAGTTGAACAATTTAAGTGACAACAATCAACAAGTTATTACAATCAGACAAACCAATGAGCATAAGTAACAAATCATAGTAATAGATTACAATTAAAACGTTTCTAATTTAATTATGATGATGATTCAATTTCCACACTTCACCCAACAATTTAACGCTTTCTCTATCTAACACAGAACAATTAACTAATTATTAGAATAATTTCGCATCATCGATTACAGATTTTCGTTCAAAGTTCTAAGTCGAGGAAAAAGTTTCCAAGAGATATGATCACAAAGAGACACCGAGAGAGATTAAATCAGTGAGATGATGATGATGATGTAAAGAAGATCTAAGGCCAAAATCTAAGGCCAATGGTAATGGAAGAAAAAAGAAAAAAAAGAAAACATAATCAGCGAAAATCTCAGACTGCTTGGTGTTGATTGTATGTAAGAACATGATGATGATGATGATGAAAAGGATGAGGATGAGGATGATTGTACTAACATAGACCTTGGAACTTGAAACTTTTGGCTTCAGTTTACAATAGATAAAGATAACAATCAAAGTTTTAATTTTCTTTTTGTTAATGATTAACAGTTATAATCGTAATTGACTTGGAGAAAAACGAAATCTTAATTCTTGGAAAAGTAAACAACAATCGACGCCTACCTTTACCTAAGAAAAGTGATAAAAATCTATGATTAAGTTTACTTTGCCATTGGAAATTAATTTTACAGGCAAATTGACTTGAGGGTAAATCACAATTTCTCTCAAACTATTACAATATATCAGTCAAGTCGAAATAGTTTCAATACAAATAATCAAATGGTGAGAATAATTTTCTTGGGTAAACAATAATTTCCATTCAATTTTTGATCATACAAATTAACTTGATTCTTGATTATCTTTCCATTCAATCAACTTAACCAAGTAATTCAATCAAATCAGATTGAAAGTTGTATTGAAGTTTCGTTAATTTTCATCGGTTAACTATGTGTAGATTTAATAATTAACTTGTTTCCGATGATTAAGATGAAACAACTTGTTGCAATTGACATGGAACCTGGAAAACTATTCACATCCATGGAAAAGTTTTTTTTTTGTTCAGTTGGAATTGAATGGAAGCCAAAATCATCTTCTAAATACCAAGCATGATGATCTTATTTATTTCTCTTTCTTTCCTACTGTCTAATGAAGATTTCATCATCATCTTCAATGATGATCAACCTCAATCCTGAAGGAACCAGAATCAACCCCAAAAATAACCTTAAAAAAATATTAAAACTGTAACATGTTCATGTTTTTGTTATCGTAATTGGCAAAACTAATAAACATCATCATCAACTTGATCCTTTATCCAACCAGCAAGTTAATCATCATCTCGTATGATAACTAATCCACTCCCTTTCCCTGTGTCTCCATCTCATCAAACTAAACGACTAAGAAGATATGATAATGATACATAATAGAACTGAGAAAATTAACTAAATTGTTCAATTAACTTTCAAATTTATCTATTTCCCTATTCCCAACGATAGATTTATAAATTGATCGTTGCAACGTTGATAGAATGATAAAGAAAAACAAAAAGTAAATGATGAATAAAATGGAAAAGCTCAAGTGTCAGTTGATTTTGGAAATTAAAACTTGTTGTCTTCATTTTAAGCTTCGTTTTAATCTTTATCTTCATCTTCATTTTCATCTTCATCACTATGATCATTATCTTCAACCCCAACACCCAACACCAAGACATCAACATCATCCTCATCACCAACAATCGTCAAGTCATTAAACTTTCAACTGTGTGAGTACCAAAAGTGATCACTTTTCATATTATTAGTCGATGTTCAACTTCACTCGTAACTTTAGTTTCGATGTGTAAAAGTGTTCAAATTATTGACAGAAAAATAGAAAACAAACCAAACTAAATCCAGTAAATTGTCGCAATGACAGTCACCTATTCATTGAATGTCGCCAATACCCGATTAGCGGGATTCGCTAAATTGTTGGTTCGTTGGAGAGGAAGCATTTACAAGCTTCTCTACCGAGAGATGTTAATCTTTTGTATTTGTTATTACAGTTTAAGTTTAGTTTATCGATATGGACTCAAAGACAATCAACGAAGGTAAGTCCTTAATTGTCCAATGATTTGATTCCCAATTCTCAATCAGCTATAATTTTCCTGCTACTACTCAAAATTATCATTAAATTGACAGATTTGATGATCATTAAAAAATCCAAAATGAATGCGATTCAATAAACTACTAGGAATTGCCATTGACTTAAATGTCAACTAAATCAAATTAAATTGTTAACATTTGCTCTTGTTTAATTTGAGATGATTTTGTCAAAAATAAATTGTTACACACTAGTGACTTTGGTTCAATGGTAAATAGACAATTAAATCAAGGGCAAGTTGATTTTATCTTTAATCATATTAACTGATTAAAAGTCCGAGTTAATGATTATCATCAGTTTTTGATATCAAATTGTCAAATTGAAAGATTTGATCAAAAATAATCAGTTTCTATAGCTGATTGTGACAAGTTTTGCTACTTGATTGTTGTCACAATCAAATGATTACCATGAAAGCAGATTAAATTGTTGACATAACAACTATTGATATAATCATTGATTCTTGTTGTTGATTTAGTTTCTCAGGTTAATTGTTATCACACTTTTTGTTTTATCCTTTCTACTATTCATCTTAACAATCAATTGATTGTCAATCATGGTTTGTGTTTACATGAATCAGTTAACTGTTGTTTAGTTACAACTTGTAACAACAGTTAACAATTGTAAACAACTACGATGATATATTTAGTTGACTTTGTTTCTTTCAAGTTTAATGTTTAATCAAATATTTATTGTACCAAATTAAATTGTTGTTTTGATTTTATCAGTTTAATTGTTAATTGTCAAAACTAAATAAAAAAAAACTATACGTTAATTTAGCGTAATTAAAGTCAATAATCAATCCAAACTCATCATTATTATGTTTGTCAATAGTGACGGAGTTGATTTGAAAAATATTAATCAGATTGAATTACAATCAAACTTGATTGTGATTTAGTTTTGGATAAAAGTCAGAATTGATTTATTAATATATACGAATATGAAATATATTCAGAAAATGAGTTTGATTGAAATTAACTAGAGACTGTTGATTTAGTAAAACGATTAACCTTGATCTAGATCTAGATTTGAATCTTTTATTTTTAACTAACACATTTAAACAATTAAATTTGTATTCTGTCATCTTAGAGATTATATAAAATGGTAATTTAAATTGTTGTGTCAATACAATTATCAAATTTCACTTGATTATGGTTATGATCACGATTTCAATCAATTGTTTCATCTGTTTATTATGATATAATGATAATAGTAAGGGGTGATCACTAAAAAACCGGACTAACGTTGTTCATTAATAGCGTGAAAACGGCTGATAGCAAAAATTTCCAAAATATATCAAATTGATGCTAAGAAATCAGTAAATCAGATAAGCAAGTTTTATTGAAATTAGATATTTAATTAAAAAGTTGTGATCTAAATTTGAGAGTTTTTGCAAATTTGATGCCAATTGCAAATACATGTGCATGCGCAAAAATGAGAAATTTTGGATTTTTTCATTAATTATTAATTGCTCTAAACAATTTGGATTTTTTTATATTAAATTTTTCAGGTTTTATTACTGTGAAAATGGCCAAAATTAACTTAAAAAACTTGAAATTATCAAAAAAAGACCTGAAATGGCTTCCGTTAAGATATAAAACTAAAAATCAGCTTTGACACGAGAAAATTCGAATGTCAAATTTTCGCGCGTATTTTGAGCACCAAAGCGGCGAAAAAAAAATTCGCCACTCATGTTGGACATTATGCCACTCTTTAATTTTCATAAAATCTAAAAATCATTTCATTATAATAAGTAGTTCAAGAATTATTCAAGAAATAGTTTAGTCCGGTTTTTTAGTGATCACCCCTTAGTAATTGGAAGATGTTGAATACGAGATTAGTTGAGTAATTGCAATTGGAATTAAGTTTAATTGTTGATTGTTTTTCTTATACAGGGTGTTTGAAAAGGTTGCCCTTTATTGTGAAGCTTTTACAAAGTTGATTCCACTTTCTTTCGTTCTTGGTTTCTATGTTTCGATTGTGGTTAATCGTTGGTGGAAACAGTACTCGGCGATTCCTTGGCCTGACGAGTAAGTCGGCGATATTTTTCTAGATAGAAAATGAGAATTAGGAATTTTCAAATTCTTTTTTTGTATCTTGTAGCCTTCTCATGGTAATTTCGGGTCATATCCATGGTACTGATGAACGAGGTCGAATCATTAGGAGAACTCTGGCTCGATATCTACTTCTCCTCCAATCGCTTTGTTTCCAGGCCATTAGTACATCGGTTCGAAAACGATTTCCAACGCTTGACCATTTGGTTGAAGCTGGACTTATGACGAAAGAGGAAAAGATCGCCTATGATGAGGTACCAAGTACCCATGGAAAATGGTGGTTACCTGCTGCTTGGTTTACGAATTTAACAGTACGCGCTCGAAAAGAAGGACGAATTAAGGATGATTTTCTAATGAAACAAATTCTCGAACGTGCTTACACATTTCGTTCAATGGCGGGCGATTTATTCGCCTACGATTGGATCTCAATTCCACTTGTTTATACCCAAACAGTCACCATTGCAGTTTATACCTACTTTTTTGCGACCCTTTTGGCACGACAGTATCTTGACCCCGCTCAGGGTTATTCGGGCTATGATATTGATCTTTATGTTCCCATTTTTACAATTCTCGAGTTTTTCTTTTTCATGGGCTGGCTAAAAGTGGCCGAACAGCTAATCAATCCCTTTGGCGAGGATGATGACGACTTTGAGTTAAACTGGATCCTTGATCGTAACCTGGTAGTCTCAATGATTATCGTTGATTCAATGTACAATAAATTCCCGCGACTTCAACGTGACTCTTATTGGGATGAATCGTCTCCCACTTTACCTTATACAAAATCTTCTGTTGGACTTCGTAATCAACCTTACCTTGGATCTGCCATAAATTTGGACATTAATCCCGAAGAATCAGAATTTATTCCACCTTCACTTGAGACCATCATGGAAGACGAAGTAGATGATGATGGAGATGAAATTCTCGGTCAATATATAACACCACCAAATTCACCCAACACGGAGCTACTTCGAGTTGATGATCTATTTAACCTTGACCAAGAACCACTTCGTCGTCCACCCTCATCAATATCTCAATCTGCTCTTAATATGTTGCCCGATTTTATTGGTTCTCGTTTGAACAATATGATATTTGGTTCGAGCGTTGAAAATGTATCTACTGCCAATTCAGTTTCAACCCTAAAACCCACCGGATCTGAGAAAAGTTCAGGACCAGGTACAGCAAATTCCGGTTTCAATTCATTGAATGCATCGTTCAGTTTGAAATCACCTCGACGTCGACCCAGAAAAGTGTCAATGGGCAACCCAATAAATAACAACAGTTCGACCATTTTCAAGGTCAGTTCAAGTGCTGCCATCGATCCATTGAAACGTTCAATTTCCTCGTCACTTTTTTCTCGAGATTCAGTAGAAGATATTAATTTAATCAATCCAAATAGTGTGAACAATTATGCTTATGGAAATACCAACAATTATATTAATCGTATCTCCCCCTCGCCTGGTCACACTCGACGAAGCATGTTAATCAATCGTCCTCGAGGAAGTAATTCCCTTTCAGCTCAAGATTCTGATGGAAGGTCACTGATCATCGATTTAGGTGATGGACTTTCCCTAAAGTCACAATCAACACTTTCATCAACAGGTCAGCAACAACAACAACAACAACAACAACCATCATCCACTCAACGAGCTCGACCTCAGTCAATTTCAATGGACGAATCCAACTACAACCAACAATCAAATGGTAAATATCATTACTCTGGAAAAGGTAATGAGACTAATCAAGTTGATGGAAACTCAACATCAGGTAAATTAGATTTGATTCTCTATTTCATTTGTATCGTATATTAATACATGTATTAATCTAATTTCTCTAGTCTATGAAAGTGATTTAATTGATGACACTGAAACGGCAACAATTAGACAACAACAATTTGGTTCAACCTCCATGTTACCTCCGATTCCTCCTCCCAGCTCACTCCAACAATCAAATTTATTTTCATCAACCAAAGTGACCGAAGAAAATACAAATAATATCACCAACAATCAACCAATTATCACAAAAGAATCAAATCAACAACAGCAGCAATTAACTAATGAACAAGAAGGAATCTATGAACCATCAACAGCAACAAATTCATCACAAGAATCACTATCACCAGGAAGTAATCAGTCAACAGTAACAAGTATAACTCAATTAATTAGTAAATCAAGTGAAAAGGAATCATAATAATTTACTAATTAATAATCATCTTAATCTTATTCATGAGACATTCTTTTATTTATCATCTTCGTCATTATCATAATCATTGGAAACTTTTTTTTTTCATCCAAAGTTTTTTTCTCAGAGAAAAGTTCTGAACTCATTGACCCTCTATAATCAAATCTAACAGTTTCTATCGATTAGTAAATGAACATAGTCAAATAAACTTATTTATTAATCATCAAAAAATCAATCATCTTCCATGAAGCTCATTAGTTGAACTTATAACCTTTTTTGTACTGTAGATAACTTGTTTTCTCATCATGCTAATCATGATCAAACTATTATGTAAATAACCCCTGTCCAGTAAGTAATGAGAATTTTTTATAAACTCAATTTCATTAATTGAATTCTAGTTTTTATTAATTGATATTAGATGATCAATATGTCAAATTAAAGCACAAACGCTGATCTCTCTGTCAAGTTTGTTTGAAAACAACGGACCCTTTCTCTTAATTACAGTCTTAATTAGTTGAAATTACAAATTCTCATTACTTACTGGACAGGAGTTAGCATTAAACAGTCTTTTTCGTTTGAAAGGAACCTTTTTTTATCGCTAGGAACCTTTTTTATCACGATAGAAACTCGACTTTAACCAGATTAGACTAATCCTTTCGATGGCCGTTTGAAGGAACCTTTTGCCAATTGACAGAAACTTTTTTTCTTGAATTAAAAACTTTTCTGTATTAGTGACATTTGCAGACAAGAAAAAAATTTGATCAAATATTCTTAAAGGCTTAATAACCTTCCATTCACCTTTTGGAATAACTTTATTTTATTGTTTAAGTGGTGGGAATAGATCTCAGAAACTCAGAATTCTGAACAATTTTTTAGACTAGTTTCATCATCATAATCTTCATTATCTTCATCGTCATCTTCATCTTTATTTAGATTTGTGGGTTAGCAACATTTAATTGACAACTTCTCCGGTGTTAAAACCACCCATCTATGGCCTTTTGCGCTAATGATAACGTAATTTTCAGCACTATAATTGTAGTCACCAATTGAGAAAGAAATATCTTTAGACATTTTTAACACAGCATTTTGCTAGATGAGCAAAGAAATGACCCTTTCATCCAAGCAAAAATCCAACATTTCAATGAAGAGAAGCCATCAAAAGGTAATGATCGAACGAAAAGTCAGCATCGAATTAAGAATGGTCTTTTACAACGAAAAATTAACCACAAAAATAGTCAGCAATGGGTCATTATCCTTCCAAAGTCCATGGTACTGGAGATACTGAAAGCTTATCATGATGAACCTCTCTCTGGACATTTTGGTCTATTTCAAACGTATGAAAAAATCAGAGCGAAATATTATTGGCCAAAAACGAACAAGGAAATTGCTGATTATATTCAAAATTGTGAATCTTGTCAATACAATAAGACTGGAACAGGAAATTCAACTGCACCATTAATCTCAACTGTTGTTTCGGCCCCGTTTGGGAAAATTGGGATCGGTATATTGGGTCCTCTCCCTCGTTCGTCGGGTAAAGAATACATCATTGTAGCCACTGAGTACTTCACTAGGTGGGTGGAGATGAAAGCCTTGACAAAGAAAGACGCAAAGAGCACCGCCAAATTCCTAATTGAGAATATCTTATGTCGACACGGTTGTCCCAAGTCAATTCTGAGCGATCAGGGACGAAATTTCATAGCTGAAACTGTTCAAGTAGGAAACTTCATGAATGCGAAATGGCAAATGTCCACCGCTTACCCCCTCAAACAAATGAATTAACTGAAAGAGTAAATTTTACAATTTGTTCAATGCTCATGCACTATTGTCAAGAGCAAAATCAAGCAAAATGGATGCAAATTTTGCCTCTAATTAATTTTGCTCTTAATTCAAGTGTCAACCGAAGTAATCAAGTGTCACCATTCTTTCTTTAAAATGGGAGATAGCCAACGCTTCCAGTTGATTTGCAAGCTAATCCCGGTGTAAAGAAGACAACCATTGGCGAATACATTGAATTTATGAATCATGTATGGAAATTTGTTAAAGAACAAGCACAAATCCATTATAAATTGTCTAAGCCTCAAGTTAAAATAATTGATAAAAATCTATATGTCTAATGTTTTGGGTACAATCTCAGTTTATTCAACCATGTCCGAGATTGTCCAAATACTGTGTTGAAATTGTCTAAAGTTATTTCTTTCTCAATTGGTGACTACAATTATAGTGCTGAAAATTACGTTATCATTAGCTCAAAGGCCATAGATGGATGGTTTCTAACGCGGAAAAATTGTCAATTAAGAGTTTCTAACCCACAAATCTAAATAAAGATGAAGATAATGAAGATTATGATGATGAAACTAGTCTAAAAATGTGTTCAGAGTGCTGAGTTTCTTGGATCACATCACACCACTTAAACAATAAAATAAAGTTATTCCACAAGGTGAATAAGTTTAAGAATATTTGATCAAATTTTTTCTTGTCTTGCAAATGTCACTAATACAGAAAAGTTTTTAATTCAAGAAAAAAAGTTTCTGTCAATTGGCAAAAGGTTCCTTCATATGGCCATCGAAAGGATTAGTCTAATCTGTTTAAAGTCGAGTTTTTCAGCAACGACCCCAATACACGAATTTTGCTAATCGTGAGCAAGCCTTTAGAGAGAGATCCAGAGAACCTGATAATTAGAAATAAACCCTCCACTTCAACCAATCTGCCACGGCGTGGAAGAAACAGATATAGAAGAGAAGCGAATGAATGACGAAAGGAAAAAGAATCAAGGTAACTCGAGAACTGTAACTCAACTTCTCCGATGTTAGAAACCATCCATCTATGGCCTTTGAGCTAATGATAACGTAATTTTCAGCACTATAATTGTAGTCAACAATTGAGAAAGAAATAACTTTAGACAATTTCAACACAGTATTTGGACAATCTCGGACATGGTTGAATAAACTGAGATTGTACCCAAAACATTAGACATATAGATTTTTATCAATTATTTTAACTTGAGGCTTAGACAATTTATAATGGATTTGTGCTTGTTCTTTAACAAATTTCCATACATGATTCATAAATTCAATGTATTCGCCAATGGTTGTCTTCTTTACACCGGGATTAGCTTGCAAATCAACTGGAAGCGTTGGCTATCTCCCATTTTAAAGAAAGAATGGTGACACTTGATTACTTCGGTTGACACTTGAATTAAGAGCAAAATTAATTAGAGGCAAAATTTGCATCCATTTTGCTTGATTTTGCTCTTGACAATAGTGCATGAGCATTGAACAAATTGTAAAATTTACTCTTTCAGTTAATTCATTTGTTTGAGGGGGTAAGCGGTGGACATTTGCCATTTCGCATTCATGAAGTTTCCTACTTGAACAGTTTCAGCTATGAAATTTCGTCCCTGATCGCTCAGAATTGACTTGGGACAACCGTGTCGACATAAGATATTCTCAATTAGGAATTTGGCGGTGCTCTTTGCGTCTTTCTTTGTCAAGGCTTTCATCTCCACCCACCTAGTGAAGTACTCAGTGACTACAATGATGTATTCTTTACCCGACGAACGAGGGAGAGTACCCAATATACCGATCCCAATTTTCTCAAACGGGGCCGAAACAACAGTTGAGATTAATGGTGCAGTTGAATTTCCTGTTCCAGTCTTATTGTATTGACAAGATTCACAATTTTGAATATAATCAGCAATTTCCTTGTTCGTTTTTGGCCAATAATATTTCGCTCTGATTTTTTCATACGTTTGAAATAGACCAAAATGTCCAGAGAGAGGTTCATCATGATAAGCTTTCAGTATCTCCAGTACCATGGACTTTGGAAGGATAATGACCCATTGCTGACTATTTTTGTGGTTAATTTTTCGTTGTAAAAGACCATTCTTAATTCGATGCTGACTTTTCGTTCGATCATTACCTTTTGATGGCTTCTCTTCATTGAAATGTTGGATTTTTGCTTGGATGAAAGGGTCATTTCTTTGCTCATTTAGCAAAGAGATGGCCCTTTCGTCCGAGCAAAAATTCAACTTTAGTAATAGACTTTGTTCTTGATCCTCTTCAGTGATAATCAAAGTAAAAGATCAGCACTTTGTTCACAGTCATCATAACCAACCTTTTTGAATTCTGGATCATTTGTTGTATATCTACTGAGACAATCTGCGTCAACATGAATTTTTCCTGATTTGTAAGTGATATTGGACTCAAAAGATTGTAAAGTTAAAACATATCGCATTAATCGAGGTGGTAGTTTAGTTTTTAACAACAAGAAGCTGTAAGGCAGGGCTTACAAAACATTTGGTTGCCAACAATTCTTTTAATTAATTTTGGTTTCAATGTGATGCAAAATCAAAGCTAATTAATCAAAATTTTCAAAATATTTTTTCGTTGAATTTAATCAATTTTTCTTAACTAAATTAGTAAAACTTTAGGTCTAAAATCACAAAGTTTCGGTCTTCAGCAAAAAAGTTCCTCGCAAATGAAAAAAGGTTGCGATTTGCATTGATTGGATTATCTTTCTGAACCGGCTTAACTTCGGGGTCCTAACATTTGAGAAAAAGTTCCTATCAATGGATAAAGGTTCCTACTAAACGAAAAAGACTGTATTGATTGTCGAGTCTTCAATTTACTCAAGAAAAACAATTGAAGGTAATTTTCATTGAGGTTTCAAAGAACTTTTGTTGAAATATCTTTATCTCTCTATTTCTCTCTATTTTTCTCTCTCGTTCCCATTTCATGCTCATAATTCCGACTATTAATATATTCATTAAAAGAAACTTGGAAATATTTCTAAAAGATTAATAATCATTTTCTCTCAATTTTCATCTGTGTGAACAATAAGCTAACATCATTATAAAATTCACGAAATTAAGATGCTAAGAATTTCCTTATATTTTCACGAAGAAAATTCTGTTCATTAGTTATTACATCATTTTAATAATATAAATTGTGGAGATCAGATTATATTTGTGAGCAATAAAATGATTCTAACTCCAATTCTAATAAGTTTATACGCTTTAAATATATCATGATATCGAGACTGTCTTATTATTAATATAGTTTTAATAATTATGCTATTAGTCACAATCTGATTAAACTTATCATCGAGTTGGTGGTTTAGATTTTATTCAAATTTCTCATCTCCTATTGTTACAATTAAAACTGATCAAATTAAAGATTGAAAAGATTAAGGTTAAGATGACAAATTTTATTAGGAAACTCAAAGTTGACAACTTAACTTTAATTTTACATCAGGATTTACACCAAGGATTTATCTGCAAAATGGTTCCTCGTTGCATAAGAGTTGGTGTTTACTCACACGAAATTGTGTCAGCTCAATATATAATATACAATATTTATTATTATAATAATATATCTGCTACTTATTATCATTTACTCCATAAATTTACAAGTTATTTTTTTCTTGTGCCCTTTATCTCTCAACATTAACGCTATTGTATGGAAAATACTATTTCTTTAAACTCGCGTTTATGGGAATTTCAACATTATTTGTGACTTTCATGGAGGACGCAACGATATTGACGGAAGACAGTTAGCACTCAAACTATTCCAAGGTTTAAAACAAGATCTCTCTTGAGAATACAATTAAAATGAAATTTATTTTCATAATGTCACTCTTACGAAACTAAATGATGCACTTAAATCAATTCTTTACTGAAATCACCACCTAATGATTCTTGAAAATACTTCATATTGAATTTCAGCTTGAACATACAACAAGCAAAGAAATCAATGTTTCCCAAGATTATTACAAGTGTACTCTAATTGACACCAACACGCGATGAAAATTGATTGATAGATTGGTACAATTGCTGAATAAAACACTTCACCTTTATCCTTTTCTAATAGCAATCAAGATGAAACACTTTGTAATCAAAAAAGAAACGAGTAACATTTCTATTAATCACAAAGGGCTTTAGGCTAATTTAATTACGATTATAATTATTCCAATGAACACTGTTTGATTTACTGTCATAGTTTAATATACGAAATATACAACATTCAAATCATCGTTTTAATGTAATTCCAAGTAATGAACAATTAAGTGTAAAGATCTAATCTGATCCACCTTCTTCTAATACCTACTAATAAATAGTATAGTACTAGTAAATCTTTACATGCTGAGTTTCTGATGATATTTGAAATTAAAATCTATCGATTATAAATCAATAGTTGCAATCAATCTGCTAATATCATGATAACGATTTAATTATCTGATTGAGTTTAAAAGTGAATGGAATATCTAGTTAACTATTATCAACGATAAAGAAAATAGATTGCTCGAAATAATTAGAATGATTCATTTCTATATTTACTCCTGGAATAAACAGAAATTGAATCACGTAGACTAATGGAGTAGATCAATTTACATTAATAAGTTTATCTGCATAACTGAATCAGAATTTGAAAGTAATTCCAAAGAGAGAATTTTAATATTTTCCTGTTCGATAACTCGAAATTTATATCAACAGGTACACTCGAACTGTCCTTAAGTAAACTAACGAACTCACATTGAACTTAATCGTAAATCGAAATCATGTATTATCCTGGCGATTTAAACTTTCCATTTAATGTTACAGTCGGATTTCGTGATGTAATTATCGAGTCAATTACTTGTTTTAATTGTTGATTATCTTGAACAATTTCGTTAATTATATTGTTTTCAATTTCTTTACAAAAAACTTTCAGTTGACTTTTCTTAAAGAGACCAAATTGAAACCCGGAAGAGTGAAAAACCTTTGGTTAGATTTGATGGTTTCCCTGTTTCGATCAAAGTAAGTTGACAATAATTTAGATTAATTTAGTTTATTTAATTGTCATTTCTTTAGTATCATAATCAAGTATTGTCCCGATAAAATTATCGGTGCTTACGATAAGAGTGAAAACATTTACGCTCATGGATTACTTGGGATGTTACAACGAGAGGTGAGTTTTTACTTATTAATGACTTGAAATCTTTTCTAATAATTTACTTTGATTGTTGATCGTTTATTGATTATTGTGGTCAAGGAAATTGATTTCGCTTGGGCAGTGGTACCTATTACACTTACTAATATGCCTGGTGAGATTCTTGGACCACTAATTGAATTAGATTTCATTATTTGCAGTCACAATCCGCCGATTCGTGAGATCTACAGTCTCATCAGTACTTTTGAAATCTTTGACACTTTAACTTGGCTCCTGTTGTTAGGCCTAATCTTATTAGTGGAAACACTTTCAGTTATGTTGATTGTCACAGGTAAATTGAACCTTTGGTCCTCTTTATTTTCAGCCTTAAGGTCATTACCTGGAACCATTTTCACACAATATACTCCGGTCAATGTACCTCGAGTGAAAGTGATCCTGACCGTTGGTCTACTTTTGCTTGCAAGCATTTTAAATGCTTCTTTTAACACTCAAGCAATCAAGATAAATCGTGAAGATTTAGTTGACAATCTATTGGATATTATTAAATTTAAAAGGATTCCTTTTATTACCGATAATTGTTACGATTGGTTCATAAAGGGACAGTTCAGTGTTTTCAAGGAGATTTTTTCTTATGCCACTGAACTTGGTGCTAACAATAGTTATCCAATTGATTCAGTTCTTGTACATGCATCAAATAATGGAGCTGTTATTTCATCACAACATCGATGCCAATTGTATCAGACAACTTTACGTCTTAATAACAATCCATTAGCGAGTAGTATTCATTTCTCAAGGCCATTTGCCAAATCGATCTCCGTTTTCCTGATTCGTAAAGGTTTCAACAGTTCAGATAAACATCACAAGCGTTTCTTGGACTCGTAAGTACATTAAATTCACTCCTTAGATCGATTAGATTGGAGAAACTTAACTTTTTTTTCTCATTCTGTTCTTATCGTTTTCTTTAGTGGAAAATTTTTCCTCGAATTTGGTCTATCCGTTCCGATAAGATCCAATTTATATTACAAATTAAGATCAAATTTTACCGAATGGCAGATTATTAAAGCTTCGAGACCCACCGAAACTAAACCTTGGCAATTCAATCAACTAAATCTTTCAGCTTATCAACAGCAATTAAAAGTTTACTCCGTTTGTCTAATTAGTTGCTTCTTACCTCTAATAATAGAGATCATCTATTTTAGATGGACATGCAGAGATCCTTGCTAATGGTCAGTGTGGAAATTGAATTAATCTTGAAATGAAATCTTTCCAAGATGATTGACCTCATTATCTGAGCTTTAATTTGAATAATTACTCAATAAAAGTTAATTGGACTAAATGAATTTGAAAGATAGATAATGTTATTTATTTAATACATTTGTTGTATAATTGTGATCATTAAATTTATTTTGATTTAATCAAATTCAAGTCTCGTGGTAAATATTAACACAATTGAATTTAGCAGTTGAGATTCTTATGATTTACAATCAACTCAACCAAAATATTCAAAATGGTCTTTTAATAACATGTTGATTGTACAAACCATTGATTTTGTGTGTAATTGAATCAGTAATCAGCGAAACAATTAAGTCCCATTTCATGTGTGTAGCTGATGTTTACTTGATGTTGATTAAATTGATTCCTTGTTAATTGTTCATTTCATAATAAAAGCCTTGTCGTTTGAGCAGTTGATCGGCTTTAGATCTGATGTATTAGAACGACCTCTAAGTGGGACTAAACGATTGACCAGTTGACTGGTTGATCCTGATCTTTTCCAGACAAATAGAAATGTGTAAGCGTGAAATGAATTGACCATCGGGTTAAGTATGGGCAGGGCAAGGGCGATTATGTACATTAAACTGGTTACAATTGGATTGATTATCTCCTCTTGACCACTGAATATCTGCCAAAGTACAATAAAGGCATAAGGAGTCCAGCAAACGATGAATGAAATAGTGACCGCAAGGAAAGTGCTTATAGCTTTACGTTTAGTTTTGAGCATACAATTGGTTTTCTGAGACAATCGTTCCTCACTCGAAGCTGATTTACTCATTCGAGCTGAAAAGGAAGGGTTAAATAAAAAAACCGGAAACAGTTACTATAAATATATAAGAATAAGAATGAAATTCAAAATAAAATGAGCTTTACTTTGAAAATATTAATACTTTAATTCTAATGTAACCTTGTGAGGATTAAATCGCCTACGGGTATTTGAACAAAATGTAACAAAGTGTCAAAATTAATGGGGGTTGGAGTGAAAAAAAAAAGTTCATAACATGAAAATGTAACATTAAAGTTATAATAAGATGAGTTATTGATGAATTTCTCAGGAAAATACTCCTTGTTACTTTGATGAGTTTTTTTTCATCATCATAACATACTCATGAAACTTATATTACACCATGATGCTTATCAGCATCATGCTCATACTCAAATTACATCAGTCATACAATTACATGTTATATTATCGGTGATATAAGATGAGAGAGAGAGAGGGAAAAGTTGATTAAACCTTATACATAATCGATAGTTAATTTTGATATTATATTAATATCTTCAAAAAGGAAACAATCATTCTAGTAAATCGGGAATAATTAGTAAACTACTATGTGAGGAGTAAATTAACTTACCGACAACGTATTTATCTAAATTAAGTGAGGCGATTATCTTTGAATAAAGTAGAATGATCAATTTCAATGGTATCAGGTACATTCCGAGTAAACTGTAAAAGTTGTAGGCTCTCAATTCCCATTCTGCTGTGAAGAAAATGAATCCGACACATTGTTGAAAATTATGAGTTGGATTGGTGACAACATCGTAAATTATGGCCTGAAAATTGAAAAGATCACAATTAGTTGATTGATTAGATAAAAAGAGGAAAAAAGGTAAACAATTTAAATATTCATGAGGTAAATTAATCATTGAAAGTAACATTTTAATGAATTCACTTCAATTCATTTCAACCCATCATCATGATAATATGATAGTGGAATATCAATGAACAATTAATCAACTGACAGTTTTGATTGTTAAATTAAAAAAAATTCAGAACACTAACCTTTATAATTATAGACGATTCAATTGTTATTATTGATACAATATCGATCAATTTGTATTTGTTTTATTACAATAGATTCTACATGGAAATGACAATTATCTTAAGCACATTGATTAACTAAATTATCATCGAATAATCCAAACTAGTGGTTCGTGGTAATTCAAAGTGATTATGAATAAATCTAAACAAGTTGAATTTGTGAATGATTAACAAGTTAGGAGAAAAGTTGAATACAATTTAGTAAAAAAGTTAATTCCCAAGAAATTTAATAGATACATGATACTTAAATGTTTAGTTAATCAATTCATGTTTGAACGTTAATTTGTATGCTTCAATTAAAGTTTCTAATTTGATGTTAAACAAGAAATAGACTAAATCACTTGGAGTGGAAGTGATTGAGTTTGAAAATCAATTTTCATCAAGATTTCAATCAATGAATTTACCTTGAAAATGTCAACAACTTTCATAAAATTCAGAACTTGTCTTTATATATTTTAAAGTCTATATTACCAATGATAAAGTTACCAATAAATAAACATCCGTTTCCGCTCTCTCTCTTTCTCTTTCTTTCTTTCTTTCTTTCTTTCTTTCTATCTATCTCTCATGAGTGTTAGAGAAAAGATTAAGATTACAAAGACTTTATCCTGAGTAAATTAACTTTATTATCTAATAGTTAATTATGATTGTAACGAATACACGGAATATTGGAATAGTAAAATAATGATGATAAAAGTTGGATAGATGATCAAGTGAGTGAATTAACTAGAGACTCGTTGAAAAAGGTCGAGATATAGAGAGGAAACGGATGTCTAATTAGATGTAACTTGTTCATCGGTGTATTATGAAGTACAAGATTCAATTTTAAGTAACATTTTTTTAAGTTTCTGGACAGATTAGGTAATAATGCTATTAGAGAAAACATCAATCAGGGTGAATTGTTGAAAAACTAATCAGAATTAAAAGCGAAAATATTAGAAGGAGCTACTTTTTGTCTCTAATTTCACAATCAAAATAAAGGAAATTAATTAGATGAGAGCTTTAATAGTCTCTCCCCTCATTCATCAAGTTCCAAAGTATCCAAAGTACCTGTACTTGAGAGATTGACTAGAGTACAGAATCATTACTATCATGTCATCGTACTAGTGGACAATATAAATTACACTTCGACCTCTGAAATTGAAAAAGCTCTTGAAAATCAGACCTTAAAAGGAAATAAACTCAAGTGAAAGTGTCAAGCATTTGAGTTTCAATTCTGTTTCATTTTTTAAGCTTCTCAACTGAAAAGTTTTATCCTTTTTTCAATCATTTTGTATCAATGGTTTGAAAATATTGATAAATAATTTTAAGATCAAATTTCATTGATCGATTTTAGGAAAATCGATAATGATCCATAGTCTATTAAAATTAAAGAAGATGATCAACTCAAGACAACAATTAACTCTGACTTGTTGCAATAACGAGTAAGAAATAAATTTGATTTCCTGAATTAAATTTCGTTTCCTAGGAAATTCAAGTTGAAACTTTTCTCTTCATCAAACTAAATCAAAATCTACTTCATTTTTAAACCAATTGAATCAATTGAAGTTTGTAAGGTTTTCAAAGTCAATAATCAATAAAAATCAAAGTAAAATAAAAAAGAGTTGAGGCCCAGAGATTAGAGAGAAAGTCTTCACAATTACATGTTCGGAAAACTTTTCATAGCGACCGATCGATCGGGAATATGGACTGGGAATACAAGTAAACAATTTCATTCATCTTTTGGCTTTCGAGAAAACTTGTAAATCATCATGAATTGAATGAGACATTTATCACACAGGAAACAATGTCGACACTTTATTGTTAAATTCTGGTGTTTACAACGAATTGTTCATATATTTGAGTGATTGAAGGTGTTGAATTCATGTAAATCAAAGGATTCATTGAATGGTCATATTAGTTTTCACAAGGAGATATTATTACCTTGTCAACAATTGAAAGGAAAACAATAAACATGGAGATGATAAAATGTCATGTTGCATGGGAAAGGAAACGATTCTGATTGTTTTTTATGATCTCATCAATAACATGCAATCGCTTAATTGTTATGAGTGTTAACCTTTTAATTTGCGTGGGATTCCCATGTCTCTGATATATGGTGAGCCTCATTTCCATCATGGAAATGATCATAATGCTCATCAGAGATCACGATTCGTTAATTATTATAAATACACTGATCGAAGTGTAATAAATTAATTTAACTTTGAAGATAAATTAATTCTATATTATTTTAATTAATGCTATCAACTATCTGTGAATTGGTCATTTCAATTGCATAATCAAACATTGATACATTTGCTATGATAATTAAATCAGTTGATTGGTTAATCCTTTGGTAAAATTTTATCAACAATCAACAAGTTTCAGATCAGTTGGACATTTATTTGATTCATTTTGATTAAAAATTAATCCAAATTTTAACTTTTCATTTCTTGCCGAATGATTAAATCGCTATGATATATGAATTGAATAGGAAAGGAATTGATTTAATTTCTTAAAACAATTAATCATAAACCAATACAAATCAAATGATTAACTACTTTTTTACGTAATCATTATATTAGAAAATTAAATTGTTGCTTCGTTGCAATTAAAATGAAAACTACAATCAGTTAAGAATCAAGTCAATTTAATATTCAACTAAATTGTTAGCAAAATGTTTGGTTAATGATAATAATTAGCTAATTATTCATAATGATTATTATTAATGATGATGTTAAACCTAGAGTTGGGTTAATCAAGATATTAATAATAGTTAAATTATTAAATGGTTTGTTAATTGTTGTTATATGATTAGTTAACTGTCAGATGCAGAGTGAAAAGTTTTATCAAAAATAATTATGATAACCTAATATATAAAACAAAGATAAACTTAAAGTTATTGTTTTGTTAATAATTGACAACTAATTCATTAAGCATCTAAACAATTAGATAACAATCAAGTAAAGTTATGTGATCATTACCATTGGTCATCTTACCAATTGACCTAAATTTTCATTGAAGGAAAAGATTAATCAACATGATGAGGAGTGAAAATTGTTACATCAAAATGGACATTAAGGTCAAGATAGTTTCAATTATGAGGAAGAAAAAAATTCTTGACCTGGTCAATGGAACATTTATTTTTATATATCGATAATATTTTCAGGGAAATATATTCTCAGAATTTATTATTAACACGAAAAGAGAAGGTCTTAGTTTATTTAATTCGTATTCTGAATTTGAGATTCAAAATGATGATATGAATCAAATCGTATCGGGGAAAAAAAGCTTTTTCATGGTGAAAGTCAATAGAAAGTAATGTTTTCTCATGTTAATGTCTCCAGAATTTTAAGAACTTTTGATCAACAGAATCTTTTATCTTCTACGGAATTAAAATAATTTGATGATCACTGATGATGGGAAGATGGTTTAGAATTTGAATTACAACTTTATAATATGAAGAAGTGCTTATCAAGCAAAATTTATCGTATTTACGATTCTTGAAATCTGAGAATTTGAAATTCTATAGAGAGAGAAATCGATAAAGTTTTGGAGACACTTATATATTTTCAAGCTCTGATTCATTGCTATCAATTTGACAGAGACACTTATTCAAACAGATTCATATTCATGTAACTTTCTTGGCTCATGGTGATACACCATGGATTTAATGTGAAAATGATTCAACTATTATCTAAATAATCAACAAAAAAAAATTGGTAACTTTTTTTCTAACTGATAAAACTACATCGTTGCTAATAAGTTTCATTTCAGCTCTAGAATTTAAATATTTAATAATTGGAAGGTTTCAACTACAAGTTGAGAACATTTTGAGACACTAATAATTTAACAGTTCGCATTTATCCTGTTTAGATCATTTATCAACTATTTCTCTGTGAATTTCATCCAAATGATCCATTAAGAGACTGAGAATATTATGATATCAAAATACAGAATCAAAATAGTGAAATCGAAACGTAAATAATCATAGAAACTCATTAAATTCAGAATAACAATGAACATCACATGTAATAGAGAGATAGAGATAAAAATGAACGAGAAATGAGCAATCAAAACAAAACAAAAATGGAAAATAATTTATATAAAAAAACGAAAAAACTAAAAAAAAGAATAAATTTCACGAACTTGAGGAATGAAAAATCGAGATAATGTCAATTGTATAGATTGGAAGAGGGAGTGAGTTGGGAGGTGAAAAGGATATTTACCTGAAATCTATCAGGTACATTGGTTCAAATATTAATCGAAACTTGAGTTTGACTTGACGAATCAAGTTGATAGAGTTTGAATATTATCGTCAGCATTTCAGACTGAAAATTCACCAAGGGAATTCAGAGTCTATATATTCAATTAATATGGTATTTTTTTGTTGTTATTCATTATAATAAAAGCAAACACGAAGTTACAGTACACATATGAATTACCATGAAACATAAATAATTGATATTATTATTAATTGTTGTATGAAAAACTCATGATAATCACAAGTATCATGAATAATGGGAAATCCGAGAATCTATGGTTTCATATATGCGAGATAATATCATAATGATGAATCAACAATTGAGTAAAAATCTGTTCCATGATAACTTCAGGGAAATAGACTCGATCCCAATTGCAACTCAATCAGATTCATTATGATTTAACGATCCATTAATGACCTCATTTGGTTGGTCGCTTGAATATGTTACAATTATTATCATAAGAACTTTTTTTTGCTTTAATTATTTAGTTCTAGAATCTGTTAATTAATAAATTGACCAATAAATATTTCAATCAACTTTAGATTCAATTTGTTACTATTCAGTATATTAATAGAGTTTGTGTAACTATAAATTGAGATAAATATTGATCATGAAAGTAATTAATAAATTAAATTTATTTGATTTGATTTGATCAATTTATATTAAGAAACTAATATGATTACGATTAATGATAATATGAAAAGGTTTCATCTTGATCAAAGTTAAAGCCTCGAATTACAGTAATCTTAAATTGATTAGCAATTTTCTCATTATGATAACAATTAAACTTTTCATTATCTCTAATTAAGGTTGAGTTGATTAGTGAAATGAAAAGGTTTCATGAAAATCTATTGGAAAACCATCATTTCACTTGAGAGTAATTCAGTTTCCCAGTGATTTATCAATTTGAAATAATTATCAGTCAATTATCATGTTAAATTTGAGCCTTGGCTAATTGAAGGACATTAAAAGTGTCAATCAAATTTGTAATCATACAAAAGACAAATCTAATTGTTAAAAGAATCTCTAATTTAATGAACCAGGAAGTTAATCATTTCATCAGCATCATTTTATCAAGTCAAAATTTTCAAGGTCTTAATTCAACAATTGTTGTCATGATTGTATGTCAAATTGTTATACACTCAATTAGCGAGAAAAATTAACTAATATAATGTACATTTGAATGATTACTTATCCACCTCCACTTAGTTTCCTGAGTAATTTATCCGAAGAGGATTCTAACATGGAAACACGTAGGAGGTGGAGAGGGAAATAGTATCTACTCTCTGTAGGAAAAGGTTCATCTTATACATACATGAACATAATCATCTTCATCATGAAAAAAAAAGTTCATGTCTCATGAAATTTGAAATATCAAATTTAACAAAACAAATGGATTCTGAGGTTAATGAAAGAAAAGAGAAAAAAAATTTCCTTCCTTTTGAGATTCTAATGGACAAACTTTGGCGTGAAACAAAACTATTAAATTAAAGTTTGATTGTTAACCTTAATTATTGACAACATCTATTAGTGTTTGACAGTCAATTTTATATATTGATTAATATTTACGTCAAATCATTTGAAATTGATTTAGAGTGGTTTGAGAGATTGCAGATTTTATTTATAAATTGTCAATAGCTAAAGATGTATCAACAATTAGATTAATGATGCAAAATGGACTCGAGAGGTTTTGCTAATTGTGATTTAAGTTTCTATTTACCATTAGTAGGATTACTTTGGAGATATTCATTGATTTCAGTAGTTCACTTTGAAGAAATTTTCAAATTGTATCCTAGTCAAGTAACGATTTCATAATAATTCAGCATGAGATAAACTTCCGATTCCATGAATCGTCTAGGTAACAATATAGAATTGATATAAATCATTTAATGTTCATCAACTATCAACTATCAAACATGTAATATGAATTCACGTAAATTATCAATAACATCAAGATTAATTTTTAATCGTAAAATCATATTGATCCGATTAGAATAGTAATAGTTTGATCTTTGATTATCTTATTGTAATAATACTAATTATGCTGATTGTAAGTTCAATGGGTTTATTGTTTGATTTACTTAAGATTTTATGATGATTTTCGGTAATCAATATTAATAGAAACAAAGTAATTTATATCCTAGTATCTTTTGATTGTATAACCTAACTAATTGGAAAATATCTTAATTAGATAGTTTGTTATAATATCAATCTAAATGATTATTCTGATTGACTAATCTCAGCAATATACTGATGGACAGATTATGTTAATCATTGGAGTTGATTTGTTCAAACGTTTCAATGGTTCTTGTAGTTATCAGTGTTAATTTGATCAGAATATAATCTATTAATAGTTTGATTAAACACTGATCAATTTGATTTCAATTCCAAATGATTGGATAGTTAAATCAATAATAACAGAATTGATTTAAATTGGTTATGACTTGTAGCTAAAAATAATAAACATCATAAGTATTAATCCAATGATGCAAAATAAATGTAAATATGAAAAATATGATTACAAGTGTTGACAATTTACTAATAGTAAACAATTAACTTGTTATTGTATTTTGCGCGAAAAGGATTAACAGTTAACAAATGTATTAATATCTTAAAAATAATTATCATTACTAGTGACGATGATTAACAATTATTATACTTATATTATATACTAATAATAATTATTAATAATACGTAGCTACTTAATTGGAATGGTAATTAACTAGAAAAATCAAACAAGAATCAAATGTCAATTGAAATCGTTATGATAATTTGTACAATCAAACACAGTCTTTTATGTTTGGTGACAATTAAAATACCTCAAAACAACAAAATTTATCGAGAGATTAATATTATAATCATGAAGATTAATCAAGAGAAAAAAAGTTTCTGTAGGGGATCGGGAGTGTAGAATTACGACAATTAACCTTGGAAGGGGAAATTCGATTTTAGGTGAGAAGGGATTCTCTTACCTGGGGAATGCTGAGAATTATAGCTGAGATATAAGTGATTTTGAGCATTCGATAAGCTCTTTGTTTTTCCTTCTGGAAAATATGAGGCTCTTTGAGTAGATAGTAGCGGTTGTAAGATATACAAACAACCATGAATGAAGATGCGAAAAGGCTAAAATATTTAAGCGTTTGATGTAATTTACAGAAGAACGAGCCAATTTCCCAAGAAATGGCCTTACACCAAGCGATTTGTGGAGCGATAACGAAGAAAAGAACTGCAAAATCGACGACAATAAGATTTAACAGAAGGATGTTTGATCCTGATTTGATTTGTGATCTAAAGCTGATATGACAAAGTGCCAGGCCATTTGTAATAGAACCGAAGATTAGTAAGAGTGACAGAATGACCACTTCAAATTGAAGATATTCTTGATAATAGGGCTTAAGATAAGCGTCGTAAAATAAAGCGGCCTCATTGGACATCTCATCGCCCGGTGGATCTCCGACAATCGCTCGGCTCAAAGAATAAACATTATTTGCTACTGGAGAAGGTGGAGTGGTCACAATCAAACTCGCTGGACTAACGGAAATCGTTGATTGAAATAATGATGAAGTTGATGAGGTGATAAGACTTGTTGGTAGTGTTTGTGGTGATGAAATAGATGATATATCTGATCCATTTGTTCCCATTATTTTAGATGTATGAATAGTTGAAGTGAGTTGATTCAGTTACAATTTCCATTCACAGTGAATATGAAATAATGTACAATTTGATAACTTGGATTCCATATAAATCAGTAACTCGTTTCAACATTTTCCTCCTTCTTTTCTTGCAAGATGAACATTGAATCACTTGAATCATCGTAAAAACAAGATAATATTCTGGCAGCATCCAAACTCCTGAGTCTCCATTCATGATTTATCGCCAACTTTATTTGAATCCTTTTTCTCTGCGCATTTTACCACAACTCACACTTTGTCTTCCTTTACGTTTTTTTTTTGAAGAAAAAACTAATTAAAAACAACAAAAGTGTGATAACTATTGATGATTACAGGGTGAAAACTTGTAAAAAATGATGTAAGTGATCAGTTATACAAAAAAATATTCATTAAATTTGAGAGGATGGATGAGATTGTCAAGGAGTTAATAATAAAAATTGATGATCATTTTGGATAATTAAGAGAAATTAAGTTAATATTGCTTATTTTCCCAATAGAAATTGTTAGATAATCTGATTTGATTTTCATCAATCATGATTATTAATAATTGCATTTGGTTTGGTATCTTTTAACTGAGTTAACAAGAATAATGATGAAGAAAATAAATTTTTGATCAACAATTTTTGGTCAAGAGGTTATAGAATAGTAATAAAAAAGAGTTAATTGAGAACTATGTTGATTAAGATATGATGAACTCGAGTCAATATCCGTACAAATGTGAGTCGAATTTTCTAATACGAGTTCAGGGCTATTCTTTTTTCAGATTCTTCTCCGTTTTCTTTTTCAGAAAGGTCTGGTGTTCTTGATACGGTGAATTGCCTTTTTATATTCGGGTGATAATGAAGCCAAAGGATACAGAATACGACAAATATAATAAATAAAACTGCAATACCAAAGAAAATAGCAAAAACTTTCAGATCAAATTGGGAGGAATTCTCACTTTTAAGCTTCTCGTAATTTGCATGCATTAATGAACGACAAGCGTTAATAATTTCTGGTGTTATTATCTCAAGGGTATCATTGAGTTCGCTTTGTTGGATACAGGATTTAGAATCACTAAAGCCATTAGGACAGCGACATTGGTCTTGATTGTCGGGTATAAGATCATCTGAGCAATATGGCGTAAAGTATGTGGGTAAAGTATGTCTAGGAAGACAATGAGTGTTGAAACAAACTCTATCTTCTCCACAGGCTGCACCATTAGGGACCATACCGGGATCTTTTGGGTAAACGTTACTTATGGACGATGCACACAAGGTCGTTGAGTCATTTGTGTAAATATGAGTTGTATTCCAGGCATGAAAACGGAAAGTATCATTCTGACTTGCACTACAATGAAGTCGACCACAGAGATGATCATTGCAAGCACACGGAATGAAGGATTGCGTTTTTCTGTCGTAACCACAATCATTTCCGATTTTACCAAGAATATTGAGTTTATAGCAAGTCGGATCACTTTGGTTGACATTCTCATTCCATAGACGATTACAGCTATTTTTATGACTTACACACTTTCCTTCAAAACAGTGACCACCGGCACATTTGTAAAAATCATGAATCCATGTATCTTCCGGGCAGAATTCACTATTCCCATCACAATATTCAGGTAAATCACAGGGATCGGCCTTTTCTCTGCAGATAAACCGGTCAGTTAAATTGTATGGACGACAATCGGAAGGGTTACAACAGGGGCCACTACCACAACATGCAAATTCCGTTAAAAAACATAAATCTTTGTGACAACAATCTGGATGAGATTCGGTCCATTCACACTCTTCACCAGCCTCAATGATCCCGTTTCCGCAACTTGCTGTCAAATAATTTGTCGGTGGATCGAGAAGACATTTACCATATCCTGTGTCAATTAAGCTTTTGAATTTTTCTATTGAAGATTCAGACCAATGAACTTGATGATCAAAAGTAGTAACATAGTTAGATGTCATGGTGACGCATTTACTACATCTTGGCATTGAACTCGTCCCATTTTGTTCTGAGGTCAAATTCTTAAAGCCAAGGTTATGCCCAAGTTCATGGACAATTGAGGCAGAAACTCTGGTAACATTAGCTGACCAACTGATCCAAATTGCATTGTCATTTGGATTACAGATCGCACCAAGAGGAGAAAACCCAATGTAACCATTAAAAGAAGAAGATACAATAAAAATGGTCGTAAAATTTTCAAATTCTGGCAGGAAATGATCGCGTCTAAAGAAAAAGGAGAAAAAGCAAAAAACAAACAATTAGATAAGAACAAATCATAACTTCTATTGAAAAAGAATTAATAAAAAGGAAGTGTTTCTGTTTAGCTTCAAGAAGTGAATGAATAGTTTATGGAGGAATAACAATTGAATAAGTAGTAACTTAAGGGTTTGCCGATTATTCCATTATTACAATTATACTCTTTCAATGATTCTATGGACTCACCAGAAGAAAAGTGAACATCAATAATCAATTACCTTATTTTTTGGAATAGAATCAGAGCATCAAACTCAGAAGAATTTTTTGGAACTTCTTCTTGCACAGTAGAATTGAGAACATCCATCAGAGTAACGATAACATTTAACGGTTTGAAAAGTGTATTGACCATCTTAATAAGTAGATTCGATTGAATGACCAAAGCATCAAAGTTACCAAACGCATTTGCTAACCTTGAATACCAAATGAATACAACCTTTAAATGGTAAGGGACAGATTTGCTGTGAGTTACATAACCTTTCACCTCAACTGGATTAATGGAAGTCTTTGAATAGTTATGAGGTTTTTCCGTTGGAAAATAAGTAAATGGATCTGATGGATCTCTTTTAGCCCATGTAATAAGTTGTTCACCAAAGAGCCTATCAAAAAAAATAGATTGAGAACCATTATGAATTTTTCCAGCAACTGATTTTTCATGAGGACAACGGTCAATGGAACCACTTAAAAAGTCACCAGGATCAATGAAAATTGGAGAGGGTGAAGGTAAAGATGAAACAATGTAACTACAACTTAATGGGTTATGTGATTGTAATTTGGGTCCAAATTCACGTTTCAACGTAACAATTAAATTCCGATCTCCAAGTTCCCTAGACAAGGTGAAACTCAGAATAGCGGAATCACATTCACTAATACAGATAAACCTGACATTGTTTTTAAATGTTTGGCTAACCAATTCAGAGTAAACTTGAAAACAATTAACACTTTCAAATAAAAGGGTGAAACAAGTAATCAATAGAATTAATTGTTTAAAAAGAAAACAATTAAACTGTGATCGTTTGATTTTCTTCTTAAAATCAACAAACGGGTGAAAGAGCAAAAGGGTTACCATTGACAACAGAAAAGAACAAAACATTTTCTCTTTTCTTTTGTTGTTGTTGTTAATCAAACAATTTAATCTCTGACTGATTGTTAGATTAATGTTTCTTTTAATTGTGATCGATTGTAACTCAATTATTATCCACCGAAACAATTAAAAATCTTGCCTCTACAATTTCCTCTCCCTAATTGGCCAAGTGAGTGTTTAATTATCCTTTACATTAAATTTGCTCTTCCGATGAAAATCATTAATGTTAAAAGTCAATTGATTTTGACTAACAATAAATGGTTAAGGATGTAATTAATTAACCATTTTACTTGTGATTAATTAGTCTGAATATCTTCCAAGTGTTAGTGTTACAAAGGTTTATGATTGATTGTTGATTATTTTATATTTACAAAAAATTCCATTTCTGGTTAATGTTTCTTTTTAATCTCTTGGGTTAATATTTTGTTTCTTTTTGGTTCCCAATTTTATAATCTTTTTTTCGTATATTATTAATGTTTTTCTCGTTTTTTTTTCTTCTTTTTTTATTTCATGTTGTTACAGATTATTTAAACATTTCGAATATTGGAATTTCTAACTGAATATTTGATGAAGTAGACATGGAAAAAACAAAACCAACGAGTGAATTTGGTACATTTGAAGTCTTTTCTGCTTTGACTGTTGGTCATTTTTACCATTTGGTTACATGATTTTCACATTGAAATGGACATTTGACTCTTTGAAACTCTTTTTCTACAATAATTCATGTAGACATTGATTACTGATTATGGGTAATTTGATCTATTATTACCATTCAATATCTACGTTTCTAATCATCAGCTGAATCTTGACCTTCTATTTTGACCTCTCATTCCAAGTTACATTACTTTGCAATCCAAACTTCAATTCATTTATTGACAATTTTCACCGAAAACTATTATTATTTATTACTTATAATGGACAATCATTTATCAATTTTCCAAGAGTATAAGTTGAACATAACATGAATGTGAAACAAAAAAGTTATTTCAATCAAGTTAATCTAATCAATTCCAACTAATGGTAAACACAAAATTACACTATTATTATTACTTTAAAGATCTACTGATTGAGTTAAATACAATTAATATTACTCATCATTAGTTATCAACAAAATCAAACACAATTTAAGTATCTCTCAAATCATTAAAATCGTTAATTGTTTTCATTACAAAAACAAAAAGGATATAAAAAAATAACCATAACCAAATTATCAATATTTTCCCTTGTAAATATCAGAAAATTGTTAGTTAAAAATAGAAAACGAATCAAAATTTTCTCTATTATCTTTAAATTTAATAGAAAATATAATTATTGTCAAATTTAATTGCGAAATTGAATTAAATCAACTGTTAATTGTTACCATTTAATTTGGCGCTTCTTTTATCGATACATCGATGTATCGTTTTTGTAACTTAACCTTTTTTCATTTGAAAACAAAAAGATGTTGAGTTTACTGGTTAACCTTTTTGTCTGTTAATTGTTACAATTACTTAACTATTGATTAATGGATACAAGTACATTGATCTTCATTATCCTGCCGATTGTGGCCTGTACGGTGACCATAATCAACTATAATCATGAGGCTCCAATCGATCCGACAATGACTGGATTAACACTTGTTGGAATACTTTTATTTTATAAAGCTCCATTATACTCAAAGTAAGTTGTTTACAATTAACTAATTGTCTTTTAATTATTCACTTTGATTCTATTATGTTTTTGTCTTCTCTATACTTGTATTAATCTGTTGGATGATTAATTGTTGGTCATTTTAATCTATTTAATGTAACACAAACTAGAGAACAAGTAACATGAGAATTAATATTTTTCTTTTGTTTACTTTTTTGTTCTATTCTCTTTTAATTTTTCTTTTCTCTCGCAATTAATTGTGTTAATTGTTTTTTTTCTTTTCTCTTTTACAGAAGTACAAGTTTCTATTATATTTGCTCAGTTACTCTGGGATGTCTAGGAACCAATCTCATACTATTTTTTATAATTAGTCGTTTTTTGCCAAAGGTTGGTTAATCTTTAACTCCATTAAAAGTTTCCTCTATCCTGATGAACATGCAACTTGTCAAATGAATTATGATCACTGATATTTCGTCAGAGATTGAAATTATCCAAGTTATAGAATCAATCATCTACAAATTTAATCTGACTTGTGAAATATTGAGGTAATTTGATTGTCACGTTTTCTTTTGGATGCACCAAAAGTAAAGGAAAACATTTGATCATCACCTTAAAAAAAGTTGGACTGATTAATAATTTAATCCATAATTTCATTCAAGTTGCCATCATCTCAATCACAGATCCTCTTAATCATTTAATCTGACAAACTTTTTCCTCGATTCTATTTTCATGGTACAAGGTTAAGATGTTCATTAATGTCAATTGCTTTTGTTTGATTACTAATCTTTTATTTACTTCTCTATTCTTTCATTCAGAAACTTGCCGCTGCTTCATTATTCCTAAGCTGGGGAACCTTAGGATTTGTTTATCGGCTGTTCAAAAACAGAATATTCCAATTATTTTATAATTATGGAACATACATCGCCGTGTACACCATGTTTTCCGCTGTGATAGCTCTTGCCTATGCTTATCGTTATGGTCCTCCCACTCACCCGAAGACTTTAAATTTAGTACAATGGACAATCCAAGTAAATATCTATTGATAGACTGATTTATCTATTGATTCTTGACTAATCTTGGATTTTCTTAATGTCTTAGTTCATATCTTTGTCCTTAATCTTGCTGTCTAATCCAATTCAACTGGTTGGACTTTCATTGTGTGCACTAATTGTTATCCATTACAACTTTAGTCATTTCTGGCCGAGACTAACTTCGTAAGTTTAATAATAGTAATTTTTGTTGTGACGATATTTTTGTTAACCAGAAACAGTTAACTTTTTTTCTTTACTCCATTTCTATCATATTCAGACGTTTAAAGCCATTAGAACCAAGGTCATTATTAACTGAAGATGAATTTTATCTGCAAGGATTATTAACAACTCAGAAGGAGCTCAAGAAATTACGTGATTATTGTCGATCACCTGATGTTGATCCATGGAAAGTTGTTAACAAATTGAAAACTCCTGACAGGTACAACTAATTTTCTCATGTTTAAAATTAGATGGAAATCAATTTCTTATCATCACCATGTTTTCATTTGCCAATTGGTTCTTTTTTTTTTACTAGTCAACAAATTACATCAATTTTCACCCAAAACTAATCATGACTCGTTGTAATACTTTTCCTAATTTTTATTATTAGTCAATCATGATTGATTCAAGTTCCTAACCAATGATAATAATACTCAATTATGATTTCAAGATCTTACATAATGTTAATCTCAAACTTAAGTCTATCGAAGTCAATTTTACTTTTGATATTTTTCTAAATGAACAAGTCAAATAAGAGATTAACTTGAATCGTTGATTACTTTTAACATCATCATGATGATATGTTTGACTTTTGTTCATAAATTTCAATAAAACACCCATTCACTTACAGAGAATCCAATGAATACGTGATTGATAATAATTGAGAATTTCCAATCAACTTAATAACATAGAGAAAACCGAACTAATCTGAATTATTCTGACAATTGACTTCCTGTTTCTGGATTATCATTTGTTTTCTATTTCATAGATTCGCCAAATTCATGGTCACTGGTGACGATGTGGGGGAGGAAGAAAGGTCCATCTATGATACTTCCTGTTTCGATGATTCTGATGAGATGATTGAAGATATGGATACCACCGGGGATTTGGAAGGAGATGAAGAAAGAGAAAGTGAAATTGGTCCTGGTGGAGATACGATAATGTTTGATGCGAGCTATTCAAATAGCCATCGAAATAGTGAAATTAATCCTCAACACTCAAGCGACAATCGCCTTATAATCAATGATAATCAACCGAGAAATTTGTTTACTAATCTAAATCAAAGTGTCAAAATAAATGAGAGCCAAAAAATTTTCAATTAGACAAATAAATTGGATTATTCAACATATTGTACAAAATGTTCAAAAGATTAACCAAATCAATCATCTCTAACTGTTCATCATCTATTAACTATTAAATTAATAAGTGAACTATTATTTGATCACCTTAATCACAGGTACACTTGATTTAAATCGTTTTAGGGAAATTCGATTATTCTGTTGATTTTCTTTTCTTCTCATATAATTAGCTCTTTAGAATTAGATAAACCAGTGGTAATCACTAAATAACAATCGTTTAATTGTTTGTCGAGTTTATCGTTTTTCTTTCTCGTCCAATTGTATTTTTTATCTTTAAGTGTCCGAGTTTTGTAAAGCAAAAATATAAACACGAAATTAAATTGATGATGATGTCTTTTTTTACATGAGTTTATGATTACTTATGAACAGAATTACATTTAGTTGATTAGCAAAATAGTTGAAATATAATTTGACACTTGGATTATCTTCCAAATTAAAATCAATACAGAAAAAGGGATATTAACAAATAAACTAACAATCAGCTTTTGCTTTGCAATAGTTTTTGTTTTTTTGTTGCATATTATTAATTAAGATCATTATCAAGATAAATTGATTAAGGTTCAAGAAACTCTTGACTGTGAAAAAATTAAAACCCCAAGACTAATTATGAGGCATTAGAAACATATCTAACTCGAGGAATTACAGGAAAAGTTTCATCAGTCATATTTGAATCATCAGAATCAACAATTAGATTGCCGGATGATCGTTCACTTGAGTTGATTGGTGCTGATGGTGATAATTGATTAGGATTTGTTGTTGTTGTTGTTGTTGTGGTTGTGATTGTTTCTTTTCAAGAAAATCAATTGCCAATAAAATGTATTGAATGTGCTCTTCACGAGTTAATGGCGATGATTCATCTCGTAAATCTCCTTCCTCTAATATTTGTACAAGTAATTTTAATTTCTCTAAGCCATTACTGAGTAATTTATCCCAATTGAGAAATTTTTCCGCTTTGGTTTTTAAACGTGTAAGTAGATCAACATTTGATGTCTCTTTGGTTGATTGTTGATTAACTTGAGATGATGATGATGATGATGATGATTGTGGTGGTGGTGGTGAGGGCTTATTGGATCGAGTTTGACTTCTTAAAGAGTATCTTGATGTACTAGTAGATGGTAAAGAGTTTTCGACAATATGTTCGAACTGTTCAATTAAAATCTCGTCTGCAGCTTTACGTTTACGGTTTTTATTTGCTTGACAAGCTTCTTTGTTGATCTGATCTAATCTTTTCAAAAGCATTTCGAGTTCAGACTCGTGAGAATCGCTTATTGAATCATCAGTGTGTTGACTTGCGTTTTTACTTTCATCAATTGGCTTTTTAGTGTCTTGGATATTTGATCCAATCAACTGGTTATGATTACTTGGGGAAGAGTTTCCATTATTTTGGCTGAAAGAAGCTTCATTTGTATTGTTTGTTTTGGATTTGGATTTTGATTCATTGGAGAAGTTGAAATGTTAACTGATTTAGATGGTGATTGTCTTAATGGAGATTTTATCTGTCTTGGTTTGTCCATTTCACTTGTATCGGGAAAGCCCAATTTTCTTCGAAATTCTTTACGATATTCTTCACATTTATGTAGGAACATTCGACCAAGAATACTATTCCAATGACAAAGTCGAACTGCTTTTCCCCATTTCCGTGAAGATCTCATTACAAGTGATGCTTTTCCGGGGTGATTAGCATCTTCGATTACTTGAAGATTAAATAAAACCACAAGATCGTCTCCTTGAATAAGATCAATACACTTGAAGGTATCATAATGTTGAGCTTGATCGTAACTTTCCTCTTTCCAAACAGTGAGAGCGAAATATTTTTCATAGGCAACATGGAAATAGTCATAATTTATACACTCGAGGCCAGAAGGCGGTCGACCATCAGCACCGAAAAGCGGCTTATATTTAGGTTCACTTGTATCCCAAATAACGGCGTTCATACAAAGTGGACTTTTATTGTAGGCCAAAACTTGACAGCAAATGTCCACAAATTCACCAGGTTTGGGTAGAGTGGATAATTTAGTTCCATTGAGGATTCTAAGTGAGAACCATTTCTCAAGAACCTGACAGATTTCTCGATCCTCTGGAAAGATGAATCTGGTCTCCGTTAAGGCTTTGTTTCGTTCATCACTCATTGGATCATCATAATTGTATGAAAATAATGGAAAGAATGAAGTTTTGGTTGATGTGGTGAACATGAAGGCAAGTGATGATCCCGTTCTTTGAACTTTCAGATTAGTTGCTTTCATCATTTGACCAACGGCAATTTTATCTTCCATTTCAAAAGTTTCCAATTCAATTCCCACTTGATGAGTTGGATCAATAATTGTGACATATTTAAATTTGGTCCCTCTGGAATCTCGTACCGATTTAACAACACCAAAGATACATCCGAAAACACTTTCTCTGGTACTAAATTTCCAATTGATTAGTTCATCGATACACTTTATACCAGGAATGGTTCTTCTTCCAATCAACTCTTTATATCGACTGTAAATTGTATCACTTGTTGGTTGAGATAAAGGTACAGTAACTGCCGGTGGTGGTGGACATGATGTTGAACAAGTCGAAGAAGAAGTTGAGTCTGATAAACTGGACTCCGCTTGGGAAAAGAAATCTTCCCTCGGAAGGAAAGTACTGTTTTGAGAATTAAAAAATACAGCAGCCATAAGAAAAGAGTAGCATGAGTTCCCGGCTCGAGTCAATAATAAACCGAAATGATTTGTTTTGATAAACATTTTCATCTTTTATTAGGGAAAAGAATGAGATCGAGGTGGAGCCACCGGCGTATTTTCGGATAAGAAGCTCAACTTTTACTCTTTCAGCTGATCTTTTTTCGGCTTATGGTTCGCGGCTTTTTAAGAAAATTAATTAATTTAATCAATCGAACAATTGATTGACCAATTTAATATTTTCTAAAACTCACAACACAGCGAAGGTATAAATAGGTGGACATTTGACACGAAAATAAAAGCGAACAGTGGATGATCAGGTTGATTAGCTGTTGATCACAATTATCATATTATTAGTGTGACAGATTGATTGTTTTAACCCCTTCGGATTATCCTTCATCGATAGTGACCTTTAATTGTGTAAACTTAACTTGACCAAACACAATTAAGTTCATTTCCATGTGTAACTGTAATCGTAAGCCGAAAAAAAAACGTATCAGCTGAAAGGGTAAAAGTTGAGCTGACAGAGAATCTTGATTCTTAATTATATTTCCTAAGCTCAGTAAGTAAATTAACTCATCTTATGATTGATTAGAACCAATTGAGAATTGGTCAACTGTTAATGTCCAAGTGAATGAGTGACTACCAGTCGACTAAAAGGTTTAAAGTGTGAAGCCAATGATTCTCCAGGCAGCTCACCGACTCGGCTAACTTCGGAGTCTATTCATGTTAACATCATCACGTCTTTATAAAGGTGAAAATGAAGCATTTGTAGTCTGTTGTTACCAACATAAGATTAACTTTTTTGTTTCTGTGTTGATGGTTGAAGATTTTTGTTTCTTTTATTTCAATCGTTTTATTATTTAATTGATTATTTTTTTTTCTCTTCTCAATTTTTCTCTTCTTATTAAGATTAAGTGGCGTAGTAATAATTGTTCCTCTTCTAACATGGCTTCGTCATCAGGACCGGGAAGTAATAAGAATGCCGATCTAGATGGTATATGGGATGATCTCAAATCAGGTATTGAACAGGTTTACATTCTCAAAACTGACAAGAAAAGAGAAAATATGTCCAAGAATAGATACATGGAGCTTTATACGTAAGTAAATTCTATGGTTTAGATTTTAATTACAAATCTAAATTGTGTAATTTCTATTCTTTCTCTCTCTCTCTCTCTGATTTATATCCCTGGTACTTGATGTTCTCTTTATGTTAACCTTTTTTTCTATTTTTCTCTTTCTTCATTTTTCTTTCCTATCTCTCTCTCTCTCTTTCTCTTTTTTTTCTTTTTCTTTTTTTGGTTCTCTCTTTTATTTCTATCATTGTCCAGACATGTCTACAATTATTGTACTAGTGTCCATCCTCAGGGTGCCACACGAAGCCCGATTGGTAGTATGGTGTCCAAGAGCAAAAAACCACAAGCTCAAGGAGGTGCTCACTTTGTTGGATATGAGTTGTATAAGAGATTAAGAGATTTTCTTAAGGATTACCTTACCAAAGTGCTCAATGTAATTACATGTTTTCTTTTTTTTGTGTATCTAAAGGTTAACCTCAAACTGTTTAATTGATTATTATTAATTTGTTTTCTTTTTCTCTTTTCTATGACCTTCTGGTATTGCGATTTATCCAATGCTTTTGGATTATATATCTTATGTTGATATGTACTCTCATTGTTTTGTCATTATTGGTGTTGGTGGTGGTGGTGGTGATGTCTCTTTGCTCACTACTTGCTACTCGTTTCCGTTTGGCCTCAAAAATGGTGTTTGCTACTTTACTCTTCGGATGATTTAACAACTTACTCCTTTACCTACTAAATGCATCAATGAATTTCATCATCTTGATGATGCTGATATTGTCCATATCCAGGAGGGTATTGATAAAATGGATGAGAATGTGTTGGCATTTTATACCCGACAATGGCAAGAATATGATTTCTCTAGTAGGGTTTTGAATGGAATTTGCTCCTATTTGAATAGACATTGGGTTAAAAGAGAGTGTGATGAAGGGAGTAACAAAATTTACGAAATTTACCAGGTAAAAACACTTGACGATTATCTCAGCCAATCCTAACTTGACCAAGAAGATAATTTTTGTCACCTTTTATCCGATGTTTAATTTCTGTTTACTAATTGGTTACTCTTTTATCATTTGCAGCTCGCTCTTTATACCTGGAGAGATTGTCTTTTCGAGCCTCTCAATCAACAAGTGACAAATGCTGTTTTAAAATTAATAGAGAAAGAGCGAAATGGTGAAACAATGAATACAAGTTTAGTTAGTGGTGTTATCAGCTCATATGGTATGTTTTGGTTTTTCATTTGCATGAATTAATCATAAACAAGAAATCTTTGTCTTGAAACCAGTAATATTGAGTCGCTTGTTGTATTTATTTTCAATTTAAAGGAGCCATGGTTATGTCGATAGAAGATGAAAATAGAGAGGACAAACGATCTAACGGTATCTTACCTTGTTTCTATATATATATCCCATTAATTAATCCCTTTTGTCCTTCTGTCCTTTTGTTTTACCATCTCAATACTAACTCATTCCCAACTAACATCAACTCAATATTTCGTAAGACAAAAATTTCATCCCCTTAAGCTATTGATCTGAAAACATTTATTGATCTTGCGATTTTATCGTTTGTTTAATGTATTTTATTTTTCTCTCTTTCTCTTCCTTTTTTTTTCCTGTTATAATCTAGTTGATCTTGGACTTCACGATCCAAATAAAAGTGCAGGAAAAGGACCCAACCTGTCGTTGTACAAAGAGAAATTTGAGAACAAATTTTTAGAAGATACAGAAAGATTTTATACAAGAGAAAGTACAGAATTTCTTCGTCAAAATGCTGTCACCGAATATATGAAGAAAGCAGAACAGAGATTACAAGAGGAAGAGAAACGTGTTAAGACTTATCTTCACGAGACAACTCAGCAACCCTTGGCCAAAACATGTGAACGAGTACTTATAGAAAAACATTTGGAAATATTTCACTCAGAGTTTCAAAATATGTTAAATGGAGATAAGAATGAGGATCTTCGTCGAATGTTTCAACTTGTCTCTCGTATACCCGACGGTTTAGGAGAATTAAAAAATTTACTGGAAAAACACATAACCGATCAGGGTTTAGCGGCCATTGATCGTATCTCCGACTCAGCTACGAATGATCCAAGACTTTATGTCACAACTATTTTAGACGTCCATCAAAAATATAACCATCTAGTTAACACATCATTCAACAATGAGTCTGGTTTTGTCGCTGCATTGGACAAAGTGAGTGGACAAAGTGAACACAAGCAAAAGAAAATCGCCTTAATCATTACTATTCTTCAGGCCACTTTTTTTTCATTTGCAAAAAGTTGATTCATCTCTCAATATATATATACACACTTCAACTTGTTCTTTCATTTTATTTCTTTTATTATTATTACAGGCTTGTGGTAAATTCATTAATAACAACTCTCTGACAAAAATTGCAAATTCATCATCCAAATCTCCTGAATTATTGGCTAAATATTGTGATTTCCTTTTGAAAAAGAGCTCAAAAAATGCCGAAGAATCCGAATTAGAGGAACTTTTAAACCAAGTGATGGTTGTCTTTAAATACATTGAAGATAAAGATGTCTTCCAAAAGTTTTACAGCAAAATGTTAGCAAAACGACTTGTCGGTCATATGTCTGCTAGTGATGACTCGGAAGAGAGTATGATATCAAAATTGAAGGTAAATGTTACATTTCAATTCTTCAAAACAACTCTTAAAATGCTTGTAATCCCAAATATTAATGATTGTTATTCTCTTTTTTATTTGATTGTTAACAGCAAGCCTGTGGCTATGAGTATACATCAAAATTACAACGAATGTTTCAAGACATAGGAGTGAGTAAAGGGCTCAACGAACAATTTCAATTACATCTTAGAAACTCTAAAGAAAATCTTGACCTGGACTTTAGTATTCAAGTATTGAGCTCTGGTTCTTGGCCTTTTCAACAATCTGCCACCTTCGTATTGCCTCATGAAGTAAGTGGCTCCAATGATTATTAACCAATTTCGTCTAATCAAAATGTTTAACCTTCTCTCTTCAGCTTGAAAGAAGCGTTCAAAGATTTACAGCTTTCTACAGTGGTCAACACAGTGGTCGAAAATTACACTGGCTTTACAATATGTCCAAAGGAGAACTGTCAACTAACTGTTTCAAGAATAAATATACTCTCCAGGTTTGTATTCTTGTTGCTCGTATTTTTGTTTTTCTTAGATTAGTATAGTTTATCCTTTAATTATCGTAATTATTTCTCTTTCATCTCTCCTTAATTCAATTTAGGCATCAACCTTTCAGATGGCTGTTCTTTTACAATATAATACTGCTGATAGTTACACACTTCAACAACTTTGTGATTGCACCCAAATTAAAATGGACGTTCTGATTCAAGTTATTCAAATTTTGTTAAAAGTTCGTCTTCTAACCTGTGATGATATCTCGGTTCTCACTAACGATGCTAATGAAGACGAAACCGAAGGATTAACAGCTAATTCAGTCATCTCATTGTACACTGGCTACAAGAATAAAAAGCTTAGAGTAAATATCAATGTTCCCATGAAAACAGAATATAAACAAGAACAAGAAAAGACACATAAACACATTGAAGAAGATAGAAAATTAGTTATTCAGGTAAGTTTATCCTTTTCTATTTCTGATAATTTTTCATTCTAAATTATTAATTGTTATATAAATTAACTCTTCTTTTAACAGGCTGCAATTGTAAGGATTATGAAAATGAGGAAAAAATTGAAACATCAACAACTCTTAGCTGAAGTCTTAGAGCAACTTAAAACACGATTTAAACCAAGTGTACCTGTGATTAAGGTAATTAAATGATTATTCACTTATTAATTTAATTGATGATGATGATGATTATGATTATGATGTAACAATAGAGTTACGAATGATAAACAATTAGAGATGACTTTCCTTCAATCACTCAGTCTACGTATTAGAATATCATTTCAAATCGTTATCGTCATTTATTTACATTACAAATTACTCATTATTACTCTTAACAATTAATTTTATTGTCTTTTTTTTCAGAAATGTATTGATATTTTGATTGAAAAGGAATACCTTGAGAGAACCGAATCATCTAAAGATACATACAACTACCTTGCTTAAAGATTTTTCAATTTTTTGGAAACCATTTTGTCTATAGAAATAATAATGACCCAATATAATTACAATTAATAAATTGGTCATTTGTATCTCCTATCTCACTTTTTTTTCAATCATCTCAATCCTTCATCTCATCTGCTCTCTCACAATGGATTAAGACGATCAGGATGATTCAAGATTGTTCACCCTTCATACCACCAACATGATTATTCAACATCCAGGAAGAGACATTTATCCACAATGTTGATGACATTATTTTAAGAAACAACTTCTACCATTTCAGATCATGTCGATTAACCTTTCCAACGATAAGATGCGATATGATTTTTTTCTTCTTCTCAGAGTAAAAATGGAAATCTTGACATTCATCTCCCACACAACAACAATCAACAAAGCAGCAAATTCTGCAAACACCTCATCATCTCTGGAATACATTCTTTCATTGACAGTGTCTTTTTACTTTCTCTTTTTTTTCTTTTCTCTCTCACTCTTTGAAACAAAAAGCCTTTTGTACATTTGAAGTAATTTATTTATTTGTCTATAGCTTATTGTGCCTAAAACGAATACAAAGATTCATTCCCTTTAAAAAGAGCAGAGTAAAACTAATACATGGTAAATATTGAAGTTAAATGATGAGTTAATGAAAGAATGTACATCAGGCTTTTCTCCTCATTCTCTATAATAATATACATCCCTTGAAAAAACTTCGATCGATCAAGACTAATCATGCAAACCTAAATTGCTTATAAATTGAGAAAACAATTGGTGGTTGAAATGTGAACCCAATTGATTAATTTTATCGATATTTTCTCTTTTTTTCTTCTTATTCTCTCTTCTTTTCACCTTCACAATCCTTTTTACTTTTTATCTTACTAGTTTTGTTGTCGACTTGTTTTACTCTCTTTTTCTGTCTCTATCCCTCTCACTGAATGATAATGATGATGATGATGAAAAAAATCACAAAAAAGTGATACACAAAACTTGGTTAATCTTTTGAACATTTTGTACAATATCTTGAATAATCCAATTTATTTGTCTAATTGAAAATTTTTTGGCTCTCATTTATTTTGATTTAGATTAGTAAACAAATTTCTCGGTTGATTATCATTGATTATAAGGTTCCTTCTGAGTTGTTAATAATCCTTACAGGTAAAATTCATCTTCAGTTAATAATGACCTTGGTTCTAATGGCTTTAAACGTCTGAATATGAAAGAAATGGAGTAAAGAAAAAAAGTTAACTGTTTCTGGTTAACAAAAAGTGTCACAACAATTAAAGTCCATCCAGTTGAATTGGATTCGATAGCAAAATTGTGGACACAGATATGAACTGAAACATAAAGAGAATCCAAGATTAGACAATTCTACAATCAAATTGATTGAATCAATAGAAAAACTCAAAATCTTTAGTCAAGATTCTCCGTCAGCTCGAGTCGAGCTGCTTCACACTTTCAGCTGATTTTTTGTCGACTTACGATTCGCGGTTTTTGAGAAAATGAATCAATCAAGTTGGTCAATTTTCTTATCCTCGTGGCTCCACCTGCATTCGCTTGTTTTTCTCTTAGTTTTTGATTCTATCATATGGATTTCTTATTATGAATGATTCTCATTGATTGTTGTCGATTCGTTTTACTCTTTTACCCATGGGTGGTTTATCTTTTAATTCCCAAAACAGTTCTTTCCTTCCGAGGGAAAATTTCTTTTCTCAAGCGGAGTCCAGTTTAAGTGATAATAATTTAGAATATTCTCTTTCTTCAAATTCAGCTTCTTCTTTAACTAGTCTTCAATCAAACTCCTCTGGAAATGGAGCAACTTTATTTCCACCACCGGCAGTTACTGTACCTTTATCTCAACCAACAAGTGATACAATTTACAGTCGATATAAAGAGTTGATTGGAAGAAGAACCATTCCTGGTATAAAGTGTATCGATGAACTAATCAATTGGAAATTTAGTACCAGAGAAAGTGTTTTCGGATGTATCTTTGGTGTTGTTAAATCGGTACGAGATTCCAGAGGGACCAAATTTAAATATGTCACAATTATTGATCCAACTCATCAAGTGGGAATTGAATTGGAAACTTTTGAAATGGAAGATAAAATTGCCGTTGGTCAAATGATGAAAGCAACTAATCTGAAAGTTCAAAGAACGGGATCATCACTTGCCTTCATGTTCACCACATCAACCAAAACTTCATTCTTTCCATTATTTTCATACAATTATGATGATCCAATGAGTGATGAACGAAACAAAGCCTTAACGGAGACCAGATTCATCTTCCAGAGGATCGAGAAATCTGTCAGGTTCTTGAGAAATGGTTCTCACTTAGAATCCTCAATGGAACTAAATTATCCACTCTACCCAAACCTGGTGAATTTGTGGACATTTGCTGTCAAGTTTTGGCCTACAATAAAAGTCCACTTTGTATGAACGCCGTTATTTGGGATACAAGTGAACCTAAATATAAGCCGCTTTTGGTGCTGATGGTCGACCGCCTTCTGGCCTCGAGTGTATAAATTATGACTATTTCCATGTTGCCTATGAAAAATATTTCGCTCTCACTGTTTGGAAAGAGGAAAGTTACGATCAAGCTCAACATTATGATACCTTCAAGTGTATTGATCTTATTCAAGGAGACGATCTTGTGGTTTTATTTAATCTTCAAGTAATCGAAGATGCTAATCACCCCGGAAAAGCATCACTTGTAATGAGATCTTCACGGAAATGGGGAAAAGCAGTTCGACTTTGTCATTGGAATAGTATTCTTGGTCGAATGTTCCTACATAAATGTGAAGAATATCGTAAAGAATTTCGAAGAAAATTGGGCTTTCCCGATACAAGTGAAATGGACAAACCAAGACAGATAAAATCTCCATTAAGACAATCACCATCTAAATCAGTTAACATTTCAACTTCTCCAATGAATCAAAATCCAACAACAAACAATACAAATGAAGCTTCTTTCAGCCAGAATAATGGAAACTCTTCACCAAGTAATCATAACCAGTTGATTGGATCAAATATCCAAGACACTAAAAAGCCAATTGATGAAAGTAAAAACGCAAGTCAACACACTGATGATTCAATAAGCGATTCTCACGAGTCTGAACTCGAAATGCTTTTGAAAAGATTAGATCAGATCAACAAAGAAGCTTGTCAAGCAAATAAAAACCGTAAACGTAAAGCTGCAGACGAGATTTTAATTGAACAGTTCGAACATATTGTCGAAAACTCTTTACCATCTACTAGTACATCAAGATACTCTTTAAGAAGTCAAACTCGATCCAATAAGCCTTCACCACCACCACCACAACCACCACAATCATCATCATCATCTCAAGTTAATCAACAATCAACCAAAGAGACATCAAATGTTGATCTACTTACACGTTTAAAAACCAAAGCGGAAAAATTTCTCAATTGGGATAAATTACTCAGTAATGGCTCAGAGAAATTAAAATTACTTGTACAAATATTAGAGGAAGGAGATTTACGAGATGAATCATCGCCATTAACTCGTGAAGAGCACATTCAATACATTTTATTGGCCATTGATTTTCTTGAAAAGAAACAATCACAATCACAATCACAATCACAACAACCACAACCACAACAACAACCAAATCCTAATCAATCATCACCATCAGGACCAATCAACTCAAGTGAACGATCATCTTTCAATCTAATTGTTGATTCTGATGATTCAAATATGACTGATGAAACTTTTCCTGTAATTCCTCGAGTTAGATATGTTTCTAATGCCTCATAATTAGTCTTGGGGTTTTAATTTTTTCACAGTCAAGAGTTTCTTGAACCTTAATCAATTTATCTTGATAATGATCTTAATTAATAATATGCAACAAAAAAAACAAAAACTATTGCAAAGCAAAAGCTGATTGTTAGTTTATTTGTTAATATCCCTTTTTCTGTATTGATTTTAATTTGGAAGATAATCCAAGTGTCAAATTATATTTCAACTATTTCGCTAATCAACTAAATGTAATTCTATTCATAAGTAATCATAATTTCTTGTAACAAAAAAACATTAATTTAATTTCGTGTTTATAATTTTGCTTTACAAAAATTGGACACTTAAAAGATAAAAAATACAATTGGACGAGAAAGAAAAACGATAAACTCGACAAACAATTAAGCAATTAACCGAATCTTATTTAGTGATTACCACTGGTTCTTCTGGTTGATTAGGAGGTGTAATGGACGAGGTGGACAAAGACGAATTCAACTTGACCACTGCTTCTTCATAACTTGGAGGTTGAATATCTTCATAAGTGGGAAGAGTTTCCCTTCTCATTGATCGGATACTTCGAGAGTCAACATCAACCAATCCAGAAGATGAAGGTCGATTAATCTCAAACGGATCATATGCCACTCTTAGGTCACTGTAACGAAGCTCATCTAAACGGATAACCCGATCAGAGAGTCTCGATCGAGCACAATTACGAACAACAATCCAAACCATCATGAGAACGGTCATCGAAAGGGAAAAGCCAAATATATTGGCCATCGAATGATTGTAAAAATATTGCTCACCATTGGCAATGGAACCATCAGGTGAACCATTACCACCATTATTTGTACCGATTCCACCTCGACAAGACCCATCGAAACAACCTCGTCTCGGCCAAAGTGCTAATTTAATAAGAAGGAAAAAATAGAAAAATCAATTCAACATAATAATCGATTTTACCTTACAAGTAAAAAGTTACCTTCTCCATAAAAGATACACTTATCGCTTCGAGAATTGTACAAGTGTCTCGTTGAACATGTACATTTATTTACGACACATCGACTGAATGAACTTCGCCGAAGACAATCGTAACTGGATAAACAGGGTGTATCAATTAACCTTGGAATACATTTACCTTCAACCAGATCAAAAACGTAGCCAATGTTACACTGACAAAGACCCGGAATCAATAGTTCACTTGCATTTGAATTGATATAATCGTCCCAAAGTGATTCAGTTATCATATAAAGGGAATCACCTTTACCCTCTTTTGAGAAACATCGAGTACCCGTCATTAAACACTGTGAATCAATCCAACAAGGTCCATTAATTGCTAAGATACGACGTAAACAATAACCAGTCTCATATAAACTGTAAGGCTCTTTACAGAGACATTTACCTTCCGTTGGATCACATTTGGCCTCGAATGGATTTTTACACCCGTTCCATGTCCCGTATTCAGAGCAACCCGAACCCATCATTTCAACCTGATCTTCATTATTCACGGGTGAACTTTCAACAGCCAAAAACAATCGACTCTCCATTAGACCAGCAAAAAAGGCAACAATTAACAATCGTATCGTCACACCAACGTAATAATAATAACAACCAGAATTCAATGTAAACTCTTCCATGGCCAAACAATTAATTTGATCACTTTTTCCAATTTTACCTTTTCAAATCAAACCCAAACCGTACATTACATTGTTCTGGAATAACGATCAATTATCTTCCAATGATGATCATCATTGATTAATCATCACTAATTTGATTCTGCAGTGAAAGAGAGTCTTTCTTTCACTCGAAAATTAAACTAACGAACTCAGAAAATGAACCGTTCAACTTGCGATCGAATGGAAAAAAGTAAATAATAATAACCATAGAGATTCAACTTTTTATTTCAACAATCGATTCGTAATAATAATAAATTGTATTAACGATTGCGTGATTCATTAGTAAATTGTAATGACAATTACGATTGTATTTCCATGCGAAAATGGTTATCATTTATATTTTGATGGTTAGATAATCAATGGAAGATGATGGATCGATCAATGAGAAAGTAAATCATTACCTTGACAATTAAGGGTTTGGAAATAGAGTACATGTTGATTATTTTGATTGTTGGGAACAAAAGTTGAATCAATTTGGTTGAAATTTCAATTCTCTCCATGTTAATTTAATCATTTGGATGGTAAATTGTTGGGAAATTTATCATCACACTTACTAGTTATTTGTTGATTACTACAACAAACAATTAACTTTCTTGGACTTAATCATCTTCCGTTCTCGTGGGTTGTGTTTACAATCAACAATTAACTGTGATTATTTTTATAACAATTAATAGTAACACTTAATTGAATGATAATAATCAAGTTAATTCACGTGATGGGGAAAATTTTAAGTGTCACTAATTTGGTTAACTTATAAATAGAAGTGGATTTATTAATTACGATTCGTGGAAACTTAATTAATACAATGATGATCGAGAAAATGAAAGTTAATTTAATAATTAATTAACTCTGTTAACCTATTGACCTTTAATAGTAATTAACAAGTAGTAATTTCTTGTATAGTTTATTAAAGGTTACAATTAGTTTAATTGTTAACTCATCGTGGATTTTGCCTTTGTGTGTGATTAACTTTTTATTGGCTTCTAATTTGGTTTGTACCAGTTAATTTGCTGATTAATTGTAAAGATTATAAAACGTTATTTAATTGTTGTAATGTAGTGATTAGCTTAATCTTAAATATTAATCAAAACATAACTTACTGGCTTAATTAAATTGTTTGATTAACACATGTCTTGACAATTAACTAATTGATAAACTTTTCCAACACCGATTGTTTAAATTGTCTCGATGTGTTGGTAAACTTTAATTACTTTCTCTTGATTGTTGTATAATTAAAATTTTTAAAGGTCATCATCATCTCTTTATATGATTACAATTTAAGTTGTTGATTAAATTACAATTTAGTTTGACAATGTCTCAGATATGATAGCCAATTGATTAGTCAACTAGTTAGTGGACGCAATTAGTTAATTATCAGATGACAGTTTTCTAGAAGGAAAATTTCATCAAAACAATTAATCATCGATTCCAACAATTGAGATTCAATTGTGTAAACAATTTAATCATTTTCCCTCCACAATTAAACAACAAATCAAATCAAAAAGAAACCACTTTTAGTGTATCAATCTAATTGCTTATAATTTGATTTATTCACAATCAAATAACAAATTGATACAATTTGAGGATTAATTGTCTTTGTTGATTAAAACTAAATTGATAACAATTAATCACGTTGACAATTGGTGGGAAAAGTAACAATTTAACATAAAAAACGTGTAAAAACAATTAAAATTGATTGTATTTTCTCATCGATTTACATTTAATTGAGTGATTAACGATACAAATAAGATAATTAATCTGATTGATTTAGAACAATTAACTTTTCCTTCCGATTATCATTCTAATTGTTTCTATTTAAAATATTCACTGGGTTAATATTTTGTGATTCTAATGGTGATACATTATTATTACTTTTCTCAATATCTCTTCCTGTTTGTATCTTTGATTATCCCTGATTAAACCTGAATAAACATTGATTAACGAAGATGAGAAAGATGATTAAGATTAACTAATCAATGATTAAACAATGAAGAAACAATTTGAATAACAATTGAACATAGAGATAAACAGAAACAGTAAAAGAGACATGAGAAAATGTTTGAAGGTTAAAACCAATCTAATATTTAAGAAATTAAGAGAAAACAATCAAAATAATTAACCAATGTTTAGATCGCTAGATTAAAGGATAAATCGACAAGATTAGTAAATAAAGGATGAGAAACTGATTAGGATGAGAGAGAAAAAGATGACAACAATCAAAAAGTAAAGCCGATCAATCAATCGATAATTAAACTGGAAAATCTAACCAAAAGTTGAGCCGAAAATGATGAGACACTTAAACCCAAATTAACTGTAATCGTAATTTGAACTCCATGTTATTTGGGGATAATTGTTGGTCACAAGACAGTCAAGTGAACAATCAACAATTAAAGTTAATTGTTCAAAGAGAAGCCTAAATTGAAAACAGCGAAATCCTTGTCCTTCTAATGAGAACTAATTTGCGTCCTTTGAACAAATCACGACCTCGAATCAAAAGAGAATATATTTTTTTCCCTTCTCTTGGTTAATCGCAATTTCTATACGGGCTTTTCCTAATACACTCGAAAAAAGGGTTATCCCAATGTTGATTGTGATTTAATTCTCATGATTATGGTAATTAATTTCCATAAGAATCAATGAATTAATCTGATTGAATCTTTCGGTTAATTTCTTTCTCTCCAATTTGATGTTTCAATGTTTTTCTCCTCATTTTTCATTCAACTACTCAATTGTTTCCTTTTCATCACAATCAACTAATTGATTATCTAATTGTATATACAATAGTTAATCATCTTCGACCATTCTGGGCTAATTTATCATCACAATCAACTAATCACCCAAAAGATTGACACTTGGATTTGTTGGTTCAGGTAAATACACTAATTTAAACTTTTCTTTCCCTTTGACAGTTGATTCAATTTCTCAGAATTTAAATTGATTAACAATTCTTGCCAAATGAATTCACTTAATTCTGTAGTGATTAAGTAATCATGTTTACTTAAATTGGTAAATTTCTCGTATGTAAACAAAATCTATCATGCTAATCTCTCCATGAGTTAATTTCCAAAGATAAACAATTAATAATCAAATTTAATCTTCGCCTCTGTTTATTATTAACCAAAATACACACATGTAAATTGCTCATTGACTAATTATCGATTCTGGTAATGATAATTAATCGTAATCATTGGTGGTGATTAGGAAAAAATTTCTCAATCTCTTAAAATAGCCTAATAACTATTGATTGTTGATTTCCAATAAATCGTTGAGACAATTTACCCGAAACGAAACTGATTGATTTGAATTGAACGGAATCAACAATCAATTTCAATTAAATTCATCATCATCATGATTATAACAGTTAAATTAAAGATGAATCTTGATTCCTCTCATTATATAACAATTGTATCAATTTTGTTCAACTAAATCATATAATCATCTAACTAAATTATTACCAATAATAAACAATGATTTAGTGTTTTCCATTATGATTAGTTAAACTGATTTAATCAATTGGAATATAAGTAAAACAACAATTAAATAGTTAAACCGATTGATTGTTTACTTAATTTACTCGAAATACTTGAAAAACTAATTTAGGTTAAATCGATTGATTAACCGAATAGACAAAATGAAAACAATCCAAAGCTAAACTAGTTTACCGATACAATTAACTTACAATGATTAATTAAACTAATTTAATTACTCTGAATAGCTTTTCCACCCTTATTTCTTCATCTCAAATCAATTTTGTTTATTTACTTGCAAGTTAATCACAATTAATATTAAATCACTAAAGTCACAAAGGTAATAAAAGTCATCATACTAATTGTGATTACATAATTTCCAAAGGTAGATATGTCTAAATCATGGTGAATAATATTATTAACAATTAACATTCAATCCACCCTTGATTATCCTTGAATTGTTACCTCTGTATGTGTGTGATTTTGTTTTAACAACAACAATTAGCATCATCATTGATTACAATTATAGAGAATCAAATTTACAATTTAGATGATCAATAGATCAGCTGATCGATTTCATTTTTTTTTATTTGTTTTGAACAAAAAAAAATCAGTTGGTGATGAAATTGTCACGTTAATCAAATAAACACACAAGGAGAGAGAGAGAGAGAGAGATAGTTTAAGGTTGATTAACAATTGATTAGTTAATTGTTATACTAAACAACAAAAAAAGGGCGATGTTTGATATTTAAAACTAATTGTAAACTTGATAATAATGATAACAATTAACACTGTCTATCCTTATCGTTAAATATTTACTTACGATGAAATTTAAACTTGGAGACAATTTAATTGTACCATTGGAAAAGTAAATCAGTTACATAAATATTAAGTTAAATTGTGATACAATTAGTTAATTGTCATCTCTTTAACCCGAGACACAGTAATCATAATATTCTGCTTGCTTCCAACAATCAAAGATAATTATTATCATCATCATAAATACTTATCCAATCATCATCATACATAAGTCTCTCCCTCTCATCCTGAATCATCACATCATATATCAATCTCCTCTCTATTCTGAATCTCAATCATCATCATAATTATCTCTCCATCTATCATCTACTCTTTCCATCATCATTATGATCATACTCATCTTATTACTACTCTTTGCTCTCATCTGATCATCCTCATCTTCATTATCTCTACACCCTCTTTTCATCATCATCATCATCATCATCGTCTCTCTCTCTCACTCTCTCTTTATTTTTAAAATTCATTTGTAACCAAAGCGTTGTTAATTTAGTTTCATTTTCACTAATTAACTCTCGTAACTTTTGATTATCCTTTTTATTATTATTAATACATTTGATTAGTTTCCAAACTTATTACATCTTAATTTGTTTCGATCACTTTTTTTTTACATGTTAATTACTAAATTTGTTCATTGATCATCATTTGGATGGATGAAAATTAATTAATCGAAAGCAGCTCAAAAAGGTAAATATACTTTCACTATTATATCAATAGACTGGAGTTGCTGATCAACCACAACAATCAATTTTGTTTAATTAAGTTATCATATCTTTGATTTGTTTTCTAGATCATCAAGACAAACTACAACAACCTTTTTCCTGATTCAATTGATTTTCCTTGATTGTTCAGTCAACTTTCATATATATATATCATTGTTTTGTTTTCCTGTGATTCTCAGGATCAACTTTGATTATACTTTGAAATTTAATTGTTAGTGTTAACTAATTGTCGTTGTGAGATTGACCTTTTAAATTTTCCAAACTGGGTTTAGACGTGTTGAAAAAAGGTGCTGCCATGGTTGATCTGAGTCGCTGGGATCGTTGGAAGGTCAAACTGAAATTGGGAAATTCACGAAGATCAAATAAATCACCGGGTACCAATGTTAAACTAAATGGTAACGGGTCACCTTCATCGATTGACCTGAGATCAGCTGATCAGTCAAGTTCAAGTAGCTCTTCAGATGGGGATATTGAATCAATGTCGGTCGATGGATGTTGGCCTGGACCTCGTCAATCAGAGGTAATCTTATGTTCATCGCCCAATGGTATTAGTACAATCTCTTCACCTAATGCAACACCGACCGATTTAAACTCTTCTTCCGGTTCCGATTTGATTGGTACCAATGCTGCCAATAAATCTTTAGATTTGGGACCAAGTGAAAAGAAACACGCTAAACCCTCTGATTTTGAATTTCTCAAAGTAATTGGCCATGGATCTTTCGGTAAAGTGTTAATTGCTCGTCACAAAGCGGAAGAACAAATTTACGCGGTCAAAGTGTTACAGAAAAAGGTGATACTCAAGAAAAACGAACGAAACAACGTAATGTGCGAACGAAATGTTCTTCTCAAGAATTTACATCATCCCTTCCTTGTTGGTCTTCATTATTCATTCCAATCAAGGGATAAACTTTACTTCGTTCTCGATTATGTCAACGGAGGTGAACTCTTTTTCCACCTTCAACGTGATAAATATTTCTCTGAAAATCGAGCTCGATTCTATGCCGCCGAGATAACCTTAGCTCTTGGCTACCTTCATTCCCAGGGAATCGTTTATCGTGACCTTAAACCAGAAAATATCCTCTTAGACTGTGATGGTCACGTTGTCCTGACCGATTTTGGACTTTGTAAAGATGGACTTCGAGATCGTGATACAACTTCAACCTTTTGTGGTACACCTGAATATCTTGCACCGGAAGTGCTTCGGAAAGAGGCCTATGATCGTCGAGTTGATTGGTGGTGTTTAGGTGCTGTACTTTACGAAATGCTTTATGGTTTGGTAAGTTGACTTAATTGTTTATCATTGATCATTGATTACATTCAAATTGTAATCGGTCTTTTAACCGCTAAATTGTTGTACTTGTATTTATGATCTTTTGCTCTAACTACAAATGATTAACAATTTAATTTACTATCTTGATCTCTATATTTACTAATCATCTTCAACAACATGAAAATTAATCAACAATCTATAAATTGTTGTTCGGTCCTTTCACTCATTTACCAGTAACAATCATCTTAATCATAATGATGATCGTTATTTTTAGTAAATTGTCGGCTGATTAGATTAATTGTGATTAGTGAATTACTTTTTTTTCCCCTTCCATCCAACAATCGTCTTAATTTCAATCAGCAATCAAATACCATCAATTGAGTTAATCAATTTGATTCTGATTGTTAAATCAATTTCCACCAAATTTAAGTGCAATATACTGGAAATGTTTCCAATATTGTTTATTTAATTACTAATTGATTATCAATCAATCATTATTATTACTATTTAATTGTACGCCCTAAATTGTATGTGTTTGTTATTGTTAGTGTGGTGACGATGATTAAATTTAATTGTAAGCAAATTAACATGACATTGAAAAACTTTCACTTTGTTTTTCAGTCTCATGTTTAGTTGATTAGCTTTTAATTATGATTATAACCATCATTCAATTATTATGTATTACAATTAAATGTATGATGAGGTTGATGATTGATTTAGTTATATTGTTATATTAGACAATATCTAGTATAAGAGTATTTAATTAACAATTAACTGATTTCTCCTCTTTGTAATATATCATGAACCTTGTTCTGATACAACAGGTAATTAATTGATTAGCTTATATCATTAATTGTGTGATCGATGAACATGATTCTGATTGTATTCAGTTAATTGTCATGATTATATTATTAGGAATTAAGAATTGACCTTCAATTTGAATTAATTTATTATTAACTGACTAAATGATTAAATTGTTGGTTTGTTGATTTACTAATGAAATTTGAATTCTGTTTTGAATCAACAATCAGTAAAAATAATCATTGTAATTGTTTATCTTAATCCTTGTAACAATTAACTAATTAACTTATTTGGTGATTTGTAAACAAACTGTTTTGAATTGTAATCAATTAGACAACAATCAGAATAATTTATTTTAAATTCAATTTCAACTGATTGGCTTTTGATTGATTTCCTTGTTCATTTCTGGCTTTCAATTAGGTTTAAATTGTTTATCTACTTTTTAATTGCTTAACATTAACAATTAACTTGATTCTTTTACGATCTATTCATCTAGATAATTAATTTTATTTCATAATTGTCATTAATTGTTACACTTATTTTTAATCACAATGAAAGGTCAGTTCATTCAATACAATAATCAACTAGTTAAATCAATAATCATCATATTCTTGAGACTGATTAAGAGCACAATTAATTAACGATATAAGTATTTGAAATTGTATTTGGTGGTAATCAATTAACAACATCTAATGATGACGTTAGTTAATTGTTATTAAAGGTTAGATAATTAAATGATCATTATTGGTTAAACGACTCTGAAGTTGTAGTTACAATTAATTTAATACCAGATTCTTAAAAAACTAAATCAATTGATTACAATTAAGTGTCTCTCTATGTCTATGGTAAATTGATTTAGTTCAATTCATAAATATGATCCGAATAACAAATTTAATTAATTCTAATTGATACTAATTATCATCTGTCATTATTTTTAAATTTAATTGATTCCTTGATTATGGACAATTAGTTAATTGTGTTTATAATGAAGCAATGAAACAAAGACTTAAAGTTAAACTCAAATATCTTAATTGTTTACATTACTCATTAAATAAGCTTTTTTATGACTTTATTACAATTAAATTACTTTGATTATCACAATAGGAATGATATAATTACTACAATTAATATTCACCCGGAACTTTAATTATCCTATTTAATTCTTGACTAGCAATTAGTTTCCATATTACTGAGTGTTGGCCAAATACAATTTGTTGTAATCCTTGTTGAGAATTAATTTCACTAAAATAGATCTTAAATTATTGACAATCAACTAAATTAATAGTTAAATTATTGATTAACGATACACTTAATTGCTTAGATATTAATATATTGAGATGAAATTTTGTAAATTTTTCATTGAAAAATTTTCCGCAAACTTTCAAAAGTTGATTGTTTGTAGCAAATTAATTCAAGGCATAAACAAGATTTTCAAATGTTAATCACTCTAAATTGTAACAATTAACTAATGAACATTTAAATTTTCTCGTTACAGCCTCCATTTTACAGTCGAGATACAGTTGAAATGTATGATAACATTTTGAACAAACCAGTTCGTCTTAGGACCAATATATCGTTAGCGGCTCGAAGTATACTTGAAGGGGTAAGATACTAATTGAGTACAATAATCTTTTACCTGGTTAACAATTAACTAATTGCCAAATTGACATCTTAATTACAGCTTCTTCAAAAGGATAAACGTAAACGTCTCGGTGCTAAAAACGATTCCGATGAGATTAAACGTCACGATTTCTTTAAGCCAATCTCATGGACCGAATTGGAATTCAAACAAGTATCACCACCATTTAATCCCAATGTGGTATGTAATCATAATTCCAACAATCAGTGAACAACAATTAACTATTAATTTGATAATGAAACTTTCTCAGTGGGAGAGTAATTGAAATGAACGCCAATGTAACTACATCATCATTGATTTTCATTGGAAAATAACATTTATCTTTTTCTATCTTCTCAATTGTTGCTCTTGATTTTTACTTTGATTACTTTTTATATTACTATTTATATCTAATTGTTGTATTCTAATTGTTAACAGAAAGGTTATATGGACTTAAAGAATATCGATCCTGATTTCACCAAGGAACCAGTTCCACAATCAGTCTGTAAATCTGTTAATATTTTCGGAGCTAATTCCATACCTGATAATGCATTCCCTGGATTCTCATATGCGGAAGCTCATTGATAACTAATTTCGATAATTATTTAAATTGTTATCCATCTCTCTCTCTCTCTCTCATCCCATCTCACCATCATCATCATCATCGCCATCGTCATCTCTTTTTTTCTGCAAATTCTAAATCATCATAAATTCATCATTAATTTGCTACAATGAGAAAAAGAAAGTTCTAATCATGGTAACAATTAAGAAGAGTCTCTTTTAGAATCAAAATCATCCGTTATAATCAAGTTATCGTTTTGATATTTACTCTTAATTGTTTTTAACTCATAAAGTCGTTTCTTTTATTTTTTCATCATCAGCAATTATCAAAATGATTCCAATTTGATTAGTTCGTTTGATTGATTCGCAACTTTGACTTGCTTAATTGTTCAATGTTCCTTGTTGATTGTTAATTTCTTTTTTTTCTCATGTTTTCTTGATCATTTTACATTCTATATTTTTCTCTGTTGATTATTCATCATCAAACTCATTCCTTAATTGTCTTGATAATTCTGATGATATTCAATTTAAATTCAGATTAATCATCTCTTTCAAAGCTTTAATTGTGATTAATCCTGATTGGTATTGAGATAATTTTAATATATTATGTGTTAATATCAAGTAAATACTATTGATCCTGATTATCATATAATTAGTGACAATTTAAAAGGCAAATATTGTAATAATAATCATTTTTTATCATGAAACACAAAAAAATTTATAATTGTTACCAAAAAAAGTTAATTGTGATCAATATCTTGATATAATGAGCCAAGGATCAAATTGAATCTTCATTACTTGATTAACTTCAATCATTACTCTGCCATCTTAATTGTGATCATCATTTGCCTTAATCTTAATCCAAATTTGAATCCATTATATTTCAATGAACCCTCTTAATTATTTAATAATTGTAAATCTAATTGTCTAGATATCTTTAACTACAAAGAAAACTGTTATTACTATGTAACCAAACAATTACTTTTTAATTAAACTGATTAACTTTTAAGCTAAAACATTAATTAACTCATTCGATTCCTGATTAATCATTATCAGGATTAAGTTAATCATCGAAATAGACTGGCAATTATTAGTAACATGATATAATTTCATGTTAATTTCGTAAGTTAATAAGCTGATTGATTAACCTTGATTATTAATCATCATCTTTAACCAATCAGTCTTAACAATCAACATTCGTTATGATGAAGTCTAATAACTTGTACTAGCAATTAAGTCACAATTAGTACTCGGTACTTGTACTAAGAATCATCAAATTGTCGTTGAAATATTAATTGCGATCTCATATTGATAGATGGAAATGATTAGTCGATTTTATGACTGATTTTAAAATAAATCATCCAAATCAACAACTCGATAAGTTGATTGTCGAAAATGGAATTTAATTATTTTGAACTGATTTCGAAGTTGAAGTTTAATTGTTGATCTATTTTTCTATGAAAAAAAGAAAATAGTAACAATTAATCGAGCAATTGATGTGGAAATAATTTCTCTCTATATCATTTAAACTGATTGTTGTTATGAGAATTCTAATCACAATCAAGTTAATCATCTTTCCTCTCTCTGTCTATTAATTTTCCCACCTTCTTTCAAGTCTTTCTTTTCCTCTGTCTATTTTTTTCTTGATTGTTTCATTTTCCTCTCTGTTATTTGTTAATATCTAGATCAATGTCCTAAAAACCATCTCGTTATTATAATTACGCTTCCTACTCTTGATTAGTTAACAATGTATATTGATCGTAGTAAATAAAGTTAATTACTGTCTTACCTATGTTAAAATTGACTAATTAACAATGAGAATCAGTAATCACAATTAAAAGACAATCTAATCCCAGATATTCAATATAACATGAACAACTATTATGCCTACGAAAACAATTTACTAATATAATCCATCCCATGGCCTCATCATTTTTCCCAGCTTATCAAATGTAAGTGAAATTCAATTAAAAATTTAATCCAACTGATTAACTAATTGTTAACTTCTTGTCTAAGTGTCTTAATCTGTCTTCTTGGTGTAAATATAATCTTTTGGTTTATCCTCCTTTGTTGGCGTATTTTTTGCTTCGGCTCAATGGTAAATGGGTTAGCTCGATGTCGACAAGTTTTCAATACAATCGGACCCGTTAATCCATCCCAACAACGACAAGACATATCAATGGTAAGCCTTGTCTCTTAATCCTAATCTGTTTGTGACAAATTGACTAATTAACTAAAACGTAAGAAAGTTAATTGATTATCTATTTGTTGTGCACTTTTCTAGTATTAATAATAATTCATTTAGGTTTATCTCATCTCTCTCTCTCTCTCTCTATAAATTGCTCTGGTTTTTTGTTATTGATTGTGATTAGTTAATTAGATAATATTGTTAACAAAACTGAAACAGAGGGAGTCATTAATTGATTACCATTGATAAGTAGAATTAATTGTAATCATAAACTAATCACTTACCTTAATTATCTTAAGTAAACTTGTAAATTTACCCAAAATTTCAATGTCTCTCTATTAATCCAATCTCTTGGTGGGTTTTAATTGTTATAATTTATGTGTTGATTTTCATTATCTCCAATCTAATGTAATCAATTTGATTCGTTTCTTTCAACAATTAGGTCTCTAACTATTCAACAAGAGGATCAGTATCACGAGTTAACAATGATTTACCTCCTCCTTATGAACAAGCAATTAAATATCCATCGTTAATTTCAATCTCTGGCCAGATAAGTGGTAATAATAGCTCAATGTTTACTCATCACAATCAACAACCACAACGACAACAACAACGACAACATCATCATCGATATTCATTGTCACAATTAACTGAACCAGTAGGATCAACATCAATCAACATGAGACCCGAAAACTCAACCTCAGTATCTTCATTACCTCAACAATTACACATAACAACATTGGCAACAACAATTGAATCAAATTTAGACGATGAAAAGTTGTGATTTCAAATGATTAGTATTTCTCTTGTAACAATTTAATTTTTATATACATTATCATTATGTTGATTTGTCGCAAAGGTTAATCAAATTAAATGTACAAGTTTGTGCATAGAAAACAAATTATTATAAAAGTTTGTTGTAATTTGTTGAGATCAACATTCTGATTGTTACCTTCAATTGTAATTAATTTATTATTATGTTTAATTGTTTTCTATCAATCACTTTAATAGTACAATAAAAGACTAAATTATCTTTTAATTGGACTGAAAAAGTTAAATTTAATTGTTTTCAGTTGTTGAACGAGATTCATTTGGATTTGACTGTACAAATTAGACTTCGGTATTGGCTCTTTTCCTTTCGATCTCGATCTCAATCATTGAGCTTCTTGGACGTTTAGAACGGAGATAACTGGCCTTTCCATTGATTTCCAGGCCATCATGATGCCGTTGAGCCAAATCGACGATAAAGATAACACCCAATGGGTACAATAGAACAGTGGAAATGAAGTGATAGGCCATTCCTGGAAAAGTGTCAAGTGTAAATGTGAATATGTGAGTGATCAACACGGTTCCAATGATTGGTGATATTGAGGAAAACAGGGTGATTATTGTATAGATTTGAGCGATTTCATTGTAATCGACAACTCGAGTGATTATTGAACGAAGTCCAACCGGTGCTAGACCCATGTTAATATGCGTTATTATGGTAACGTAATAGCCCAAGGGCTGGAGTAATGCACCACGAATGGCAAAGTTGGCAAGCATAGAGACACATCCAACTGCAGCTAAACTTGTATCACGAATATAATAACGATGGACAAGGATATAAGTAGCGATTGGCTTGAAAACCATTGGTGCTAATCCGACGATTGCAGAAATATATGAGAAAAACTTATAATCCCATTGATAAACTTTCTGCGCAAACTGGAATCCAATTGCAGATTCACATAATAAACCCCAAGAGATTAAAGAAGAGGCCACAATTAAATGCCATAATTGACCACGATGACCATTAGGCCGAGGTCTTAATGCCGTTTCAAAAGTTTGCGATAAATTTGTTATGTTGAAAATATTTGATAAAAACGATTGTCCAGTTGATTCTTTGCCTCTCCATTCAATGGGAGCACTCGGATTGGTTTGAAAGGTGATCGAAGATGATTCATCAGCATCATGAAGAGTGACCAACACCCAAAGGCCAGTGAATGCCTTGGTCAGGCCAAAGATCACAAATACTCCAATATAATTACGAAAACCAATATTGAACAAAGGTGAAAGCGAGAGTAATTTCCCTCCAAGAGCCACAGCCAATGGATAAGCTACAAAAAAAATCGAAAGGGGATCAAGATTAAAATTTCAATTGTTCCAATCAATCTACTCACCTGATAGTCGACAAAATTCAATCACAGAAAATCGTAAAGGTCGGTAATCAATTGCCGTTTTACGAGCTACATAAGTGTAAGAACCAACGGAAACCAATGTTTCACCGCCGGTGATTCCATAGCTGATGAATGTGTAAATTGTCTGATGAGGATCTGAAATGAATTAGAAACTAATCAGAAACAATTGGAAAAAGTAAAACCATTTAGATCATTTGATCAGATTGATTAATTGTTTAATCAATTGTTCTTACCTGTTTCCCAGTGTATTGTCAAATAGATGAGTAATAAACTCTGAATTACTCCACCCAAACACGGAAATGCAAGAAGATACTTAATATGACCTGGATAAAGATCCATCCATCGTCCAAGGAAAAGTGATAAAATAATTCCGGGAGCGATAGAGACCAGAATTTGATAGTTCTTGATGGAAGTTGCCTCTTTCAGAACAATTAATTTAACCTTCTCTTCAAATTCACTTGGCACATTATTTAAATCGTTACAGATTGAACTGTTAAGAGATAAATTGTTGAGACAAATTTTGTCTTGAACAAGTTGATTAACTGGAACTGTAATTAAATTGGTTCCCAATTGAAAGAGGAAAAAGTAAAAATCAATACGAAGTAAACAAACAACTCGACAAAATTTTTTCATCAACAATTGAACCATTTTTACGGTTTAATTGTGATCAGATTTGATTAAAAAACACATATGATTAATAAATAGTTACCACACTAGATGATTCCATTAACAATTAACTAATTTCTCTCGCTCTCTCCCTAGTAAAGGTTTGATTTAGTAACATTTTCCTACTCGAAACGTCAGATTAACTTTTCATATTATTAATACTTTATGAAGATTATGATTCAACTTTGTCTTTTTTTTAATGATAACTTAAAGTTAATTATCAATATTAATTAGAATTAGAACAATAATGAAGTGATTTATCTTGATTGTAACTCCTCTTTTTTTTCCTTTTCAAGTCAATGTGATGGAGCAAAAAAAATCACAATCAATTGATTCAATCAGATTCGATATGTGAGGTAAATGCAATCTGATTATATTGGATAGATTTAATTAGATAAGTAGTTAGTAGTCATTTAGCTGATTTTCAGTGTGATTAAATTCAATCATCATCCGGTTGTGTTGATTAATCGATTTCACCACAGTTCGTTCATCTTACAATTTGATTGATTGTTTCAAAATCGACTTGATTTTCTTCTGACATTTTCCTTTGTAATTGATAATTCAAACACGTTAGTTGATGGACTAGGAAGAGGTGACGGAGTTACTTGAACTGTACAAAGCGATTTCCTTGTTTGGGATTTTTGATTAGTGTTTTTCTTTTCAATTAAATAAATAGTGAAAATGGTTACCACGGGTGGAATTAAAAGTGAACAACAATAGAGAAATAAATGATTAGCTTTCGATTGTAAAGTTGATGAGGCTAATTTGGAGAAGATTAGAATGACCAATGGACGAGTTATTGTCATAAATGAAGCGATTATTGTGAAAATTTTGGAAATTTCATAACTGTAGACAATTGAAGTGACCATAGAACGGAAACCAGCCAATGTTAGGCCAAAAAGAATCTCAATCGTTGAGCTTAAATAGTAAACAATTGGATGGAAAATTAATCCTTTCAACAGTAAAGATAAAAGTATCGAAACCAATCCAATTGCTGTAATGGTTATGTCACGAAGTGAAAGTAAATGAACCATTATTATCATAATTAAGACACTGGTCAGTGAGATTACAATAGATTTTACATCGCTAATTTGGTGTAACTGTAATTGTGTCCAGTTGAACAATTGATTGGTGTAACTTTCATCAATCACTGAGCTGCTATTGATGGTAAAAAACGTGAATATCATTGAGATTGTTAAACAAATCATCTGAGGTCGCCCATAATTAACTCGCGGCCGAATGAACGATTTACAGGCCATAATTGCATTTCTATAGTTAATCACTTGGCCAAAGGTGAAATCAGTTGATGAAGTGCTGTTCCTTTTACCATTGGGACTGATTACGGCTGAAGTTCTTCGAGTATCTAAACCATCTTCCGAAAGTGTTCCCATACTGTTACCATATTGTTGACCATTCGGTGATTTATTCATCATACTGAATCCCATTAGAAGGGTAGCAACTGAAGTTCGTCTTGCCCCACCGGTTAAATGGCTTATTGATGATCCTCGACGGTTACTTGGACCAGGAACTTGAAGTGAAAAAGCCGTTACTCGTCGGGCATTGGGATCTTGTAGAGACTTGTAGTAACTATAAGCCGATACCTGTGACATTGCACGAGACTGTCGACTTGACGATTGCCCATTATAAGAGGAACGTGAATTTGATCGTCCAGTTAAAAGTGTAATGAGAATCCAAAATTCCGTGAATGTTAAAATACTGCCACTGACTAAAAATACACCAATATAGTTACGATATTGACCATAGATCCATGGAGTTTGAGACAATAGTTTACCACTTAGAAAATTAGCCGCAGGAATTGCTATAAATCAAAACGAATAATCAACATTAAAAACCAATCAAAAATTGTTCAATGAATAAAACAATTAAACATAAAACAATCAACTCACCTAAAGAGGAAACCGCTTCCAATATAATGAACCGAATGGGTCGTTGTTTAGATTGTGTAGTTTTACAAATAAAAGCATAAGCTCCAGTGATCGCCAATGTTTCACCTCCAGAAATCCCAGTAAATAGAAAAGGATAAATTGTATCAATAGGCTCTTAATTAGAAAGAAGAAGAAGAAAACAAATCAAAACAATCAATTAAATGGTGAACATCAACAGTTGAGATGAAAAAAAAAATTCCCTCGTTTTTATTACTCTTGAAATTTGTTATTCCAAAAAAGAGATGGAGCCAAAATCGTTTTCTATCAAAAATCATTCGTTAATTACAATTGATTAATTATCTTAATCAAAAGTGATTAAAATCGGTTAATTGAATTACCAAAATTTCTATGGAACCAATTTGAATGATTTTTGTTATAAATTCGAGTGTGAAAATGAATTTCAGTTTAGTTCGGTTTTTGTTTGTTCTAAATCGTTTTTGTTATGGCAAGAGATTAACTAATTAAGGGATTAATCTGTTAATCCAATTACCTGCATTAAAGTTGATACATTGTACTGTTAGAAAGATGTTTAAAATGGCTCCACCAATACAAGGTAAGGCTAAAATGTATCTTAAATGGTCCAATCTTGTATCAATCCAATGGCCCAAGAGAAAGGTTAAAATGATTGAAGGTAAAGTTGAAAGTGAATGTTGATAAAGAGTTAATTGTGTTAAAGTTGATTGAATTTCATGATTAACCTTAGATTGGCCATATAAATTACCAAGAGAATCACAAGAATCAACAGCAAGCCGATAATTGTTTAAACATATTTTATCAAAGATTAATTGTCTCAATGGAAGGTTAATCATGTTGGTTGCAAGAAAATAAAGGAAACAATATAATTCAATACGAAATCTAGAGACGACATTTTGTAATTGATTAAGACGATCTTTGATCATTATTCAATTGGAATCAAATGGAAAAACAATCAACAGGTAACAAGATTAAAGGTAAGGATAATTTAATTGCTCTATTTACAACAATTTAATAAATAAACAACAACAAGAGGAAATCAAATGCAATCAACTAATGATGAAAACAAAAATATCAACACTAGTTTCAATATCTAACAATTAAAGGTTGAGTATATAATTGTTATCATTTAACTTTCGGTTTAATCATAATAGTAAATGTAAGTAATAAAAAAAACCCGAGAGAATGAGCAACTAAAGTAATAACAACAATTAGCGAGTGATTAAGAAAATGAATCAATAACAATAAACTACCGTTAACAATTAACCATCTTATCTGATTAGTTAAAGAAATCAAACCTTAAAGGTAAGGGAATCTAATACACTATTAAGATAATGTTGATTATATGAATTGATTGTAAGCTTTTTAATTTAAGATTAATCATTGACGTAGTTGATTTATTGTTAATTGTGATTCAAAGACATGGAATAATTAACAAATTAACTGTAACCTTGTCAAGGTTTTTCATAAGTTAATCAGTTTCTTTAATCATGTAAACATAATAAACTAAATAATAAAACTTTTTTTTGTTCATCTATTAGATTTTTGATTTTCTCAATCAAATGTAAATCCAACTAATGGGTTTTAATTGATTATCATTGGTGATTAAACAATAGGAGGATTAGTTAATTATATTTTCGATATGAAACAAAAAACAGTAGATGTTTGATTAGAGAGATTTTCAGACCTTGATTGTCATAATTAGAATCGACGATAATGATTTAGAATATAAATTTCATGGGATTTTCCTTTTGGTAATTAATTGAATTTAGTGATGAGAAAAAGTAAACAACAATCATTGAAGATGAAAATTATAACGGTTAATTTGTATTCGATAGTTTTGTTAATATCCATTGTTAATCTAATCCAATGTGATGGATGTTTTAAGAAGAAATTTGATTTTGATTCTTTTGTTTGTGTATGTAATGAGTTTCATTGTGATCCATTGATTGATACGATTAATTATTCTGATGGATTAATTTATTCATTTACTAGTGATAAAGATGAGCAGCGATTTAATCAACGTACCTTTACACCCGACCAACTATCGGTTATTGATCAACAATCAATTGTCTTGAACATTCATGTTAATGATACCAAACAACAGATCATTGGTTTTGGTGGTGCTTTTACTGATGCTTCAGGAATTAATATTAATTCACTTCCGGCTGATTTACAAGTTCTATTGTTGAGAGATTATTTTGGTCCAAAAGGATTAGAATATAATATTGGTCGAGTTTGTGTCGGTGGATCTGATTTCTCTACACATCCTTATACTTATCAAGATGATCACCAAGATTTAGATTGGTCACACTTTTCATTGACCACTGAAGATTTTCAATACAAAGTAAGTTACTTGACATTATTGTTAATTTTTTGTATGATTTTTTAATTGATTGAATATCTATCTGTGTGTTTTTAGATTCCTTTGATTAAAATGGCCAATGAACTTTCGGGAGGATTGAAACTCTTTGGTTCTATGTGGTCACCACCATCTTGGATGAAATACCAAGAAAGGATTAATGGTACTGGAGTGTTAAAAGGAGATCCTGGTGGACCTTATTGGAAAGCGATGGCTACTTATTTGGTCAAGTGAGTGTTGATTATATTGGTTCATTAGTCAATCTAATTTGATATAATGTAATAGGTTTTTAGATGAGTATAAGAAGAATGGACTTGAGTTCTGGGGACTGACTACTCTTAATGAGCCGAGTGCTGGTTTTAAGCCAAATTACAGATTCAACTCTCTTGGTGTATCAGCGGAAATGTTCAGAGATTGGATTGCAAATGACCTTGGTCCAGAATTGGAAAAAGCTGGTTATGGAAAAGATAAACTTAAATTGATGATTGTAGATGATAATATATCCTTGGTGTTTTTATATGTTACCAGAATTCTCGGTTCTTCCCAATCATCAAAATATGTTTCTGGTATCGCTACTCATTGGTATGAAAATGAAGCATTTGGTTATAGTGATTTTGAACGAGTTCATGAAATGTTTCCTGATTATTTCATTCTTCCAACGGAGGCTTGTGTTGAAGGAGATCGTAAGTTGACCGTTAATCCAAATAAATAAAATTTCTTAGATCAATAGATTGATTGTGATCTTCTTTGAATTTGATGCACTAATCCGAATCTATTTTGATTCCAGCAAACCTTGGGTCTTGGAATCTTGGTGAGCGATATACTTCCGATATCATTGAAACTCTCAATCATTGGGGAACTGGTTGGGTTGATTGGAATTTAGCTCTCGATATGATCGGTGGTCCTAATTGGGTTTCCAATTTCGTCGATGCTCCGATTATCGTTAACTCTCAAGCTCGTGAATATTACAGACAACCCACTTACTATGCTTTAGCTCATTTTACTAAATTTCTAAAACCAGGATCAACCAGATTAGGTTTCGATGTGATCAGAAAAGATCCAAATGTTAAATCAACTGTATTCAGAAATATCGATGATCAAATTGTAATTGTTTCTCTAAACAAAAATGATTATCCAGTTAATTTAACAATTAATTTCACTCCATCTCAAACTACTAATAGTATTGGTATAACTCTGGGTCCTAAATCAATTGAAACAATCGTAATCAATAAATAATGGTCAAAACTAACTTGATCAAAATTCTTAAATAAATAAACTCAATTTCTAATACTTGCGATTAAATTTAATCTCTTAATCTATTTGATATCATCATTTTATCAATAATGTAAAAGAATAACAGAATTGTTAAATTCCTTGTTAATCTAAATTCAAAGATCAAAATTCAGATGATTGAATTATGATTTATGCTAATCCAGTTTAATTGTTTCACTTAGTTGTTTTTTTTTCAAAACAATTATTAATATTTTGGAGTAAATCCAAACAATTGGGGAAATCCTATTATCCTTGATTTGATTGCCAAATGTTTATAAATGATTACCATTTGGTATCAATTTTAACCGAAATCAATAGTGATTAGCTACAATTATCAAGCCATAATTGAGATTTCCAGCAAAAAAGTTAATCAGTTATATCAACAATTAATGTGTTATTCTTAATTGTTGTTGTATATTCCATTAAATCATCAATTGTTTGTCTATTTCCTTATCAAACAATTTAACACTCACTTGAGTATAAACTTCAACTATCAATTACTTAGTAGGAGTTTATGAATTATTAAATTGCATATGATTACTTAATAGGAAGAGACAATTTGAACAATCAAAGTTACTAAATTGTTTATTAATATGAATTAAATCAATATTATCTAACGAGTGTTTGATATTAATCAATGATTAGCTTGATTGACCCGTTGATTTTTGCTGCCTGATTACAATTATCTTCCTATTTATAACAATTAGGAGTTAGAAATGTTGTTTATATTAATAACGTTTTCCTTTGTCTTATCAACGAAAAATATATGAACAAATTAATTTAATTGCAGTTTTTTCATTAATTGTTGAGTTAATGGTAGAATAACAATGAATTCAAGAGTCTTAATTGTTTTCCTAGTGAGTGTTGCTATTATCAAAATTGCAACGAGTGATGATTGTTTAAAGAAAACATTTGGAGCCGAATCATTTGTTTGTGTTTGTAATGAGTCTCATTGTGATCCATTAATTGATACGATTAATTATTCTGATGGATTAATTTATTCATTTACTAGTGATAAAGATGAGCAGCGATTTAATCAACGTACCTTTACACCCGACCAACTATCGGTTATTGATCAACAATCAATTGTCTTGAACATTCATGTTAATGATACCAAACAACAGATCATTGGTTTTGGTGGTGCTTTTACTGATGCTTCAGGAATTAATATTAATTCACTTCCGGCTGATTTACAAGTTCTATTGTTGAGAGATTATTTTGGTCCAAAAGGATTAGAATATAATATTGGTCGAGTTTGTGTCGGTGGATCTGATTTCTCTACACATCCTTATACTTATCAAGATGATCACCAAGATTTAGATTGGTCACACTTTTCATTGACCACTGAAGATTTTCAATACAAAGTAAGTTACTTGACATTATTGTTAATTTTTTGTATGATTTTTTAATTGATTGAATATCTATCTGTGTGTTTTTAGATTCCTTTGATTAAAATGGCCAATGAACTTTCGGGAGGATTGAAACTCTTTGGTTCTATGTGGTCACCACCATCTTGGATGAAATATCAAGAAAGGATTAATGGTACTGGAGTGTTAAAAGGAGATCCTGGTGGACCTTATTGGAAGCGATGGCTACTTATTTGGTCAAGTGAGTGTTGATTATATTGGTTTATTAGTCAATCTAATTTGGGATATAAATTGATATTCTTTTGATTGTATTGATACAATGTAATAGGTTTTTAGATGAGTATAAGAAGAATGGACTTGAGTTCTGGGGACTGACTACTCTTAATGAGCCGAGTGCCGGTTTTAAGCCAAATTACAGATTCAACTCTCTTGGTGTATCAGCGGAAATGTTCAGAGATTGGATTGCAAATGACCTTGGTCCAGAATTGGAAAAGGCTGGTTATGGAAAAGATAAACTTAAATTGATGATTGTAGATGATAATGTTTCATTAGTCGTTCTTTATGCTTCAAGAATATTAGGCAATTCTACCTCAGCTCAATATGTATCTGGTATTGCTATTCATTGGTATGAACATGAAGAATTTGGGCATGAAGCTTTCGAAAAAGCTCATGAAAAGTGGCCTGAATATTTCATTTTATCAACTGAAGCTTGTGATGGTGTTTGGGCCGATAAAGGAGGTAAGATATGAATAAATGATTATGCCACAAAATAAAGTTTTATTTTTACGTCAAGTTAAACTTGGAGCTTGGAATCGAGCAGAAAATTACGCGATAGACATAATCGAAACCCTCAATCATTGGGGAACTGGTTGGGTTGATTGGAATTTAGCTCTCGATACGATCGGTGGTCCTAATTGGGTTTCTAATTTCGTCGATGCTCCGATTATCGTTAACTCTCAAGCTCGTGAATATTACAGACAACCCACTTACTATGCTTTAGCTCATTTTACTAAATTTCTAAAACCAGGATCAACCAGATTAGGTTTCGATGTGATCAGAAAAGATCCAAATGTTAAATCAACTGTATTCAGAAATATCGATGATCAAATTGTAATTGTTTCTCTAAACAAAAATGATTATCCAGTTAATTTAACAATTAATTTCACTCCATCTCAAAGTATTAATAGTATTGGTATAACTTTGGGTCCTAAATCAATCGAAACAATCGTAATCAATAAATAATGGTCAAAACTAACTTGATCAAAATTCTTAAATAAATAAACTCAATTTCTAATACTCGCGATTAAATTTAATTTCGTATTCACCAACTGTAATTAAAAGCAGTAATCAACTAATGCTGAGATCAGACCGCTTCCTAGTTCAGACTAAAAAGTTGTTTCACCAAGCCCGAGTTAGTTGATTCCCGATCGTAGTTAAAAAAAATGGACGCTCTGGCACAGAAGAAGTAGACTCTGAATCCGACGCATACACAAACAGGTCCAATTTACAATGGACTTATGAAAGCAAATATGGATACCGATGCGAGTATTATGCAATTTCGAACAAATTTCCTTTCTGGTATCGAAGAATGATGTAAATATATGTTTAGAGAAATTTATCTAAAAAGTCCCTTAACGAGCAAAATTCCAATGTAAATTCCACTCCAAATGTTATTTCTCCGAAAAGTGGTTTTCCAGACAAAATATTATCAACCATCTTTTCCCTTTTTTTATAAAGTTCCTTGTTGCTATTGTGATGGTGTTCATTCTAGTAAAAAAACTTTTATAAACATTTGTTGGAATTTCATAAAGACAAAATGCAGCAATCCAATCGGTTATTTAGCGAATAGACATAGAATCGCAACTTCAATCCAATGTTATGGTTTTTATTTCATTTGCATATTTGATAAAGTATCGAGATGAATTACAACAACTTTACTTTCATATCGTAGACGAAGTCATGAGATTGAATAACAAGAGACAGGAAGACGTCGATCTTTTGGTAAGTAGATTACCGATTCTGATCATGATCATTGGTCAATTAGAAACATCTAATTAACATTACCGCTTCTTCTTGCTTTTTTCTCTCATTTTTACCCATTAGAATCGTAGTCAAGCAATGAGAGCGGAATAAATTCCAGCTGATGCTCGACTCAGATCAATCCTTTTGGATCCAGCACTTTCATGTTCGAGCGTAAAAAATTTGTTTACTTGAAGACAAAGAGTAACTTATTCTCGAAAAGCAATTTGGCTAAGATGTGAACAAAAGTATCATGCATTTGTATAGAAATTGTATACATTTTTCATTCTTAGGCCCATATTCAACAACCGTAATTAAAAGCTGTGATCAACTAATCCTTAGATCAGATCGATTCTGAGTTTAGACTCAAGAGTTGTTTCACCAAGTCCGATAAGTTGATTTTTATGCTAGAGAAAATTGTAGAAAAATAATAGGACATAACGATATTTATCAATTTATGTAAAAAAATTAAAAAAAAATGAGCAAGAACGAAAAAATGAGGAAAAAAGTCATAATCAGAAGTCAATCGTGGTAATTACCAAGATTAAATTTTGATCAAGACTTCCGAGATCAAGACTTGATCATGGTTGGTGAAACACAAAAGCTGTGATAGGCTGATTCAAATCTAGACTCAAATTTAATTACGGCTGGTGAATACGGGCCTTAATCTATTGTAATCTATTATATCATATTTGGTGCGATGAATTATTAAAACCACAATTAGTTTTACGATAAAATTTTTATCTTAGTATTACTGAGTATCATAGAGTGAAGAGTCACAGTACTTTTAATTCTCCCATTAAAAGTGAATTGATTCTCCCTGTAAACAAATTGACTTGATTTCCCGATTTTTTTGCGGCTTTTACTAACGGTAAGAATTATTTTAATTTAGCTCTAATTTCATTTAATAACTTCAATTAATTTAGATGATGTTGATTAATATACAATTTTACATAAATGTTTCAAGTCACAAGGATATGGTTATTTAAGCAGAAAATTGATTCGCAAAAATATCGTTTACAGTCACATGAAGTGCTTCGAGCTCGCAATAGATGAGTAAATCTTTCAATAAACCAGCATGGGCTTTCTTGAGATATAATTGTTTAAACTGGTTAGCAAGAGGCAGATTAACTAAGTAAAGTAAGTTAACTAACTATCTAGTGCTAACTTTTCAACTTTGGGCATCGAGAAACTTTTTTCGTTGATAACAGAAACAGTAAACCTTTGAATGAGCCAACTTTACGAGCAAAGAAAAGTAAATAGCTCAAGTTCGTGCGAGATGCATCTAATATTTGGAGAAATGATTTATTAATAAATTTTCACATTAGTTGATATCAAATAAAAGTGTTGTTTTACACAGATACTAGTACTTACTTCCAAGTTAGGGAAAAATTTAATAATATCAATCCGCTATAAATTGGTTTTCTTTTTCAGAGATAAAAGACCAGTCTTTGAAAGCACTGAAAGTGAAGATCCTTAAAAGAGAAAAAAAGAATTGAAAAATAGTTGTTGATGCACTCATGCTTGAGAAAAGATTGTTAACAGTTTACTTCCCAATGTGATATTTAACTTTTCTACATCGGTCCACAACCAAATTTTCCCATGATAAACAAACTAAAAAATAGCCAAAAAAGAACTCTCAAAATTAAGTTAGTGTAACAAACACTTTAAAAAAAGAACAATTTATTTATTAGCACTGTGGGTAACTATACCCCTGGTCGCCATGTCAAAAATGGCCGAAAAATCAGTCCTTAAATTAACCTTAACAAAAAGGTTTAATTGAGCACTCTATTTAATGTAGGCACATGAAAACCTTTACATAGGTGCACAGATTATTAACAAATTACAACTTAATTTAATTAAATTTACTCTTATAAGAAAAATAAAACAATGTAAAAAGTGATCCCCGTAAGGGTGCCAATTGTTGTAACAAACACTTTAAAAAAAGAACAATTTATTTATTAGCACTGTGGGTAACTATACCCCTGGTCGCCATGTCAAAAATGGCCGAAAAATCAGTCATTATATTGGTGGTGAGGGAGAATATCTTCTCCCTCACCCTCATCTTCTTCTTCAAAAATTATCCAATAAGGATAACCAGGTACCACGTGAGAGGTGGTACCTGGTTGAACAAAGAAACTGGTGGTGTAACCAGTTTGGTTACAGTTCTTCGGGGGTACATAGAAAAGTATCAACGTCCTCGTTGATTTACAATTATTAGGAAATTAATTAATATATAATATTATCCATCACCGGACATTATTTACAAAGTATATAAAAAAATATAAACGATATTAAAATACAGAGTTAATACAGTTAAGGTTGACAGACGTATCAGTCTAGAGTGATTATTTCGATCGGATTATTTGAATGCAATTGGAGCCAGTGATGAATATTTTGTCCCATTTTTACCATATCTCGAACGACTTCAGCTGTGGGGACAGGAATGTTTTTATCTTTCATCTTTTGTAATTCGATGTACGCTTTAAGAGTGACTCGAGAATCTCTCTCAGGAGAATGTCCAATGGTTACATGTTTATCATCATCTCTACGTAATTTTTGATGATTAAAGAATAAAAATTTATCTAATGAAACTAATCCTATTGGTTGCTGTCCAGGCCATAGATCTTGTAAGTCAACGTGTTGGATGAACGATGCTTTTAGTTTAGATGTCGTTAACTCGAGTTTATTCAAATCGTCTTTCCCTTGTGTTAATAATCTTCTTCCGATGGCTAATTCTCGTACTTGTTGACATATCTCGTCCAGGCTTAATCCTGTTGCTAAATCATTGATTTGTAGTCCAGTGATTCGAGTATTTGGGTTTGATATTGTAGTGTTTTTTACCTGAGCATAATATACTGTTTGTATTCTAATTACATTTCCAAACCATCCTGATAAATGAACGCTTCCTACACCATTATTTCCATCACCTTCGATGTCAAGGGATAATGTTTCTTTTTTATTATTTTTCGGGCCAATCGGAACATATTTTTCTAAATGTTCTGGTATTGGATTATTTAGGTTTTTCCAAAAAGGTTTACCTCCATATGCTTCCCTTAATTTTCTTCTTCTAACTCGTCGTTGTTCTCGTGCATAGGAATATTTTGTTGGTCTAGATTGTACCACGGTATTTATATTTACTTGTTGATCAGTTTTAAAAGGTAATTCAGGACAATTTTTTCTGAAGTGACCAGGTTCACTACAGTATGAGCAGTATTCACAATTTATCTTAGTGTGGTTAAAGCGGAAGCATAGGGAACAATGTTTTTCTGGTAAATCGATAAGATTGATTTTTGTTGAGTTTCTACTGTTCTGGTAATTTAGTTTTCTAGTGTAATATAATAAGTTTTGGTGAGCAGTTTGTAATTTGTCCGGGTGGTTTGCTGTGACTGTTAACTTCGTGAATTTGTTCATCTCTTTTGGGGTGCCACATATATCATAATCTGGTGATACTAACTCTGGTCTCCAAACATGACCATAGTAATTAGTGTATTTAGAGGCGAAGATCGACAAAATCAGATAACATTTTCTAAATACTGAACTTGGTGAAACTGGTTTAAAATGATTGTTATAATCTTGATTAGTTTTCTTTTTTTGTTTTGATGAAATGAAGAAACCTGGACCGTTTTTTAGTTGTAAATTTTCCATTTTCTTTTGGAAAGCGATTAGCTTTGGATCTGGAGAGGCATTTGTTGCATTCCAGTCGTCTTCCATCCTAATTGTAAAATAAAGAAAAGAAAGAAGAAAATTTCAATTATTCATCTACCCCAAATCACCGGAGTTTTGAATAATAAGTATTAAATTACCCATCACCGGGCTGATTGAAATTTTATCATAAATTTGAATTTTAATACCCAATCACCGGGTTAATCAAACTTTTATCATTAGAACTTCGAAAACCCAATCACCGGGTGAAAAGATGATTTTGGTTTAATTTATTCTATTCCCATCACCGGGTGAATTGAATTTATCATTATTTAATTAATTTTATCTCCATCACCGGAGAATTTCGAAAACCTGCCCCAGCACCGGAGCATTGATTTTATTTGTATTAATAACACTGATGTAAAGGTATAATAATGTCCTTATTTTCCTTATTTTCTCTATTAACTATCACAGAGTTTATTGATCTTTTTGGATAAGGGATTAATCTACAACCAATAACACAACACAAGAAGCTGATGGTAATACTAATAAGTATCCAAATCCACATTGGTACATTCATTTTCCAATTGATTTTAAGGTGATTGATACTTGTTTCAATTTTCTCTTGAGCTTCATCGATTAATGTGAAATCAAGTGGTTCAATTTGTAATTCTTTAGCCGATGGTTGAGTTAATCGTAAATTGATTGCATGTGTATGTTCTGATACCGGTGAACCTTGACTATGAATTTGGAACTTTTGAACTGTATATTCTAGGTCATCGATAGTAAAATTAGTATATTTTGATAATCTTATCACATTATTTGGACAAATATATTTAATATTACTATATAAAGTAATTGGGTGTCCTGCACAATGTATTAAATACTGCTCTCCCATTTGTTTAACTTGAATCGTTTCTGCGTATGTGGTAACATTAGGGCTATTGCTGAAACAAACTTCATTCTTCCAAAGTTCAATTTTCTTCAAGTTTTCTTTACAATTCGATACTTTCTTAAAAATAGGATTATGACCTTTCAAGTCCTTCTCGCTAATCTCACAGAATCGATAATCGGTGATGTTGACTAATACATATTCTGGACCTTTATATGTAACTTTACAAGTGTGTGTATTATTTTTATTATATAATGTAAATGCATCTGCTTGAAATATTTGGTTAGTGGTATCTCGTAAAAATGTTGTAAAATTTACCATTAATGTTGGAAATCTTTCGTTATTGTATACATTTACATTAACATTTTCAATTTCATCTAATGAACATTCTGGTGAGCAGGGTAAAATAATTTTGAAGTATTTAAAGAAATTCTTATCAATCCTTGGTTTAGCTTCTCTAATTGTTTCATTAAAATGTTTTAATTGATTAAGCTGGTTATTTGCTTGCGTTACTGTATCGGCGGCTTGAAATGTTATTAACGGTAAATATTGAGGCAGTTGATTCACATCGAAAGAAATTAGAAACAGTTGTTGGCTTACATTATGTAATTGTTCAAACTGCTTTTTTATCAGCTTCTTATATTCTTGGTTAGACTCTGCGATGGATGTTAGTACTGGTTGTATTTCTATTTCGGGATTGAAAATGTGTTTATATAAATAGTTAACGCCACTAATTACTATTCCACCAACTATTATTGTGGTGGCTACAGTTCCCGCAGTGATTATTTCTCGTCTTATTTTTATAATATTTTCTTCTGGTTTGGTTGTTACGTTCGGTATATTACGAATAGGATTTATGTAATTTTCATCAATAAATGATGAACAATGTTCTTCAAATTTGTCCAGAATTTTCCTTACATATTTACACATGGCTGGATTATAATCACATGTAATGGATTCATTTCTTTCCTTGTCTGTTTTTAGAACAATTGGGATTTCTTTACATGGGTTTGAAAATGCTAGTACGACAGAGACTTGTTGAGTTGATTTTCTTGGGTGATAGTCAGTTTTTCTCCATAGAATAGGTTCACCAGAGATAAAAGGAGAGATCTCTAACATCTCAATTCGTGTAATTATGCTTAAGATTGTTACTAAATTAAGTAAATTTCTATGAAAATAAGGCTTGAGTTGATTACTATGAGCTCGTCTCATTTTTTCCTTTTTATCTGTTCTTAATATTTTATAAGTGGTGTCTCCTTGTTTTTCTATTACTTTATATGGTCCTTTGAATTTTTGCTTCAGTTTCTTTGGTCCCTGAAATTGCTTGTACATTACTTCATCTCCTACTTGATAGGTTCGTAATTTCTTCCGATCATGTTGAATTTTTTGATTTTCTTTTGAGTTCAATGAGTAAAGTTTTGCTTGATCATAAATCTCAGGCCATTTTTCGATTGTTGATCTTAAGTTAGATGGTAATTGTTTAAATGTCTGGTTGTTAATTATAATATCAATGGGTAAGGTTGGTTGACGACCATATAGTAAATAGAAAGGAGAGGCTTTCGTAGATTGATTTACACTCGAATTATAAGCGAATCCCAGCACCGGGATTAACTCGCTCCACTTTTGAGTGTTTTCTTTTTTACAATAATGAGTTAACATTGAACACAATGTTTGATTTACTTTTTCTGTTAATCCATTTGTTGCTGGATGATAGGCAGTTGAAAATGACCATTTACTTTGGAAGAATAATCTAATTTGTTCAACCACTGAAGATATAAAATTTCTACCTTGATCTGAGACAATTGTTCTAGGGCAACCATGTCTAAGGAAGACCGAGTTAATTAGGAAAGTCGCTGTTGATTCAGCGGTCATATCTTTGATTGCTGCAACCTCTACCCATCTTGTAAAGTAATCGGTACACACTATAATATAATTGTTTTTCTTAGATGTTGGGAAGGGACCGATTAAATCGATTCCAATTTTCTCGAATGCATTATTAACAATTATTGATTTTAACGGAGCTTCTAAGGTTCCACTTCCTCTTTTATCTAATTGACAGATTAGACAACTTCGAACGTAATTGGTTACATCTCTACTCATCTGGGGCCACCAATAATGTTGTTTAATTTTATTGTAAGTAGAAAAGATCCCTGGGTGACCGGACAAGACCGAATCATGATATTCTTGCAAAATTTGCTTAATTAATCTTTTAGGAATAACTATATTCCAACTCTCTCCATAATGGTTAATTGTTAATCGGTATAGTAGATTCTCTCGGATTCTATATTTAGAAATTAATTTCCTTTCTTTGGGATCTAAATGAGAAAAGTTTTCTAATTGTTCAATTATTTTAATGATTCGTTGATCTCTTCGTTGTTCATCAACTAGATCTATTTTATCTTCAATAATTTGGTTAACTAGTAATGTGAACAATTCTTCACATTCATCCTTTTGATTATCACAAACAATATCATCCACAGGATATCGTGATAAACAATCGGCATCAGCATGAATTTTCCCTGATTTATATTTAACTGAAAAATCAAATGATTGGAGCGCCATTGCATATCGCTGTAAGCGAGCGGGGAGGATCTTTTTTGAATGAATGTGGCATAAGGCACAGTGATCAGTTACTACTTCAAATTTAATTCCCTCTAAATAGACTTGGAATTTTTGTACTGCCCAAACGATGGCCAAGCATTCCTTATCAGATACTGGATAATGTAACTCTGCTCCTCTTAATATTCGGGAGGCGAATCCAACAGGGTGATAACCATTATCATCCTTTTGTAAGAGAATTGCTCCGAGACCATAACCTGAGGCGTCCACTCGCAATTGAGTTTCTTTTGCTGGATCATAATGAGCAAGAACTGGTGGTGTTGTTAATTTAAATTTCAACTCATTAAAAGCGTTTTCTTGTTCTGGCCCCCAATCAAAAGGTAAATCTTTTCTTGTTAGGTTAGTGAGAGGTCGGGCGATGTTAGCGAAGTCCTTTATGAATCTTCGATAATAAGAGCATAAAGCAACAAAAGATTTTATATCTCTAACTGTCCTAGGAGTAGGAAATTGTTGAACTTTTATTATTTTCTCTGGGTCAACTTGTTGACCATTCTCACTAATCACGTGTCCTAAGAATAGAATTTTCTTTTTCAAAAATGAACATTTATTAGGTTTTAAAGTTAACCCTGCATTCTGGAGTCTCGTAAATATTAATTCTAATTTACTTAAATGTTCTTCTTCATTTTCTGAATAAATTAATAAATCATCAATAAAAACTAAGCAAGTATTATAAATTAATCCACTCAGAACAATTGTCATCATTCTCATAAATGATGAGGGTCCATTTGCTAATCCAAAGGGTAATCTAGTGTATTCATATAATCCACTTGGAGTGACAAAAGCTGTTTTTGGTTGGTCCTTTGGGTCCATTGCCATTTGATGATAACCTGATCTTAAATCTAATAATGAATAGAATTTCATTCCTCTTAAACTGTCAAGATAATCTTGAATGTTAGGCAATGGAAATTTATCCTTAACGGTTATCTCATTTAATTTTCGATAATCTACACACAATCTCATCTCTGTGGTTCCCTTTTTTGATACTAATACAATTGGTGATGACCATGGTGAGCAGGATGGGATAACAATTCCATCATCTATTAATTCATTAATTGAAGTTTCTGCTACTTTTCTTTTTAAATCTGACATTCTATAAGGTTTTTGAGATATTGGAGGATGATTTCCAGTATCGATTGAGTGTGCATAAACATTAGAGAATCCTAATTCTTTGGATGTGGCAGCGAAAACCACTCGATATTTAGTTATTAATTCATTTAATTTGTTTCGTGTTGTTGGTTGAATTTCACTGTTCACTCCAAGTTTTAAGTCATTAATTATATTATTAATATAAATTTCTTCATCAACTAAATTTTCTTCCCCATCACCGGAGACTGAAAATAATGAAGATAAACTAATTGTTGATGAATAGTCACTTCTTGTGATTAATTGTGTATTTGATGATGATTGTATTTGATTCGAGTCATAATTAGATGAGATGATTGATGATGTGGTTAATTGTTTTGTATTTGCTTTGAAATTTAAATCTATGTTTTCGAATTTTTCCTTTGGGTTCAATGGAATGATTAATTTTCTTCGTTTACAATCAATGAAAAATTTTCCTTTTTCTAGAATATTTTGTCCAATGATGGCCTCAATTCCTGATGGCAAGGTATCAACAATAATCATAGGTGATTTAATTTCTATTTTAGTTGGACCATCGGGAAT